GTAATTAATTTGTTCAATGGCATGCTGGAGGTGTAAGCGAAACCATTTAAAGTTGACAACATCGCCGACGCAGACACTTGAGAATTCAAAAGCAACTACAAAGTGGCAAAAGTCCTTGAGGTACCGCGCCACCAGGTATGCCACCAGGATCCCAAGAAACTTGTCGTGTATGCCCGACGGGGCTTGTATCCGGCAACACACTGCCCCAGGGTATCGAGAGGCGTTTCATTTGATTTTCTCACATTTTTTAAATTATAAAATAAATAAAAATATAGATAACTAAAATTATTTTTATAAGAGAAAAGATTTTCTTATGCTAAGCACGATAAGTAGCGGGCAAGTACTAACTCTTGTAGCTCCCCTCGCAATATTTAATGCCACTGCCCCTGTTCGTATGCGTGTGAAATCGGAAGTGGATGTCAGCCAGCTTCCATACCCACTCCCATTGTGACATCCATGCCCATACCCATACCCATAGCCTGAGTGGAGCATCTTCGAGTCGTAGGCGAAGGCGCCGGGATCCTTTGGCTGGGCGACAGGTGCTTCCGCATTTGAATGTCGACGGAAACCGCAACGGTACAACTTAGATAAACGTTTGCTCTTTAAATATGTGAGCACAGGAGAGCCTGCTCCTTGGGAGTGGGTGGATGGGTGGTTGGCTGGGTAGTGGGTGGTGGAGCAACTGAACTTATGTGTAAAGCAAGCGCTACAAGCAAAGTGGTTGTGGTTCGCAAAATGGAAGTACACGTGCTAGTGTGGGTATGAGCCATGACAGGTGTATACTCGGATGGATCTTGGCTTGGCTTATTGCTTACTCTCCAGACAGGTGTGTGCGGAGAGGAAGTGCCAAGGTGTTTGCTTTCGCAGCAGTACAGTAAAATTGATTATGGGGAAATTGAGATGGATAAGCAAAGACTGTGTCGAAAGCTACAGAGAAGGATAACATAAGGCAGTTGCTAAATCCATTGATTCCCCGTCATAGTGCTGTATTACAACCAATATTAGATGTGAAAACAGAATATTCAAAGAGTGAATACAAAATTGAATTTAAGAAAGAAAGAAACCACAATTTAAGCTTATATTATTAATCAATAAAAATATTCCAAATAAATAGAATGTATATATTCACTTTATATACAATTACATAACACATTTAAAATCCAAAAGAATTTGATTTAATTAGGCTTCAATGGCTTAATGGAATTTCTTTTAATTTTTTTTGTCGGATGCCGCATACCTCATTGACAGATTCACAAAAATTCGACGGTGCTTAAAATCAATTTTCATTCAATTTAGGTAAATACCAAACAAATTAAATCACGCCCGAATAAATCGGCAAGCACCTGGCCGCACAAAACAACTAAAAACCGGAAACCCCAAAAAAAAGGACTCTCCATGCTAAACTGCTAAAAATAAAATCAATTAACAATAAATGCAAGCAATTAAATTCAATGCTGGGCTGTGGGGCAAAGAAATGCTTGCCACACAGGATAAAAACAGGCCACTTAATTAAGCCGGAAGGGTGTGAGCCGAATCGGCACAGAAAGCCATGGCCCACATTTACACTGGCCAGCATGTTTTAAGTGCGAAACAATGTAATTTCATGGTAATCAGTCTGGGACCTGGCTTGCCATTCTAGTCCTAGTCCGAAACTATACAACACAACTACACAAATTTCCGGCTGTGTGCACAAAGCCAGTGGGAACTGATGGAAAAGGAGGACCAAAACAGGACCAAAACCTCACCAAAACAGTAGCCTGAGCACTTGGGCCAGAAAAATGTCAGTTTGCAATTTTCTATGCCATTTAAAATAAATGAAAATTGCTCTTCATCCCGGCTCTATCTCTTTTTTTTTTGGCATGGGTGTGGCATAGTTTGGGCCAGCGCGTGTTAACGTAAATAAATTACACACACAGACACACATATACACATACACCGCCGTTTGGGTCAAAGTGAGAGCGGAAACGGGACACAGATACGCAATCAAGTGGTCAGTGGCATGCAGCTTATAAATCAGCGCCAGCCGCTTGGGCGCAACATCAGCAAACATTTGGAGGATAGATGACCCCGGCATCGCGACCCGCATTGCGATGGACAGCTGAACGAATGACCGAGTGAGTGGGTGACTACAGTGAGGAAAATCTAAAAGGTTTTTATGAAATCATGCCCATAATTTCTTTTATAAAAACAATCCTGAAAGTTTATTTTAATTATTTTATCAGGCATGCCTGTATACCTTTTTTTAATAACCTTTTTCTTTTCAGTTCTTTTCAGTGTACATGTGAGTGAATGGCCGAATGACTGAATGAATAGATTGAGCGGGCCAGCTTCGGATAGATTGCTTGTATAAATGTTCAGCTATTTAGTTTCGGTTTGCTGTGGTTTGACTTTGCTTGTTTTTTCCTCAAACCCTCCCCCTCATCCGGCCCAGGACATCCCCCTTTTGATTTTTTGCCCGCTTGTTGTTTTTGGCCCGGCTAGTGCGGCGGAGAGGTGCTGTGAGCCAAAGTTGATATTGCGCTTTTGTGTTTTAATGTTGTTTCTGGGACAATTGTCTGTCCGTGGAGAGGTTGGCTGGAATCCGAGTTGTTTAGCTGAATCATTTTGTTGACAAATCGCAGAGCAATTAGGAATTAACTACCATCTGGTTAAAAGCCAGAACCCTGGGACATAAGCCGCTTTAAGTGCGCCAAATAAGCCAGTTCCAGAATCTGTCCATAATTGCAATTGCATGAGTAGATTTTGGCATAAAAGTTGGATTAAGAAAAATGGAATTATGTTTAAAAAAAAACACCGCAGTTGGCCTTCCATTGATATTTAATTATGCAAAATTTATCACACTTCACAATTAAATAAAAAAAAAGAAAGAAAACATCACATGATGGCTTTTATTAAATGGCTTTTGCGAATAATCGGTTACTATTATTAAAAGGTTATTATATTACTTATTATGAAATGAAATTGCTTATTGTTTTATTCATTAATATTACCTATGAATGAAAAAACCAAACAATTTAATTAAATTTCTTTATGATGCCTTATTATGACTTAAAGTTTGGTTGATGTTGACGTCCAGGAGCAAGTCCTTACTAAATGCTAATGCATTTCTAAGCGCTTCTTCCACATTCTACACATTCTGGCCCTCTTCCACCAAAGTTTGTCTATTAAGGTAAACAAGTAGTTGGTATATGCTTACTACCAAGTTGCCAAATTCAGCTAGCATCCCAGTGGCATGCAGGATAGTTAGCATTTTGTCCATGACTTTGTGCCGCTGACAGCAATTGACTGTCTAAGTATCCAGCAGCCAGACCCAGTCCCCCCCTGGTATCACATCTTTCGGCTTTGTCTGGGAGCGCGAATGCCAAAGAAGGATGCCAAGCTGGTTGTGGCAGGAACTTATGTATGTACTTTCAGCTAAAAGTAAAACTGGACTGGCAACAATGCCACAAGATTGCTGTGGCCAACAGCCGGGCGGATCATCTGCATACATGTCTGTAGTACATATGTATGTTTAAGTATCTTCGTGGCACAAAGGACTCTAAAATCCCAAAGCAAACCACACACATGTGGTGTGGTGTGGCGGTGCACAGTGGTCCAGCCCGTAGGCCAAAAATAAAAAAACCAAAGTCCAAATTTTGACTTTAAATGTACCAATTCTTATTTATAATTGGTCTACCTATTTGAAATAATTAATATTTTTGTTTTGATCTGTCTGTCCGCTTCAAGAATAGCATCGAAAGTGATAGCATGATATTCATTGTGAATTGCAGCGTAAGCAACGAGCAAGTGAAGCTCTCCGCAAAAAGCTTATTAAACATTTTTTAAACAAGTGTTTGTGCCATGGAAGGTTTTAATATTGTAAAGAAAGGTATTAACTTTCTTTTTTCAATAAAAAGTATATATGGTATTTGTTGTGTTTTGTGTAAATCACTGTTGTATTTAGTACATAATTGTGAACGTTCTTAGTTTGTCTTCTCTGTGTTTGGTTAGAGTTTTAGTTGTGATGGCACTCGTTGGCATTAAAAAATCTTTTTGTATAATATTCTTAAGCATTTTAAGAATATAAGAAAGTTTAGTTTAGGTGCCGTAAGGTGCCGTGCGGCTTGCAAAATACAAAAAGGTAACCTAACCTTAATTTGAAAAAACCGGATATATACCGCAAGAATCAGATTTTTTTCGCCGATCCTTATGAAAATATCGTAATATAACCAATCTATTTCAATACAAAATCTAAAAAAAGTCCCAAACTTCTATCTTCAAGAACACCGAAGTTGTTATTTCTACCAAAACCATTTCCGATCATTCAGTTATATGACAGCTATAAGATATAGTCGGCCGATCCTTATGAAATTTGGTAGGTTGGATCAACTGACCAAAAATAGAATCTCTACGAAGTTTCAACTATCTATCTTAAAAAGCACAAAAGTTGGGTCATTTCCGATCAAACATTTATATGGCAGCTATAGGATATATTCGGCTGATCTTTATGAAATTTGGTAGGTCGTAATGTTTTGCCAAAAATAGCACTCATGTCAAATTTGAACTCTGTAACTCTAAAAACACCAAAGTTATATCATTTCCGATCAATCAGTTATATGGCAGCTATATGATATAGTTGCCCGATCTGGCTGATTTTAACATATTATTTTAGAATAAAAATATAAATATTTTGTGCCAAGTTTCCAATCCCTACCTCAACTAGAAGTATTTTTGGCCGCTCTCCCCATACAAGCCGGACCACTGTGCGGTGCGGTGGTTATAGCTTAAAGCTACCATATTCTTGAGAAATATTGCTATGCAAATATTTGTATTGCATACTTTCGGGCACGCGGCAGAAAATTTCAACAAAATGGGTGGCATGGCGGCGGGAAGGGATGCACCGGCGGGAAATTCACAGTTTGCCGTGGGCCAAAAACAAAAAACAAAATAGTAAATAAAAAACCAGAACCGGCAGTCCCAGACGAGATAAGCTCTCGGGGAAGAGCTACATAAGCAGCTACTCAGAGCCCCACTGATTCCAGTTCAGAATAGCTCAACCACCATGTCGTCGCTAGTCTATCTGCTTCTAGTCGCCACTTCCCTGGGCGCCATTGTGGCCTATCAAGTGCCGGAGGCAACAGTCAAGGTCACAGCCCAGGGCTTCGAAGTCTCCATACCGGCGGAGCCCGGTGTCTCCCTATTCGCCTTCCACGGCAAAGTCAACGAGGAGATGGACGATCTGAGCGACCAGACCTGGGCAGCGGATATAGTCTCTCCGCGAAATGGACGCTTCACCTATCGGAACCGGAACCACCGTCTCCAGGCGGGTGATACTCTCTACTACTGGACCACAGCGCGTTATAATGGCATCGACTATCACAACTACAACCGGAAGTATAAGGTGGGCCAAGGGGACTCCCAGAGAATTGATCTTCAGGGCTCTAAAGGTGGTTCTCAGCCCATTATAGCCAATGGTCCTAATACATTCAACATATATGTGCAATAAATAAAACAACAATCAAGTTGTATACCCATTTTTATGAATTCGGAACTTTTGTTTCTAACTTTTAAATTTCTATATTGCATTTGAGTCACCTTAACCTTTTAACCTTGAGAAGTGGTAGCATTTGATAAAGTTCCAAGAAACGCAGATCTATTGACATAAATTAACTATTAAAAACAGTGTATATTATTAAAATTACAGATAAGTACGATTATCGTGAAAAAAGATTAGAAACAAGAAGTAAAAATATATTATTTTAATTTAATATTTATACATTTTAAACAAGTGGCATCTTTGTTGACAAAATGATTTCCTGGAACTATAAACACATTTCCATTGTTTTTTTAAATTTTTTTTTTCGCTTCTTTGGCCATAAATCAATGAAGCACTTTGTCACAGTTATGCAAGTAAGTATCCGGATCGTATAAATCATGCTGAAAAGTTATCACACCAGTCTGCGCACTATGGCGTTCATCAGGCTTGTTTAAAGGGCTGGCGACTAACCCAAAACTGCCGCCATCTATTCGAGTGACAAAAACAAGGAAAGCCACAAAAAATGCACCAAAGAATCCATAAAGGTATGAAAACTGGCCAATGGCACCTCCACACCAACTCCCGTAGACACTCTGGTACATACATAACTGCATGAGAGGTTACTCCTGGACCATTTAACTTTCCCTTCGGGGTAACAAAAAGCAGATAAAACTTTTAGCCATCTCAGTTCCAGTTCAAGTTGCTCTTGGAGCGCTTCTGGTTGTTGTTTAGAAGTTTTTCTTTTTGCGAAAACCTCCTAAAACGTTTTTTTTCTATTCTGTGAAAAATTGTAGTCAGTCTAAATCGGCTTGTCTTTTTTTTAGGGGGTTTTTATATGTAGGTGCTAAAAGACACAAAATTTAATACCTTATAAATTATTTTGTTGTAAGATATATTTAATTAAATATTTAATTAATTTTTTTGTATGCAGATTACTTTTAATCTTTATTTCTTAACACTTTGGTTGACCCAAAAATGACTTATAGGCGCACTTTTCCTGATCCGCCCCTGGAAAAAGGTGCTACACTGTTTAATGTTTGCTCTGCCGTGCGCTTGACCTGGCTCGGTGACCGCTTTCAGCCGAAAATCCAAAAATTGGCCACCAAAAAAGTTGAGTGTGAACAGAAACCTGGCCGGCCTCGGCCAAGAAATTAGCAAAGTATATATTATATATACACAAGTAAGCCGGGGCCCATGGGAAGGCACCTAAAATCCGGTAGAACGTTAAAATAGTAAATAAATTATGATATGCCTGGTCAGGCCATTTGTCAAAACTCATTTGCAGCGTTTTAAGCATTTGCAAAGCTGCTGCATTTTTTCCACTCCCATGTGGCACATGCATATATGCACAGGTATATGTATACATATATAAATGATATATATGAGCCTTTGTGGCATGGAGGTAACGGACTAAGTGACGCTGTCAGCAACATTTGCGATCCGTGCTGCTCTCATTTTCTCATTTCGTTTCGCGCGAAACTGCCAGCTAGCGGCAAGATTGTGGCAGTTGCACTTCCACTTCCACCACCCCCTGCCACCTGATGCCATTCCCCCATTTCCACGGCATGGACACTGACACATGCTTCATTTAACGCCCCACCCACCCACTCACATACGTACTTTGGAAACTGCGGCAGGCGCTAAAATGACTTGTGACGACAACTTAATGCGGCAAGTAGAGTAAAAAAATATCAACCAAAGTATATATATGTGTAGATTTTTTAATGGAGGTCTCCTAATGTGCAAAGTAAGCTTTTCCGATATGTGTTCCAAGTGATTCTAAATATATTATCTTTTGAATTTCTTTATTTGAACAAATTTTTACTCTACAATGTTACAACTTTTATATCATTTGTTGGTAATATCCTTGGTTAGGACCGAAAAGGTCCTCGCTTTGTCCACCCCGGGAGAAATCCAAGGGACCTCCCGTATTCTGTCCACTGATCAGTCCACCGGGACTTGAACCAGGTGTACCGAATCGTCCAAAAACTCGAAATATGGGGTCTGTTTGTTGATTATTTCTGTTATAACTGCTGGTGTCTAGTCCACCTTGCTGATAATTTCCTTGGTTAAGGGAAAAAGGTCCTTCACTTAGCTGCCCAAGTATAGGTCCTAGGTAAGCTCCAGTTATGAATGGACCTTCAATGTGATTTCCCCTGGTTAGTCCACCTTGGCGGAATTGATTTCGTAAGCTGTCTAGTCCACTTAGTTGGTCATTTCCTAGACCTGGGTAACCCCCAGTTAGAGGTGGAATTTCCGAATTTGATCCACTACTCAGTCCTCCCTGGTTCGTACTAGATGCTCCTTCTTGATAATTTTTGATGACGAAAGGTCCTCCTGTATTACTTTCGGTGAAAAGACCACCTTGCGCGTAATTGCCTTGGTTAACCCCAAAAGGTCCTCCAGAATTTAAACCACTGATCAATCCTCCTGGGTTCGTATTAGATGCTCCGAAGTACCCTTCGTTACTACCTGTATATGTAAGTCCTGGGTAACCCCCAGTTAGAGATGGAATTTCCGAATTTGATCCACTGCTCAGTCCTCCCTGGTTCGTACTAGATGCTCCTTCTTGATAATTTTTGATGACGAAAGGTCCTCCTGTATTACTTTCGGTGAAAAGACCACCTTGCGCGTAATTGCCTTGGTTAACCCCAAAAGGTCCTCCAGAATTTAAACCACTGATCAATCCTCCTGGGTTCGTATTAGATGCTCCGAAGTACCCTTCGTTACTACCTGTATATGTAAGTCCTGGGTAACCCCCAGTTAGAGATGGAATTTCCGAATTTGATCCACTGCTCAGTCCTCCCTGGTTCGTACTAGATGCTCCTTCTTGATAATTTTTGATGACGAAAGGTCCTCCTGTATTACTTTCGGTGAAAAGACCACCTTGCGCGTAATTGCCTTGGTTAACCCCAAAAGGTCCTCCAGAATTTAAACCACTGATCAATCCTCCTGGGTTCGTATTAGATGCTCCGAAGTACCCTTCGTTACTACCTGTATATGTAAGTCCTGGGTAACCCCCAGTTAGAGATGGAATTTCCGAATTTGATCCACTGCTCAGTCCTCCCTGGTTCGTACTAGATGCTCCTTCTTGATAATTTTTGATGACGAAAGGTCCTCCTGTATTACTTTCGGTGAAAAGACCACCTTGCGCGTAATTGCCTTGGTTAACCCCAAAAGGTCCTCCAGAATTTAAACCACTGATCAATCCTCCTGGGTTCGTATTAGATGCTCCGAAGTACCCTTCGTTACTACCTGTATATGTAAGTCCTGGGTAACCCCCAGTTAGAGATGGAATTTCCGAATTTGATCCACTGCTCAGTCCTCCCTGGTTCGTACTAGATGCTCCTTCTTGATAATTTTTGATGACGAAAGGTCCTCCTGTATTACTTTCGGTGAAAAGACCACCTTGCGCGTAATTGCCTTGGTTAACCCCAAAAGGTCCTCCAGAATTTAAACCACTGATCAATCCTCCTGGGTTCGTATTAGATGCTCCGAAGTACCCTTCGTTACTACCTGTATATGTAAGTCCTGGGTAACCCCCAGTTAGAGATGGAATTTCCGAATTTGATCCACTGCTCAGTCCTCCCTGGTTCGTACTAGATGCTCCTTCTTGATAATTTTTGATGACGAAAGGTCCTCCTGTATTACTTCCGGTGAAAAGCCCACCTTGCGCGTAATTGCCTTGGTTAACCCCAAAAGGTCCTCCAGAATTTAAACCACTGATCAATCCTCCTGGGTTCGTATTAGATGCTCCGAAGTACCCTTCGTTACTACCTGTATATGTAAGTCCTGGGTAACCCCCAGTTAGAGATGGAATTTCCGAATTTGATCCACTGCTCAGTCCTCCCTGGTTCGTACTAGATGCTCCTTGTTGATAATTTTTGATGACGAAAGGTTCTTCCGTATTACTTCCGGGGAAAAGACCACCTTGTGGGTAATTGCCTTGGTTAACCCCAAAAGGTCCTCCAGAATTTAAACCACTGATCAGTCCTCCTTGGTCCGTTGCAAATGGTCCGTGGCGTCCTGTGTTACTATCTGTTATTGGAACGTAGTCTTCAGATTTGTCTTCTCCTTTTTGATCATTTTTGAGGTTTGGATAGGGTTCTCCGAAAGTGCAAGCTATGACTTCAAGTTCTTTTTGACTTGAGCTGGGATCCTCATATGGTCCTTGGTAAGTGTCGCGTGCCCATGTTGAGGCAGCCAGAAGCAAAATTCCTGCCAAGATACGTCTCATTGTTGACAGCACAAATAAATGACTGATCTATGCAAAAATTTTAATTCAGACGAAATATTTAGAAATAAAAAAACACACGACAGCAAAGCCAATCAGATAACCAGCAATAAGAGTATGACGTGTGTGCCCCGAAGAGGTTATCAGTGAAACACAAACCCAAAGCTTCCAGCTTCCAAAACAAGTTCTTAGAAATTAATTCTAAGAAACCGAATATAAAATTTTTTCAAACTTTAAGTTCTTTCCATTACCAGTTTACATCGCTATATCTTGTGGTAAATATGTGTATAAATTTTGTGCCTGGCATCGACCCCCATAAATTGCAATCAGAAAACTTAAAGACACCGACATTTTCCAAAGAAAATGTAACTTTCGCCCATGAATATAAATACGTGTCCTGGCCAAAACTATTTGAGGAAAATGCGGGCATCGTCTAATGGGTAAAATATGAAGCTGCCATCATCCTGGCAAAAGGATCCTGGGGGCTGGCAAGCTGGCGGAACGTGGCGCGTGGGCCGCGCGTGTTAAAAAAGAGCCTGCAGAGTGGCAAATTAATTATAAAAGATTCCGCTGCCAGCAAGTTAAATATTTTTGCTCAACTTCAGTTCAAACTGTGGGCGTACCCGAGGCGTGGCCGTGGAAAATAAGTTGCCAGTAACTTGACGCACATTTGTCAGGTTTTCCGCCGTGAAAAAGGGGTTTTTAGCGGATGGGGCGAGTCTACAGGTGTCTTTTCACTGCCAGGAATGTGTGTGTGCGTGTGAGTGGGGTGGACATGGGCGTAGATAAAGGGGGGACAACTGATATATGGTTCTTTGAAATTAGTCCAAGTGCAAAATGTCCTGAAAGCGATAAAAAATTGGGCAAAATGGAAAATAATTGCATAACTTTGTCAGACTGTTGTCAATGGATATTTTCAGAAAATCTCTACTTTTACTACATACATAAAATCAAATAAAAAATAAATAAATTTTAATAAAGTTTAGTAATTTTAGTTTAAATTTTATCTATTATAATTCTAAATCACTTGGTTAATTGCCTAAAAATCATAAATTCAAATACAATAATTTATTTAACCGAATTTTCACCAGCCCATTAGAAGTGGCTGAGACCAACATCATTATTCGATGAAAGTTGATAATTAATTTATTGGTTTATTGATTCAAAGTGATTATATAAATGGTCTTTTAGCCGTCGCTTTATCACTGCAACCCCACCGTGTAAGTAGATGTGTATCTGCAGAATGTAATTTGCAGCCTCAATATTTGAAAACACTTGGTGTGTGGTTGCTCTTGGCCGATTTTAGAACGTGTATACATAATATAGATACATCCTAATACTTATACATATTGTTCATGGAATGTTTGCTCAATTAGCATTAATGAATACTCATCGTCTTCCAGGGTAATGCCCATAAAAGCTGGCCTTAATAATTGAATTAATGTTGCTCCGCTGACGTTCACATCGCCTCAAGTTGTTGTTTACTTATTAGGCTAATTGTGTTCATTAAGACCACCTGCTTTGCAATCTGGTACTTTAAACTGTTCAAATTTTCGGCTTCAGTATCGATTGATCCGAAATGCTATTTTCGTGTCTTGACCTTACTCCTAACTCCCTCCCCCAACAATGCAGCACATCGCAAGTCATCTGCAGCAACATCGTCGTCTGCATTTCAAAATCACACACAAAACATTTCCCAAATGCGAAAATGCAGTCAAAGTCGTGCAATAAGCAGTGCCACCTAGACGACCTAACTCAATAGCAACCGACTTGACTCTACACTGAGAATCTATATCTTATATTCTATAAACTATTCACCTTTTAATGTCTAAAGCCCACTTAAAGTCAATTAAAAAGTAAACTAAAAGCCGTACATTCTACTCCAGAGTCTCCATGTGCCCGAGAGCTCTGGGCTTTACAAAGAGACTTGCAATTATATAGATTATATTATATTAAATTGGAACAATTATTTTTTTGTATAGTGTTGGGGTATAGCCTGTAGAACCGACCTTTTTTGTGATTGTTCAGTCAGCCGTTGATAGAGACATTGAAGAGCGACACCGAGCGAAACGTTTGAGAAATACCCAGTGGGAAATAGGGGAGTACATAGAGAAACATAGAGAAACAGAGGGCAAATACCTCTCTGGCCATTTTCTCGCTGGGCTTTGTGGAAGCTATTGGTGTTGCTATTGGCGTTGCAACAGTTGCTGTTGGTGTTGCTAACTCTGTGCAATTGTTGTTGCTATATTTAGCATCGCAGACGCAATTTATATAAAGTTAAATTGATTGGAAAATCAAATCGATTCGATTCGCACTGCAGCAACATACATAGCTTTGCGTTTGACCAGGAGGAACAAAATGTAGGGGAATTCCCCGAACACAAAGTCCAAGCCCACATCAATGGTCGAGATATACAAGCCACGTTTCAGGCCGATAGTCGTTTATCTTAACAGAGCTTGGATACATTTTGCGATCTTGGTAATGCAAAACAGTTATACATAAATGAAACAATAGCGACGGGCCAAGGCAATAAAAGCCAAAGAAACACTTGGTAATTGAATTAAGCCTCTTAACCTGAACATGACAGGCTCAAATAAATAATTGACTAAGCACGTTAAAGCGAAGCAGTTTAAAGATGAAATATTTCTTTTAAATCCGATATTTCTGCAATAAAATTTATAAATTTCTAAGCAATTTAAGAAGTCTGAAACAACTGGCAACACTCGCTCGTTAAGGGACTGCAATAATTTGGCTCCTCGTCATCTATTTACTCGGCAACCAGCCACCCAGCAGTTAAATGGTCCAACTTTTTACAATTGCATTTTATTTTCCACTTTACAATTGCTCTATTTTAGTGGAGCAGCTATCTGGCAGATCCACCCAAGTACTCCACCTCGACTAATCCAAATCCACAGCCACTCAAACGGAGCCACAGCAACACAGCACTTGTCATTAACAAACAACGCAATACCTGTTTAATTTTTATTGTGAAACTTGGCTCGGCGAGAGCTTAACTTTTCTCAATGCAGTTGGCCTGGCCAGGTTAGACACGAAGCCAAGCCCACTACCGTTCGGGTAGTGGCCCACTGGCCACGGGGTAATGTCACGGCGAGGGAATTGGATGGGGGTCTGGGGGCTTAGACGATATGTTTAATGGCAGAAGCAATGGAAAAACTTTTACGTATAGCAAAGCAATTCAATTGAAAATAATTAGAAACGTAGCCACATGGCGAAACTTCTTAATTGCCTGACTATTGTGCGTTAGCACTGAAAAAAAAATTAGGGAGGAAGACTATTCATAAAAATATATATAGCTAATTTTTTATGACGAATCACCTTAGATATAGACTCTGAGATTGAGCAGCTTGAGCCCAAGACATTATGGAACCCCGCCACGTATCTGTGAGCGTGGGGAGAAGCAAATCCAAGAGATACAACTTGTGGAAGAGATAGAAAGAGAGTCATACAAAGCGATAGGAGCTACATATAAAAATATGTGCTTCTATAAAAAGCTATATCATTGCTACTCCTCGCCTTGACCATGCACCTCAGTCAGCATATCGTCGTGCTATTTCTGTGGCTCTGCTGCGCTCTACTCGGCGGTAAGTGGTTTTTAATATCTACAAACTGCGAATTATTTATTTATATTTTATTTATACTTGTCTGTTACGCAGTTCGAGGCCAGCCTTGGCGTTGGGGACCTGCCTCGAATAGTGGACCGATCGGTGGACCCGCCTGGAATGGAGGGTCTAACGAAACCACCGACAACATAGTCATCCACTCGAACGGCGGCGGAAAGTGGCGTTACTAATTTAAAACATTCACTTTGTTGCAATTCTAAAAATGGATATTGTTTTGTAACTATTTTTAACATGAAAATTTAACAGTCACGACCCAGTCACTGTCATACTTTAAAGTTTTTATGATCATATACGTAACAATATTTAAAATATACTCAAATAAATATTCATAAGTTTTTACTTAAAGAAAGTGTATATTATTAATTATATTCAGGATCAGAAGCCTCGAATGATAAGGTTCCGAGTTTCATTGATAAGCCCCCCAGAATCCCCGCTTTGTACTTGTAAATGGGGAATTTCTCAAAGTTGTGTCGAGCGGTACTAGTCAAAACAAAGACGGCACGTGCTGGCTTAATATTCCTAATAGTATTTAGTATTCAAATTACCACTACGCCCATTTAGCCGGTTTGCAGCGCCCCACTGACGCGATAAAAAACAAAACAATTGAAATCTCGCTCACATTTTCGCAGACTCGGAGATCGGGAGCCGCTTGGTTAGCAGATGATTCAGAGCCTTTAGTATATTCCGTCTATAACATCAACCGCAAGTAAACAAAACAAACTCGTTGCTGGCAATTCCCCGGCAATTGCACCGCTGACCTCACCGCCCTGTCTTATCGGGCCGAGAGTGTTGGGAGAGTTCCAGAATCGAGAGCTTCGACCACATATAGTAGAATCTACATATATGATGAGCCGATATTAGACTGCACTCGTATAAATAGCTGACACGGGACTTGCCATTGGAATAGTCAATGCGAAATGACCTCAAGCACTAGAACCTGGATCTTACTGGGCCTGATGGCCGGTGTCGCCACCTTGTCTGGGGGTAAATATTTTTCATGCCTCTCAAGCCAAAGCATTTCAAATTAATTTCCATCCTCTATTAGCGGCCAAGCTTCCCCAAGAGGATGACCAAAGGATTATCCAGAACAATGGCAACACCTACCTGTCGAACGGTGCGGGTCAGATCTTTCGCAGGGCTGATGGCAAAACCGTCCTGATCGGATCTGATGGTCGAAGCATCGTCACAGATACCGACGACAGCAGCGAGGAGGATGTGTCCAATACTTATTATTCCAACAACAACAACAACAACAACGTCATCATCAACGGAGAGTCCGGCAACAGCATTGTCCAGAGCAATGGTCACAGTTTCATCTACGGGGATGCCAACCAGGGAGGCAGCTTTATCAACTCGAATGGTCGCACCATCCGCATCGTCAATGGTGCTATTGAACTCACTGAAAATGGACAGACTTACACCTTCCAGCCAAAGGGCCCTGGAGTAGCAACCAAGGAGACCGTGGACGTCAATGGACAGCCGGCCGAGGTGGAGTACACGAACGATGACATTGTTGTTGAGTTGGCCGATCACACGGTTATTGCCAAGATTGGAGGACGCACCTTCGTAGGCGATCGCTATTCCTTCGAACATCGAGAGGAAATGGAGGCCGATGCCAGGAACTTGGCCTCCCGCATCCATGAGGAAGTCAATACCAACCTGAAGAAAACCATGGAGGACCTTCAGGCTACCCTGCAGAATACCTTCGCCAATATACGCTTTTAAAATTCAGTAATTGTACAATAGTCGCTCTCCAATAAAGCGCATTACAGCATTTGCCTCGGCATTAACCGAATAACTTCCCCAGTTTCCAGTAAGCGAATAGGTGGGCTAATGGATGCAAATTTCATAACCAGCCCGTGAGATGGGCGTGTCGGTAATTCTCAGTAATAATCTCTCACAAGTCGCACAACCTGCGGTCATTTGGGTATTTGGACCAGAGCCCGCCACCACAACCACCACCGCGAGCGTCTTAAGATTTCTGATTGATTAGCGGGAAATCCAGCATGTCGCCTTTGGGCCAAGTTAATTCTAACGCTTAGTTAACCAGCCAGAAGGCTGTGGGCGTCTCTGGATTAGAATACAATTACCGCGTCGACTTTGTCGTCTTAGAAATAAAGATATTTTTCAGTAGAATTTCTTATTATCTTTATTCAAAAATGGCATTTCTGCTAATTCAATTAGTTTTCATCCAAGGGGCCTTGATCTCACTTTGCACTCGCAAATGGGCAATAATTGACTTAACCAATTATTCAAAATATTTCAACAAGTTCGAGAATGACAATAAAAAAGACACAATTTTAAAATTACAAGTACTTGCTTAATTTACAATACTTTACAATATTTTATGCTGATTTTTATTGTCTTTCTTTAATATTTTTCTAGCTCTTTAAAGCTCTCAAAGTTTTCAATATTTTTCTACAAAAACTAAAAGATTATGTCTTTCACATGATTTTTATTCAATTTTTAAAAACTAACTACTATATTTTTCATCTTCTATGACCTTCTAATACCTTTAACTTTTATATTCTTTAGGCCAACTTGATTCATTTTGGCTGAAACCCTGCAGAAATTGGCCAAAACTTTAGCCCGATAATGTGGCATTTCAAGTCGACAGACATCAGGTCACATTGGGCTCGAAATTATTTTAGTATTTGAATCTATTTTCGATTTTTTTTCAAATGTCAACGATTGGCATCAATGGCCCAAGTGCGGGAATGCCCTTTCAGCTGACGGACCAACAGCTTTCGGAGTGGCGCTTCGACTTCTACGGGTCACCGAGTAACCGGCTGGCCCAAAACGTATGCACGGCCCGTAACCCGATAAATGCCTGTCTGAGATCTGCGGCGGAACTGAGCCAGGTACTTGACGGCGACAAGAAATGGTACGAGGTGAGTGCAACGGGGAAGGCCACCACGGGCGGACCTGGATGGATATGCACCGGTTTGGACCTGTTGCGCTTGGAATTTGTCAAGAAGTATCCGGCGCCGGCGGATTTTGAGTTTTCCGCGGGGCATTTGGTCTTTTGGCACAAACTGGAGCGTTGCAACTACTTTCTGTGCACCGTGTCGGCGCTCCTGGAACGGTGTGAACCCCTGGATGGACGCAACTTCCGGCATCTGATGAAGCACGCGGCACCGGACGGCGGCAACTGGCACATGTTTGTGAATTTGGTGAAAAAGCACGGTGTAATGCCGAAATCGTGCTACCTAACTCCTAATTCAAAGTCAGTCACCAAGTTAAATAAAATTCTGAGGAGCAAGGTGGTATTTATTAAACTCTCCCAATCACAGCAATAAAAATCTATCTATTTTTAGCTCCATGAGTACTCCAGTTTGCTATATGCCCAGTTCACCTTCGATGGAGATGCCTCTCGCTTGCCAAAACTCATTGGAAGGATGATGCCAAGGCTGTATAAAGTGGTGAGCATTTGCCTTGGTGAGCCACCCGAGGAGTTCAACTGGACCTTCTACGATCAGAAGAAGCGTTTCCAAAGCCTGGAATACCTAAGTTCTTTGCAGTTTTACGAGATGATGGTGGCCAATGATACCAATCTGGACGAATTCGTTTGCCTAGGTCACGACCCCCGTTTATCCGCCGGCTATCACACCAACTTCGAAGTGGCCCACAGCTCGAACATGGTGGATGGACTGACCCACCGATTCAACAACCAGCCCATGGAGGTCCTGTTCCAGGTGATGATCGATTCCCTGACCGGAGGCAAAGCTGTTTGGCTGACCTGTGACCTTTGTCCGAGATTTATGGCGAAAAGGGAGACCCTTAGCCTAATCCAGAAGTCCCATAACTTCAGCGTCCTTTTTGGCGTGGAAGTGGGTAACTCCTTTAACAAGGCGGACAGAATGGTCTATAAAGAATCACGTCCAGACGCAGCGCTCCTTCTAACCGCCGTTGGACTCAATTCTATCAATGATCCGGTGGAATTCCACAGCATTAGTGCCTCCGTGGCGGGCAAGACTGAATCCACTATAAGTCTGCACGAGGATAATGATGATGATGAGGAGGAGGAGAAGAAGGATAAGGACAAAAATGATGCCGCGAAGAAGAAAGGTAAAAAGACTAAGGCAGCCACCGTTGATGCGGACTGGTTACGGGAATATGGCTTTGAGATTATTGTCCACGAAAGTTTTGTTCCGGTCGATATTTTAAATGCCAGCCGATTCCCCAAGCTCACAATGCTGCCCCCATGGGACCCTATGGGGTCTCTGCTGGGCTGATATCGCCAGGATTCATATGGAAAAGTCCTCTGCCAAGGCCTCTGGTGGACATATGTTGCATTTGAATCTGTGATCTTGATAAGAATGAAATATATAGTATCTGCAGACTTCACCTTTTTGGTCCCTAATTCCCCACTTTATTTAAAGGCATCACTATTTGACATTTAATAGTCAACTTTGTGACATCCGACAATCGTTTGTATAGAATTATTTAAAAATCCCGCAACGTCTGTGTCGTTGTCGTTGTCCTTTGTGGCAGTTGTTGTCATCGTCACCGAGGCGCGGCCTTCACTAAGTTTTTCGGGAATCGGTCCTACGTGCCCGGCATGCCTAATTAGGCATTAGGGAGTTGCCTCAGGGAGTGGCAAGCCAATCCACTGGCTCCAGGCTCCCGGCTTCATGCTTTTGGCTGCCGAGTAGCCAGCCAGCCGGCTACTGTTTTTCAACTTAAGGGATTTGCGCTAAGAAATTCGACTTTGCATAAAATGAAAACAACAACATTTATCTACGACTTAAAGGCCAAGAATTTTTATTTTATTAAATTTTCTAAAAATTAAATCTTAAAGACATCCGGCTCTAATAAATATACGCCGACTCTAAACGCCTGCCCTGATCATAGGGATACTGATGGTATGTGTTGGCTGCAGGGAATGCAGGACGTTCGATAATGATGGGCTGGACCACCACGGTCTTCGATCCGAAGAGCTTGCTCAGAAGATGACGAGGCTTGCGAATGCTGTTAGTGTTTTGGTCTGCATTCGACGTCGGCGATTCGGCGGATCCCGCATCTGCTGCAGGGGCCACTGCAACAGCATATAAGCCACCAGCTGGCACATCAGCATCTGCAACGTGGTTACTAGGAAATGCCACCACCAAAGCAACGGTGAGACTGCTGAGCAAAAGAATAGCCACTACTTTCATCTTCGGATTTGTTGTGGGTTCGACTGATGATGAATACAAACTGATGCCTTGGAGTCGGAATGGTTGTCCTTAAATAGGTCCTACAGGTAGAAGAGTAACAGGTCTATCTACCTGCTCTACAATTAGGGTCCATAATCCCCTAAACAGTTGCAGCTGCAGGTGATTTAGAAAACCATTCTTCCCGGAATTCTTAATCGGTTTATGACTCAACAGTTGAAACAGATTGGTTTTGGAATTTTTTGGAATGCTTGAAACGAGTTTTATTACACGATTATATTTTAGCTTCGATGTGGTTCCCATTTACATGCACAAACGCCCAACTTCATGATATATATTTAGATTTTCTTTATAGGAGGAACTGAGGGGGTGGTGGCATGCCATCGGGTGGTGGCGGCATACCGTCAGGTGGTGGAGGCATACCGGGTGGAGCCTGACGACGTGGCTGAGGATGGAAATCAGGATTGTGAAACGTCAAAGATCACTTTGGTTTATATATTATTTTACCCTGAATTGCGGTGGTGGTGGTGGATTCTCATTGGCCACCAGGATCTCTTCCAAAGCATCACGACGGGACTTAGAAAAAAATATATTATTAAAATAACAATCGATGGTTCAATATACTAACTAAAGTCTACTATTTCTTACTCGAATCTTGGGTGGTGGCGGCGGTTCGTTGGCCACCAAACCTTCATGAAGACGATTTATTCCGGGGACATGGCGCCGCGCCTAAAAGTAGGCATCGAACAAAACGTTGTATTAACAAGGCTAAACTGTAAACACGACGCCTCCTTAGAATCAAGTTGGAGCATTTGTTCCGGCGCCTTTTCGATTTTTAGGATTTAAGGGCCAAAAAGTCTTAGGATTCATTGGCCACCACTAAACCCACTAGAAACTTACCCGCTGGAACAGGCCGACGAACTTGGGCTCCTGGTTGGAAAGGGGAGGAGAGAAGAGACACCCTTTAAAACCTCCTTGATAAGTCACAACTAACCGCCGGAACTCACCTCCAATCCGTTTGTGGTGCCCCCGCCACGTCCATCAACCCCGAATAGGGTCAGAGCCACAACGTAAATAACCAAAACAAGGCAAAATAGCTTCATTTCCGAGCTGTCACGTTCCTCAGGCTCACTAAAATGGTGAAAATGCCCCGGACAATTCGTCTGATGTTTGCTGTTTTAGCTTGGCATCATCGGCCAGTAACTCCTTTATATACCCATTGATATTGCTCTGGGGGGGATTACGTTTAATTGGCTTGTTGGGGGCGTTTTCCGGAATCTTGTAAATTCGGGACCGATACACGACAAGTGATAAACAAAAACATGTTAATTGCATATTAAATAATGACTTTTCCAGATCATCCATAGAGATAGGGCGGCAACTGAAGGTAGTGAGAAACTGTGACATGATCCGGTGATTTTAACAAGATCGGAAATAGATGCGAAAAACTAACACTACAATTTATTTGTTTTTAGTTTTTAAGTGAGAGCTTATCAAGAAGGTAATTTTTATATAATAATTGAGTTTTTTTTATTTAAAATTTTCCACAGTGCAATAATTTGATCAGAACATTGCAATATCACGACGAAGGTGTCAAAGGAAGAAAGTATACTTAAGCCACAGCAAATTCGTATTAAATCTGCAATCTCCGTGTCCCGTTTTGGCACCTAGTCTGCATCTGTCACTCACCCCCGAAACCCCTGGGCAACCCCTACAAAAGACAAATGATTCTCCGTTGTCACGGTTATTTTATTTTACTTTATTTTTATTTTATTTTCTTTTTTTTTTCATTATTTCCGCTTGTAAACGCCACAATGCTTCCACGTTTGCTAAGTCCTGCATAATTTTGAATTATAACGCGCTTTGATGTCGCCGCGAGTGAAAAGTGCGAAGTCTAGAAGAGAGGACTGAAGAAAGGATGTAGCAGCAGGATGGGGCGAGCCAAAAGGATCGTTCTCAAGTCAAATAGAAGTGCAGGCGACAACGGTGGAGGTGGAGGCTACAGGGCTGTAGAAGGCGGTGCCAGGACATAAAAGAAAAGTACAAAAATAAATAAGCGCACTTTTTTCTCATTTCCGTTGCTTACTTTGACGTGTTTAGTTTTTGATGTGCACACACTGGCACGAGTGCGACAAGAAGGTATAGCTATGTGTATAAAGGGTGCGGTAGCAAAAGCTAGGCGAGGGTGTCAAGGCGAATGATTAAATTCGCCCGGCAACATGGACAGAGTTGAGCCCCTGCTTCAATTCTTCTTGCCGTCTGTCTCATTCTATCTAACTCATTTTGGGCGACCCCCTGACTGTGTCGCTGTCTCTGTCGCCGGCGCTTCCTCTCTTTGTCTGTGTGGAAACTTTTCTCATTAGAAAACTTTTACTATTTCCGCTACTCAACGCCAAACGCAAACAACAAACGACAAAAATACGAAATACATAAAAAAAAAGTTCCACGCTCGAAAACCCGAAATGCGTAAATGTGTTGTAAATAAAATGTTTAATGCGCCTAAAGCACCTAAATTTCTTATTTTTGACAAGTGTCATTGAAATTCAAGCTAGTCCTTGAAAGTGCATCTAAAAATTTAAGTTGTATCATTCCAACTAGGTGACGAACCGCCTGCCTCAGTCTGTTACTTCCAAAAACCTTGATATTAAAATTGTTTATGGTTTTTCTTAAATAATGCCCTTAATCTGCAAATGTAAAAATATGATTTCCATTCACTTGTATTGCCTTTATGCCATGTATACCTACATTATTCATTGAAAACTATTCAAAAATATCAGTAAAAACGAGAAACACTGGCGCCTAAAATTTCTCTTTATTCAATTTGCAAAACGAAGCTGAAAATGCTGCTTGAAAATCAATAAATCAGTTCGCTCGGCAGCTTACCTCAGTTTCAATTCAATCAGATTTTGTTATTTGATTTTACCTTTACTTCTCCCGTTCACCGTTCCGTCCGGCTGTTCTTCGTTCTTCCGGTTTCCTGTGCTTGCAGCGCATTTCCTTCAAGTACTTCGCATTTGCTCTAATTTGATTTTGAGCGGCAGCTTCTTGTGCGATTGCCACTGCCAGGCTGTCATCTGTCATCGCGAATTTGAAAGACTCGCCCGTTTTAAGTTGCGAATATTGATTGAGAATTGCTTCTACTTTTTAAATTAAATAATAAAAAAATCATTTTTTTTTAGATGTACATAGTCCATAAAGAAACTATCCCTTAAACTGTCATTTAATATTAAAAGAAAAAGTAGGTTATCCCACCAACACAAAATATATTGATGCCATTTCAATGCAATTTACCATCCTCCCCGTTTAATAGCATTAATGGGAAAATGAAAAATTCAATTACCAGGCTGGCCATTAGTAGCCCATAGATTTGAAGCCGACATTTAATGCGCCATAAGTAGCTAGTGAAATTAATGCCCGACTGCCCCAATTGACAAAGTGCCCGATCCCAGGCCCATACCGAGTCCCAGGCTCAGGCTATTGCGCTAATGCAAAACATAAACCAGTCCGCCTGGGGGCAACGGGGCTACCAGTCCCGGTGAAATGTGTTTTAGTTGTCGATGCATATTCGCCAGATACAGATACCCTCACCCAGTAATAAGTTCAATAGCGCCCGTTCAGCTGCCGGGAACGGGATATGCTGCTGCATCACGTTGCCGGCAAACGAGGGCATCACGAACCGGATAATGATCAACGAACTGTATACGTTTCCGCAATCGTAGTCAAATCGACAAACATACACATAGAATGCAGCGGCTGGCTCAACAGCTTCTGCTCCTTGAAGCTCCTTGCTTCGTCTCCTTCCGTTCTGTCCCTCCCTCCAACCTCCTCCCACTCTAGCTCCTTGCCGCTGTCATTGGGGACTACTCTGCATCGGAATGGCATCGAAGGCCGAGGTGCTTTGGAGATGTAGCCCAAGAAGCTTATGCCGCTTCGCAGGGCAACGCCAGTGCCAACAACTACACTGAGCAGAAAATATAAATTAAGAAACTGGCTTAAACTAGTTCTAGTTTTAAAAGTTTATTAAAATTTTGTAGGTATTTTTTAAACTAAACATTTTAAACTTCATTTTTGGGTACCTCTGAAAAAATTACGTATACGACACGTATGCCAAAAAATATGGCTGGTCATGCTAAGCTTTATTGTTAAAATCTTAATTATGAATAAATAATCCCCAGTCCTAGACCCTATTCATGTACTTTATAAATCGGTAAAAATCTTTATACGATGAGGCAACACTGCGTATGAGTGATCACCAGCCCTTTTCCCATCTGCAATGAAAAGTAACCTAAGAAACTCAATTGTGGCTGATTTTTTTTTTCTGTGAAAAAAATAAATGGAACCTCCTTGGGAGGTAAGCCCATTCCCCCTCTGGAATATTTTGCATTATTGATAAACTGCTTTCTCGTAGTCGTCATCGTTGTCGCTGTTGGTGCAAGAAATAAACCAGCGGCGAGGAATATTTATGACACCGCCATGCCCCAGCAAACACTGTAAAAAAAAAAAAACAGTACATGCATAAGTATTGGCAGCCAACGAAGCGGACAGACAGCCCGGCACGCCCCAAAGCTTGAGACGTGTCGAGCATTAAGCGCCGGAACGTGTGTAACAGGCTTCCTTAGGGACGAGGATCTCCTGTACCTAGGAGCTAGGTGCATAATAATGGAGCAGTCATGGCCACCAGATGGCGACACATTCGCAAAACTTTTGATGGCAGAAGAATGACCCCAGAAGAATGACCAATTGGCCAATATATTTCAATAATTAGTTCTAGAAGGTAATGTTTTAAATCCTTGTAATCCTTGTAATGTAATTTAATAATTTTCAACCAAATATCTTACTTTCTGTAAGCTTCTGAAAAAGAAACCAAAATTAAAGCCTGGAAGAATTGGAAAAGGCGCCAATGGAGCGTTTAACGGTGTCTACGCAATGCTCAGGGAGTCAGAACAGTGGGGTCATTGGGGAGGTAGGCAGCCGAGGCATGAACGGGTGCCGGAAAGTGGCTGCAGCTGCTCAAAAAGCATTTGCCAGACCAATTTAGCGTGGCTCCCAAAACTCTCAACTCGGCGCACAGTGAGTGCAAAAAATGTGTGCTCGTTGCGTTGTAATTGCATTTGCTTTTGCTTTGTTGTTACTTACAAAAAAAAAAAAAAAAGAGTACCGCTCAGAGCCGGAAGGTGCGGGTGAAGAGAGAGAAAGTGCAGGAGCGAGAAAAAGTTAACGAACGGGCACAAAGAGCTGGTGGCCAGGAGAGTAGAAAGCTCCACGACAATGGACGACACATAATACACATGAAAAAATAATGTCAATAGTTATAAATATAAAATTGTATAATTAAACTTTAAGCTATTATTACCATGATCTTAAATCTATACTAGATTAAATTAAATTTTTTATACATTAAAAATAAAGTTATATTTTTCTCCATACTTCAATACGACAAAAATTAGGGTTAGAGGTAGGGGGAGTTGGAACAGAATGGGCGTGGTCATGGGCAGTGCGTCTCTGTCTGGTAACGCACACATCACGTAGCAAAGTTGCCGCAACTAAAACTTCATCAATTTGCCTTGTGAATCCTTGGCAACTTTTTGCCCCGATGTCTGGGTGTGGATGTGGTATGTGGGCTGGAGAGGTGGGGTTCTGAAAGTGCGTACATATGCACATCCAATATGTACATACATAGTATGTAGCTACGTGCATCACGACCAGTGCATAAAGCAAATTATATCGGTTTGTTTGAGAGAGCGAGCTTCATTTTACGCAATTTTCAGACCATCGCATTGCAGGACCTGCGCTCCATTTGGCCATTAATGCCTCGCGTTTTATTTATGATTAATTACAGCGTTTAAAAGTGCATAAATTTGCATTGGATAAAAGTGTTTTTACTAACGAAAATAATTAAATACGTCACGGCCGCAATGGAATCCGGTGGAGGACCCGCCATAAGAGTGCATAAAATATGAATTTGCATTAAAGTATTTTTTTTCCTTTGATTTAAATATCAATTGACTGTTAAATATTTGTTTACATATTTCTACATATTTTTATTTCCAGTCGACGAAAAAAGAAGTCTTCATTTTTAATTAGATTGTATATAATTGATTAAAATGATCCACATCATGGGATCAATAACACTTTGCCAGAGAACCTTCTCATTCGCGTGCTCAAAAATGTAAACAATGACTCATTTTTTGTTTTCTTATTTTTAATTTATTATCTCGATTTTAAATAATATTTTTTAAAGAGTCCTATGTCTTCTGATCATAGCCATTTACCACATATGCCCCATCGTCCTGCCGATAACCAAGTCCATTGTATACCACATACGTCCAAAAGTACAAAGTGTCGCCCAAGTTCAGCTTCGTTTCACGATCCCGAAATATCCAGCGTCCCTGCTTGGCTTTGGGGATGTCGCGGGCCCATCGTCCCGCCTCCAGTCCGTCAAACTCCTCGTTCACCTTGCCGTGGAAGGCAAACAACGAAATGCCAGGCTCATCCGGTATGGAGACCTCGAATCCCTTGGGATAGAACACGCGCACCCGTGCCTCAGGTGCCTCGTAGGCGTGGCCGCAACAAATCGCCACCGCCAAGACCAGAAGGCACAGCGGAAGTAGAGCCATCACAAAACGGAAGAGAACGTGTTGCGGAATCGGTGGCTCGCACGAAACTGAATCCAAGACAGCGGAGCAAATCTGTTTCTTTGTGTAGCAAGAGCTCAGCTTGCTTATCAAAATATATTAAAAATAAACCAGAGAGCGGCAGTTTATTATATTATATGATGTACTGTATATGGTACAAGGGACAAGGGGGCGTCCCTTGACCGACGCTAAAATATATTCAAATTTAAAATTTAATAAAATTCTTAAAATTCTTATTTTTTACCATACATTTTGTCTCAGGATTTTGATGCAGAATGGTGGTAAATCGAGCCAGAAATCGTTTAAGGTACTCCGCTTGAGAATCGGATGAGAATTGGGGAAGATATAGCCATCACCCTGGGCCCTATAGGGAAAAACCCCATTTTCAAGGGATCCCATCAGGAAAAATGGACAAAAAATTGAAAAAATATTTTGTCTCAGGATTTTGATGCAGAATGGTGGCGAATCGATCTAGAAATCGTTTAAGGTACTCCGCTTGAGAATCGGATGAGAATTGGGGAAGATATAGCCATCACCGTGGGCCCTATAGGGAAAAACCCCATTTCCAAGGGATCCCATCAGGAAAAATGGACAAAAAATCTAAAAAATATTTTCTTTCAGGATTTTGATGCAGAATGGTGGCGAATCGATCCAGAAATCGTTTAAGGTGCTCCGCTTGAGAATCGGATGAGAATTGGGGAAGATATAGCCATCGCCGTGGGCCCTATAGGGAAAAACACCATTTCCAAGGGATCCCATCAGGAAAAATGGACAAAAAATTGAAAAAATATTTTGTCTCAGGATTTTGATGCAGAATGGTGCAGAATCGATATAGAAATCGTTTAAGGTACTCCGCTTGAGAATCGGATGAGAATTGGGGAAGATATAGCCATCACCGTGGGCCCTATAGGGAAAAACCCCATTTTCTAGGGGTCCCATCAGGAAAAATGGACAAAAAATTTAAAAAATATTTTGTCTCAGGATTTTGATGCAGAATGGTGGCCAATCGATCCAGAAATCGTTTAAGGTACTCCGCTTGAGAATCGAATGAGAATTGGGGAAGATATACCCATCACCGTGGGCCCTATAGGGAAAAACCCCCTTTTCTAGGGGTCCCATCAGGAAAAATGGACAAAAAATTGAAAAAATATTTTGTCTCAGGATTTTGATGCAGAATGGTGCAGAATCGATATAGAAATCGTTTAAGGTACTCCGCTTGAGAATCGGATGAGAATTGGGGAAGATATAGCCATCACCGTGGGCCCTATAGGGAAAAACCCCATTTTCTAGGGGTCCCATCAGGAAAAATGGACAAAAAATTGAAAAAATATTTTGTCTCAGGATTTTGATGCAGAATGGTGCAGAATCGATATAGAAATCGTTTAAGGTACTCCGCTTGAGAATCGGATGAGAATTGGGACGATATACCCATCACCGTGGGCCCTATAGGGAAAAACACCATTTCCAAGGGATCCCATCACGAAAAATGGACAAAAAATCTAAAAAATATTTTGTCTCAGGATTTTGATGCAGAATGGTGGCGAATCGATCTAGAAATCGTTTAAGGTACTCCGCTTGAGAATCGGATGAGAATTGGGGAAGATATACCCATCACCGTGGGCCCTATAGAGAAAAACACCATTTCCAAGGGATCCCATCACGAAAAATGGACAAAAAATCTAAAAAATATTTTGTCTCAGGATTTTGATGCAGAATGGTGGCGAATCGATCTAGAAATCGATTAAGGTACTCCGCTTGAGAATTGGGGAAGATATACCCATCACCGTGGGCCCTATAGGGAAAAACCCCCTTTTCTAGGGGTCCCATCAGGAAAAATGGACAAAAAATTGAAAAAATATTTTGTCTCAAGATTTTGATGCAGAATGGTGCAGAATTGATCTAGAAATCGTTAAAGATACTCCGCTTGAGAATCGGATGAGAATTGGAGAAGATATAGCCATCGCCGTGGGCCATATAAGGGAAAACCTAATTTATATGGATCCCATCACGAAAAATGGACAAAAAATCTATCTAGAAATAGTTTATGGTGTTCCGCTTGATTCAGTTAAACATTTAATTAAAATAAGCAATACTATTTTTCTTCACTGGATTCTGATCTTAGTAATTGCTCCATTCTGTAGCAGTAAAATATTCCAAAGCCATACTCGCAAACGTCTTTCTCATTTCTATACTCATAATGACATCTTACGAGTGTAGATGATATTTCGTACTCGTCGATTATACCTGCATCCAAGTATTTATCCAGATTAATTTCTCCGTTATAATTTAACAACATATAGTAAAAAAGGACGCAAGCCACGCGACATTTATGGGTTCTATTAACACTAGACACCAGTAAGTTTGCCGGCCAATTTTCCATAATTTCGTTGGCTTCATTTTCCGTGAATCCAAAATGGTTTTCACAAGGATCATCAAAATACGCTTTAACCTAATAAATGTTTTTAATAAAAATATAGTTGTATAATTTCTTGAATCAAACTTACTAGGTTAGTCCCATGAATAAGGCAAACAAATGAAATGTAAAGTATTACCAACATTTTAAAGACCTTCAAACAAATGAATTTTTTAATGAAAAAAGCTCATACTTATAGCTCAGCAGACTATTTATTTAATATCAAAATAAACAATTGATTAAATAAAGCAATTAAATATGGAAGCATGCAATCAAAAACAATAAGCTGTACCAATTATAGATTTGAAACACAACCTGATTTAGAGCTTAACGTGATGACAAATTGGCTATTTAATATTATTAATGAGTCTGCTAGAAAAAACCAATACATTTTTCTAGAATTTGGGTTTTATTTCCATTTAATCGGTTTGTGTTACAGTTATGGGTGATACTGTCCATCGTCTATGTCACTGTGCTCCGACTGAGCAGCCAGTGCCAGACGCTGAGCCTCCTGTTGGCGTCCAATGGCCGCGTGCTCCGCAGCGATCCGCTCGAAAGCACTCAGGTGCTTCTGGGTAGCATGAGCCACTGCAGCACTGGTGTGTGGAGCATTGGCAAGCGCCTATAGATAGAGAGAAAACAATGAAATACAAGCTATATATTTGAATGCGAAAATAAGCAATGCATACCACATGGCCAGGTGTCTGATTCGCGTGCTCTTGGGCAATGCGATTGTAGGCTTCGAAATGCCTCTTCTTGGCCGCTTGGACGGCGGCACTGTCCTCCAGTTTGTGGCTGAGCTGAGGGTGGAAGCCGTGCTCATCGGCCACATACTGAACTGTGCGCACCTGGTTCTTGGGATCCACATAGGAGAAGGCACCACGGATCACACCCGATCCATCAGACACTTCGGTGTGCTGGCGATCCACATGGCCGGGAGCCCGACCTGCCTGGTAGCTGAACACATAAGGACTGGCTGGAACTTTCGGTTCGGGGGTGACCAGATGGGAGACGTCCGCCCTGGTAGCGGCCACCAAACAAATGACCTTGAAGCGCGATCAGGAAGATAGGTAGTTGAGTAATCGCCACTACAGCAATGAGGCAACAGTTAGCTTACCAAAACTATCAACTGCTTCATGGTTAAGTTATATTGCCTTTCGAGTCTAGCTGCGATTGGTAACTGACAGCGACTTGGCCAACAGTTTGTCGTATTCACAGTTCGTGAGAGCCAAAAACTGGTCTTTTGGTTGCCGAGATGCGCATTTTATAAGCGACTAGCTTCGGCTGTGCCAGCGACGATCCCCAAACTTGTTTTTACATTTTTGCATTCATAAACAAGGTAATTTGACATTAAATCTGAATTAACAAACTGTTTTTCAATAATAAGCATTTTATGTTTTAATCTGAGTCATCTGGTCTTGAGAATCAGCAACTTGATTATTGAGAAAGTTCATTTACAGAGGAGAAAAAGCTTAAACTTAGGACTTATTTGAATAGGAACTAGGTATTAACTTAAGTATAATTCCTTCTTTGGGTTATAGATTTGAAAATTAAGCTAGCTCATTCATAGTCTCAGCTATCCAATCACCATATTCGGAGACTTTGGTATAAACTCCAGGAAATACGGCGTTGGCGCAGCCGAATCCCCAGGACACAATTCCAAAGATTTTCATGCGGCCGTCGGTGGAGGTAACCAGTGGACCCCCGGAATCTCCTTGACAACTATCCCTGCCACCATTCTGAGTTCCTGCACAGAACATTGTGCTGGTTACGGTGCCAGCTCCAAAGTAGTTCCGGGCGCACTGATCCTGATCCCTGCGCTGCACAACTGTGTAACGCAAACGTTTCTCCGGCTGCATCTGCGAAATGCCCAGAGTTCCCCAGCCGCTGACAAAGAGCTGTGCCGCTGGCTGTATTTTATCTTCTTTGGTGACCAACGATATGGGCTGAATATCCCGACTATAGACAAGCGGTTGTTGCAACTGGATCATAGCAATATCGTTGTTCATTCGCGTGGGCTCGTGGAATTTTGGATGCGGAATGATGCGACGAACCCGTACATAGCTTCCACCACTGGCCCACTCGCTAGTACCTGCTCTGATAGCATAATACTGCGGTTTTGTGTATTCAAGCACACAGTGGGCAGCAGTGAGGATAATGGTGGGTGCCAGGATAGCTCCGCCGCAGGCGTGGCGGGTGCCCAACTGAAGCGAAACCTGGTGCGGAAAGTAGCTAATGTGCGTTTCCCAGCCGCCGACAATGCGACCATCCTTTCCTCCGTCCGTAATGTTCTGGCCTCCAGACGTGCAAACCATAAATAGGACGACACCCAGTCCGAATTCCAAGCTGAGCATGTTGAATTTACTGATTGACTGAGGAGGGATCTACTGAGGCCCCCTTTTTATGCAGAAATCCACATAAGGGCTTATCTTATCAAGAGACACAACTCTTTTGGTGGCCTTAAGCTGACCCTCGCACTATTTGGTGTATTCTTGACCTTGTCCGAGGCTATCTTTAGAATTTATAGATATATATAGATGGCTTTGGATTAACTAAAACGGAGGAAGAGTACGGAGGTGATGCTATTGTCGGGGCTTTTGCTCTTCCAATCATCTTTCCATGGCTGTGACCTGCTCCTTGAGGTAGTCCAAATGGTTGACACTATCGTGCATCACTTCGTACTGGTAATTCACGTGCTGAAGGATTAAATTCATCTTTTGCAAGTTCTGGTGACTATAATCCGATACGACATCCACTTGGGTGAAGTTTTTTAGAGTTTGGTGCATTATCTACGGAAAAATTACTCCTATAATTGGGATTTATACAGCAATAATTTCATATAACTCACCTCGTTGGTCTTGGAACCCCTGACAACTTGTCTAGCCACAGAGCCTAAAATATGTCCCCAGAAAGTCTTAGAAAAATAATCAATTTTCCATATTTGGCTTACTCACCCAAATTATTTACATTTACACCCACTCGAGCGCATAAGCGCTTCTTCGAATCATCAAAAAGGTGACGGGCACTTGAACTGGAAGCTGAGGCCATTTTTTAATCTTTTTACCTTGACTTTGGCTTTTTAACAAGCAATAAACTTTGGGTAAGACGAATAGTCTTTGTAAACAATCTTGGTAATATCCGCGAAACAACAAAGCGAAACAGTGTTGCCAGAAAACGGGTGTGTTTTCCTGATGGTGCTGCCAGATAACTTTCAATGCTGCCATATTTTTCAGCTAACAAAGAACGGCTATTTTTGGCTAATGGCCACACTTGGTCGCTTTCAAAAAACCCCAAAAGCCAAAACCGCCAAAAATTTTAAAAAACGTATATTTTTTTACTTCGAAGAAACAATCCAAAGATACAATTATATAGACCATATTTGGTGTCGGTTATTATTATATAATATATTATAATCCTTTATTTTTTGTACTTCTTACAAGTTTAGTAATAAGCTTAGCCTGAATTTCTGTATCGCCTCTTGAAGCAATGACTGACTCTTGGCTTAATGCCCTGGCAGCGGTTGTTCCAGGCCACCCAGGCGGAAAATCCTTGCTGTTTTCTTATATATTTCGCACACGCTATTGAGTACCGGATATCATCGCTAATGAGCAGCCGGCAGGGCAGACGGCAGAGATCCGTAGAAGGACGTCCATCTGCTGGTTTGCACCAATAACGATCATTTATTTGGAATAGTCCCCAATCCACAGAACCGTCGACGTTTGAGGGATTAATGGCCTTTGAATTAAAGGAACTTTCGCCCTCCACTAGGCACATCCAGTCAGGCAGCTCATTGTAGGGCACTCCGTATCGATAAAGCTGCCTCATCAGACTGCATCTGCCCACCTGGCGGCCACTGGTCAAGGGCAGGATTAAAAGCAACAGCCCAACCGGCCACATCTTTGAAAACTAAACGATGCTCTAATTGGGAATCGTGGCTTTTATAGTCGCCCAATATTTAGACCGGGCCAATCTAATTCTTTACAAGCACTCAATTGGACAGCTTTGAAGTGTGGCCTACACTTGAGCATAAATTATAAAGACTAGACAACAAAGTTCAACAAAGTAATAGTCACTGAAAAATTAATTTTTAAGTTGGTCAAGAAACTAAATAATATAAACAAAAATATTTTATTGAAATTAAAACAATTAACAATAAAATAAATTGTATTCAAATAATCTGACACCATTACTTGGCCGACGAGTGTTGAATTCATAACAGACTTTCGATTCTCGAGCCGATCGGGCCAGTTTCGTTAATATATGGAGTGGGAATGGCTCGCCATTTAAATTTAGCCGTACCATCTGCCTGGCCCCCGTTTCACTTTCAATGGATTCTTTTGTCGACGGGTATTATATAACCATATTGACAGCTGGAGAGGCTGGAGCACTTGAGATCGCGTGTGCTCCAACAATGGAATAATCAACAAAAAACCACCGAAAACCGTGTCATTCAACTTTTGGACTTTTTGCTTTTTTTGTTTCATTTGTTTTATCAAAAAATAGAGTACAAAAATATGCAAAAAATACAGTACTACTCTCTTTACTTAATCTACAGTCTTATTGTCCAATTGGATTTCCTGCAATTCCTGAGGCGGTGGAAGCTTGACGTCTTGTTCTGCGGGCTGCTGGTATCCCTGATTCGGCAGGAACTGTCGCTTTCTGGAGGTGGGCCGCACCACGATGTGTGCCACGCAGGTGCAAATGGCGGCTATGGCAAAGTACTTGAAGCTCTCACGTCCTCCAATTCTGTTGAACATGTATCCGCCGACCAAGGATCCGATCGAGAATCCCAGTCCATCGTCCATTCCAGCCATCAGTCCTTGGACAGTAGCCGAAGTGCCAGGGGGAGCCACTGCCGAGGCGTAGGCTACAATGCAGGTGTAGCAAAGGGCATAGGTTATGCCCTGGAAGAAGAGCTCCACGCCGACCAGGTACCAGGGATTGGGAATCCAAGCTATCAGCGACAGTCGCACCGCATAGAAAAAGAAGCACATGCTCATGCAATGGACATAGCCCAGTTTCTTGATGATCTTGCCGCTGTAGAAAAAGAATGGCACTTCACCCGCCAGACACTCGGCGGCCACTACTAATCCCTCGATCAACTTGATTTCGTGCATGTAGCCGGTGGCTTCGGCCACTTGCTCCAGGTGCCAGAACATGAAATAGATGATGAACGAATCGATGATTCCCGCCATGGTGGCGAAAAACAGGAACACCAGAATTGGTGGCTGTCGAACCAATTGCCAGACATCCTTCCAAATGGATTCCGATCCACCAAGTTTTGGAAGCTTCAGCTTGGACACACTGAACAGATCGAGCAGGCTGAACACGCACATGATGACCAAGGCTGGGGTCAAGCTCTTGACCGCATCCGAGGTCCACCAGTTGACCACGATACCCCCCAGCATGGCAGTGGCCCCGAACCCAATGGTGCCCCATACCCTCTGAGCTCCGTACTTATCCTGCTTTTCACCCAGGAGGTCAAAGCAGCAGGCATCCGATATGGAATTGGTCACATTGAAGCCTATAGTTCCGATGAAAAGCAAGCACACGAAGAGCCAGAACTTGCTGTCTCCATAGATGCAGGAACTCACATGCTGGAGCTGGCAAGAAGTGGAGGAGGTGTTACTCCAGTCCAAGGTCCGGGGCTGGGTGAGACACAAGTGGTAGCTCTCGTTGCCATGCAAGAGATTCTTGCTGAGATTAAGATTGTCCCCGTGGGCCACAATTAGGGCAGAAAATCCACTCTCACCCAGATTGCAGTCCGCCCTATGGGCTACTTGACAAAAGGATGGTGAGGACTCTATCGTAGGACTGCAGTCCGTGGGTCTCTCCAGCAGAGTCACATTCCAGGTGTCTTTATTGTCCTCTAACTGGATCGCATGCTCATTCCCGGGCAAGAAGTAGAAGCCAGCAAAGGCCAAAGTCATTATTAGGATAAGTGTGATGAAAATAAATTTTCGTAGGCTCTAGGATTGCAAATATTTTAATTAATTAATTATAAATAGTAAGTAGAGATATATATAGTCTTACCGTAAAATAATCAGCTAGAAAGCCCACCAGGGGCTTGGCCAAAACATATAAAATGGGCAAAACGGCCATGATATAGCCCATTACATCCGGAGGCACTCCAATTTGTTTGCCAATTACCGCCAATTGGGGTAGAATTGGACCCATGGCTGGAAGATTGTTAAAAAGCTAATTTAAAGAAAGTCTAAATAAAAGATTTCTCAGAATTTTGTTAAAATTTCATCAGATTTTGTGTCAAAATTAGGTTTGATAATGCCCATGATAGTAGGTGTTATATTGATAGGAGTTATGAGCAGCTATCAGTTTTTAGGAATTATAATTCAATTAGATAATAGACCTTATAGACCGACACTTACCAGCCATAAAGAAGAAAAAGTGAGCCTTAATAGGCAGCAGGTGTCGATTGAGTCGCACCATGGTCCAGTCAGTAAATTATTTCAAATCCTTGTGCTCGAAAATGACACAATGTATCACAGCTTAGATATCTCCATGCACTATTCCCCAGTGTCGTGTCAGTACTTCTACCCAGACAAGATCATAATTTTTGCACTTTGTCGTTCGTCGTCGTGGTTGCCCAGTGGAATGAGTCTGTAAATAGCCAGCGATGTGAATGTAAATCAGAAACTGCTGAAAGATATCTAATCTGGCCCAGTGTCTCTCCCGACAACCGATAAGGCACTCAGACTATATAGAAAGCTGTAATCGGAAACATAAAAGTTCAAGGCAAGATAAGAAAAGCATAAGTTCCTCGCAGAACCACAAAGCCAAGAGTTATCTGACAAATCCGAAACTGCGATAATATTTGGCCAAATGAAGTCTGCACGAATGATAAGAGGTCTTTAGGGCCTGCCATAATAAATATGCCTTTGGGGCATATTGAAGATGCCCTCAAAATATTATGGCCCGTATTGTAAGTTGATAACATTGACGATCATATTAATAAACTATATAATGAAATAAACCAAACCGGTTTGCAGTAACCAGCCACAATACACACACTTGACACACAAAAAATTGACAACCTTTAATACCGGCTATTACTTTTGGCACAAAACTTTCCAAAACCATTAATCAAGTACTAATTAATATTTTAGAAATCCCCCAAAAAACATAGCCAAAGTGGGTGTTGCTTTCCGAATCTCACAAAGAACAATGGCTCTGAAAAAGTCAAGGAAGCCGCAAAAGTGTTTGATTTGTTCGGATTAACTTGTCCCGACGATTGAAACATTTAAATACAATGAAATTACACTCTCAATCTCGATTTAATATATTTAAATGTATACCTAATTACTATCTGTTGAACAGCAAAAATTCACGCGATCCACCCACCAGGAATCTGAGTGTCTGAGATCAAAAGTATATAGTATTTGAACGCCCAGAGCTATACGACGCGACTGAAGAAATTGCCCAAGCGGTTGCAGTTTGTATGGAAACTGATAAGTTCAGTCTGCCGATAAGGAATCAGTCAATCATATGGTTAGTATATATACATAGCTGGATTGATAAACTAAAGATTACTTAGGAGGAGAAGCCGGCAAAGATCTCTCCCAGGTATGTGTTTCCCAGACATTAGGGGCGCGCCCCCCCTCATCCTAAGCTGGTGCTAATCAATCTTGAGAATTGGTATCCAAAATCCCCGCCTGAGTCATCAGCTGTGCGTAGTTGATTATTATTCCGCTGTTTACTTGCCATCTCGTTCAGCGGCTGGATCGGATCGAGTTTTACTCGCTGGCATCGGAGAGACCTGGCTTTAGTCGCCGCCGATCTTCCGCCGCGAGAGGTTCAAGCTCTTAATAAACTCTTCATTAAACAGACGGATCCGGACATATCGAGCCGAGCTCAAGTGACAATTAGCTAGCGCGGATTGACGCAATCAGAAAATGCATTGGCTTACATTAATTTTGGTGGGGCTGTTCGCCTCGATCCTATCAATAACGCAGTGTGTGGCAGTGGAGCCGCCGGATGATGGCAAATGTAAGTGGATTATCTCCAAAGGGGCGGATCGGTGTTATCTGGAAATTAAGAAAAAAAAAACGTTGTGAGAGGGCAATATTTATGAGCTTATCTATCAATTATCATAAGTTTAGTAGACGAGCTTAATTATTTGTTAAAAGTGCTATAAATATATAAAAACAAAAACTTCAAAAGTTTGAAATAATTTGCATAAAAGGTAGTTTTGTTGGAAAGATCCTAAAATACTTTGCAAACATTTTTTACAATTTTGTTTGTTTGTTTAAAGTCATTATAGTTTTATGATAAAACCATTAAATTGATTGAATTTATAGCCATAATTCATGTTAATGCCAAAATGCACTGCAGGAGAGAAGACGACCTTGGACGTCTCAATCAGGTGTAATCAAAAACCCGCTAGGGAGATAGTATCACACCTGAAAGAGCCGCTCCAAAACCTGTCCCGGCCTTGAAGATTGTGCTCCACTGCCCAAAAAAAAAAGTACAAAAACAAAAAGAACGGCCTTGATTCCACTTCACAGTATTATGAAAATTCTGTGTGACAAATGCATTACCAGTCCACAGAAGTACAGGTTTCCCCCAACCGACGCACCTGGGGGGAATTTTTAATTTACCAAGAAATATTCCCAGAGATAATATCTTTTCCAAAAATTGCAAACGCGTAAAGTGCCCCAAACAAAAAGAAAAAGCAAAAAACTAAAAACTGGTTTTAAAAGATTATTTTATAAAAAATTAATTAATTTGGTTTGCTCCTCCTTCTACAGTACGGGTTTGTGTGGTGGAATCGCGTGGCAACTATCGGAAAACCCCAAAGTTCTGTCCCCTGCTGGAGGCCAAGAGCAACATCGAGTGCGTCATTGGCGTGGACCGGCTGGACTGTGTGCGTCGCATTCACAAGGGCACAGCTCACTTTGGAGTGCTATCCTCTGAGGATTTGGTGGCGGCCAGATGGGCAAGCGTCGAGATCCTGGTGGCCAGTGAGCTCCGCTCGCACGAGTCCAACTTCGAATATGAAATTGTGGCTGTGGTTGACAATCATGCCGACATCCATACCGTGCATGATCTTAGAGGAGCTCGATTGTGCCATCCGGGCTATGGACTGGGCAATCACTGGACCGAGGTGCTAGCCAATGTAAGTATATGACTTAAAGCTGAGATGAATTATTATTAAATGGTTTCCACTTCCTGTAGTACTTTGAATCGGCCTTGGTCTCAAAAACTTGCAATCCCGAGCTTACTGTGACAGAGGACAGGATTGCTTCCACAGCCAAATACTTTGGTCCCAGCTGTAAAGCAGGTCCTTGGGTTCCCGATCCCAAGCAGGATCGCATTCTTAAAGCACGCTACCCCTCACTATGCCAAATGTGCTATGATCCCCTCAGCTGCGATCAGAACGACAAGCACTGGGGGCGACGTGGTGCTCTCTATTGTCTGACCAGTGGTGGAGGAAATGTAGCTTGGGCTAGACTCGATGACGTGCGCAGCCACTTTGGGGTAAGCTCAGTGATTTCCAAGATTTAACCCAGAAATAATAAGGCATTGTCCTTCCACAGTTCTCCGGCATATCGGCTCAGGCAGCTCCTTCGGATTACAGCTTCCTTTGCCCTGATGGCCACTTGCAGCCCATCAACGTAACCCAACCCTGTATCTGGGTGGCCAAGCCCTGGCCCGTGGTGGCTGCCCGTCGCACCCATGCCGCTCAGATTCAGCGACTGGTCACCGGACTGAGTCACGACGAGCCGGATAGCTGGCAGAATGCTCTTCTCAGCCTTTTGGAGACATATCATGTGTTCACTGTGCCTTTGGACAATGTGATTGCCATTGACGACTACTTGGACCAGGCTACCGCCTTCCAGTCAGCCTACAGCTTCCCCGAATGCAATCCCCCGCGCTCCATCGTCTTCTGCACCACCTCCATCATCCAGCACATTAAATGCTCGTGGCTGCAGGAGGCCTCTCAGGTGTATGGGGTTCAACCCAATATTCAGTGTGTGCGTACCATGGATGTGGAACAGTGCCTGGATGATACAAAGCTGAGGAGCACTGATGTGGTCCTCGTGGATCAGGAGATGCGCGTTAGGGCACAGAGAGATTATAATCTGGTGCCACTGCTCTACGAATTTTCCACGGATATGCACGATCGATATGTGACTATTGCAGTGGTCCACAAGGATGCCAAATTCCAAAGCTTCAAGGATCTCGAGGGAGCCAGAGCTTGCTTGCCCTCCTTCGAGGGAGCTGCCCATCTATCAGTCCAGGAGACCATTGTGAATGCGACAGGAAAAGTGCACTCGCTGCACTCCTATTTCCATCGCAACTCCTGTCTCTGGGATCCCGAAAAGGGAAGGAAGTGTCCGCTGCACTACCAGGGCGATGAAGGGGCACTACGCTGTCTGGCGGAAGGAGCACAAGTGGCCTTCATCAGTTCGGATATGTACAAAAAATACTTGAGTGGCAACATCACCTCTGATTGGGTGGCTCGTGGAAAACACAAGGACTTCCGGCTCCTGTGTCCCTACGGAGGCATCGAAAGACGCTCGAATTTTGAGTTCTGCTACCTCCACTGGACCACCCGAGGCCACCTCATGACCCACAACAGCTCCCTGACTCGGCATAACGAGATCTACAATTCCCTTCGGGACATGGATCAACTATTTGGTCGGAAATACAAAAGCGACACTCGTCCATTCACCCTGTTTGGCATCTTCGACAAAAGAAACGATGTTCTTTTCCGGGACACCACGGATGGACTACTGGGACTCCAGGAGCTGCACCGGGATAACGCCAAGCGGGTAATGGAGCACATCTATGATCGCTATACCAACACTCAGTACTACAAGAACTTTGAGGAAAGTGGAGCCGAATATTCCAGTTTCAGCTGCTCACTGCTTTTGCTGTTCTGCCTATTATTCACAATAGGGCGACAGTTCGCCTAGTCCAATCTCAAATATAATCTTAAATATTGTGATATTAAGCTAAATATAAGTTAAGAATAAAAATAGTTTTGAAAAGAGCTGTATCACCTTATCACCGAGCTTTGATTTTAAAAAGCGGTTACATTTCAAAAATTCTATCGATAACTATTTTGATATGATAGTTCGATAAGTGTCTTTGGTGTTGTAAAACACGAACACTGAATCAGCTGTTGATGTTTTGTTGTTGCTATGTACAAGGAATGACCGTTGCCGAGGAAACATGAAAAAATTGTCACAACTCATCAGGATTGATTAACTTTACGTTGAAATTGGCATTAATTTAACTTATCTAGCTATTCGAGTAGTTTTCAGTCTTTACTTACAACAAAAATGTCAAGAAATGGCACTCAAACAACCAACAAAACGAAAGTAAGGCATGCAAGGCACTCAAAAACGAGCTATACACCAAACTGGCATGATTACCTATGGAATTGATTAGTATGCCGCCAGCGATTTCACTTATGCAGCTTATTATGCACCTCGCACTGCCGAAAAACAGAAATCACCTACTATATGTACACCTTTGCACTTACACCTAGCATTAAATTGTTCCAGCTTTTCTGGTCTTTGAGATAATGCAAACAAAAGCTTTGCCGCAAGTAAAAGCGCTCACCCACATGTTAACAATGTATTAAATATGTCAACCTCAATTAAAATTAATAAACGAGTCGATCGCCCTACAAAAAAGTCTTTGTTTGGGTTTGGTCAGTGTTTTGTAATGCCAAAAGCCAGTGCTGCCAAATCTTCAAAAGATCGTTACTTTTTTTAAAATCCAATTTAAATTTCAGACCAGAAATGAATTGCCCAGGAAGGTCACTAAATCGCCGGCAACAAGTGAGCCAAAAGCACCCACACCAAAGGTCAGAAAGTCGCTGGTCAGGCAACCGGGTAGCACGGAAGGTGAAAAAATAGCGAAACAAACCACAAGTGCAGCGACCTCAAGCAAAAAGCCTGCACTGTCAGCAAACACGGAGAAAAACAAGGGGAGGGAGCGGGAACTTGTAGTTGCTAAAAGGACAACTCCATCCCCTGGAGCTTCGCGTGTCAGCAAGACACAACCCCCAGTGACAAAGAAAGGTTCTAAAACCAAACCCAATGCAGTTTTGGATACATACCACAGCGTAACGGTTGCCTCGCCACCGCAAAAGCGCAGAGTTCAAGCTAAACAGGAGCAGGAATCACAACAACCTCCAATAGTAGAGAGTGCCCCTCCTGCTCCGCCCAGAAACCGCACATTTACCCGCACCTTAGACCCCGAAGAAGTGGTGGTCCTCAAGCGGGAATCAGCCAAACAAAGGAGCGAAGTTGAATCCCTGAAATCCCAGTCTGTGAAACAACCTGTGGCCTTTGAGGTCAAGTTCGAGGAGGCCAAAAAACCAGACTCCGAATCCGATCATTACTCGGATGATTTCGAATCCTACGAATCAGATTTTGAGACAGATGCCAGCTCTCCCGAAGAGGATGAAGAAGATCCCGAAGGACATGAAGATAATGAGGAAGATGAGGATTCTTCTTCTGAAGAGGACGTGGAAGAGGAAGAACCTGAGGAAGAGGAATCGGAACCCACCCATAATCTCATCACGGTTATCCAACGCGACAACGAGCGGGAGCGAAAGCTAGACTCCGGACACTATGATATGCGTCGGAAGGCGGTGACCAGCCACCAATTCGACAGTTTCGATACTAGCTCTATGGCCAACTCGGAGCAAATGGATTCCGGAATCAGTACTAGCGTAGGACCGGAGAATTCGCGGAGTGGTGTCTACTACGGTGGATACTCCGGTTTTGTGTCACATCCGGTGCACAGTCGTCGCGGTGACGAGCTGATGACCAAGCTGCGTTTCGACCAACTCAACTACCACCTGTTCGAGATGAAACCCCTTAGCTACGAGGGATTCATGCAAAACTACGGAAAACTGAATGCAAGTCAAACGGCCACCCAAACCATGTCTCCTTTAATGGATGGCGAATGCCAAACTCTGGAGGTGCATAGTCGAAGTAGTTGGACGCAACATCCCCCACATTACGGAGGTCAACTGGTGCTCAGTTGTAGTGGTGATGGGGAGGACGATGAGACATTTAATAGTCAACCGTCAGATGCCTACGACCTGAGTATCTCGCGGCTGGAGAAACTGCACCGCGAGGAACAGGTGCGAACCCAGCAGAAACAACAGCAAAGATTGGCTAAAACCACAGATGTGGAGCGCCTTAATGCCTTTTTACACAGAGCCACTCGATTGATGAGCCGGGTCTTGGATGGTAAGAGTAAAAATAGCCCAAGTACTCCTCGCCAGGTTCCACTACAAACTGGTCTCCTGAATGCTCTGCCCGTGCGAAGGATCTTCGGAAGCTCGGAAAATGGTCACTTGGTGGTCACCGTACATGAATGCCCAAAGGAGAGCAACGTTTACAGCGAGGATTTTGCCAGTTTGCTAATGGTGTGGTCTCTGGGAAATCCCAGCCAGCCTCTACGACTGCTTTCCACTTGGGCGGAGGTGTGTCGAGTAACTTTATCCACAGAAGCCCCGGACATTGTGGTGGCTGGGCTTCGAGATGGCAGCATCGCCATGTGGGATCTACGCGAGACACACAGCTATTGCTCCAAGTTGGATGGTCACCTGACCCATTTTGCGGCCACGCAGTCGGTTGTACCTTTGCCGGAGCAGCAGAAACAGTCAGAAACATCGGCCATGGACTTGGGTGCTGTTGTGGATGTGCGAAGCTTTCGATCTCAGCATAAAAGTGGAGGAATAGCCACAACTGCAGGGCTGCAGGCCTCCTATAAAGAAGTTCAGGTGGGAAGTTTTAACTTTTAAATATTCATTTTTCATGAACTCCCCTTTCAGTACGCCTCATTGAACGACTCTGGGCTGCTTACCATGTGGACTTTGGTGGAGGGATCCGCCTCCAATAATACCAATGAATTTAGCTCGCCATGGGCTCGGGTAAAGCTTCTCCAAAGCGGCATTTGTGATTTGAGAAACTATCTACAGCGGCGTCTTCTGAAGAGCAGCCAGAGTGCCTACGAAAAGACCAAGTCCCTGTTCCAGGGCAACATCTACAGCGACGATCTCCTGCGGGAACTGAACGAGACCCAGACCCTGTCCAACGCCCTGCAGGGCCAGGGATTGCAGGGACTGCGCTTTACCAGCATCGATACCGGCAGCGAACTCATCTACGTGTGCACCAACCGGAACTTTGTGCTCTGCTGTACGAGGAGCCTCAAAACGGAGCGCTTCTCGAGGATTGCCGTCAATGAGAGCCGTTTCCTGTTCCCCACCTCACTATGTGTGCTCTCCAACGAGAGCTTTGTGGCGGTGGGACTGTCCAATGGCTCTGTGGTGATACTCAACTGCAATCAGCGCCAGAGGCCTTTGCAAAAGAACCACCAGCGACCCATGACTGGTCTGCCGCCGCCCACAGCTGAACCCGATCCGGAGACTGGAAAGTCTTGCGCAATCCAGAACATCATACTCAACGAGCGACGCTCCTTTGACCAACAAATGAGTCCAATGGATGGCAGTTCCTACAACCTCAGACCTGATACGGCCCTGGAGCTGATTGAACGTCCCCGACGGTCTTATGAGAGACGCGTTTTTGACCAGCAGCTCCTCTTAAGTGGCAGTGGATTGCGGCAGCACCTTGTCCAGGCCCTGGTCCTCTCCAGCGACGGCTGGCGGCTCTCAGCTCTGACCAATGGAACTGTGCGCACCTACGATTTTCATCGAGACAGGGAAGTGAGCACCGGAGAGCCGACGAAAAACCGCACTAGGGTGACTGACATTGCCGCAGCACGGGGAGCTAGAAGCGATCAGCATCTGCTCATCCTAGACTCCACCGGGCAGGTGAAAATGCAGCCACTGGATCACTAGTTTGTTAATTATTTTATAAATACTCTCAGAAGTTTGTTACAAATCTTTTTTTCACTAAAAATAAAGTCAATCTAAATGGAATAGTCCTATGGAGTTTGTTTCCATGTTTTTCATTAATTTTTTAGGAATATTATTCACTGTTTGCCTTGATGGATTTAATAAAATAATAAATAATAAATCTCAGAACATCTGGGTTATAATCTCAATCATAGCTAGAAAAGTTCGTAATACTTCTCACAGTTTTAATTTTAAATATTTTTTATTAACATATTTAGTAACCGAAAACCCTTCACACTTCTATTATATACACGTTTCCAGGAGAACTTATAGCTTTCTAAACTTGCCTGGCCATTGTCAACATTCCGCCGGCAGTCGTGGCTCCCAGGAGCTGTCGGACAGTCTGCAGTTCGTCCCGTAAGGCTATGACCTGAGCTCTCAGAATTGAGTTTTCCTGCTCGAGTATGGCCGCCCGGAAAGCAATCCGATCCTCACGAACCTTGCGGGCATCCCGCGACTTCTTCGCCGCCTCATTGTTCCTCTTGCGGCGCTCATAGTACTTGGCATCCTTTTGGGCATCGGGAATGGGGCGCTTCTCGCCACGTACTCTGCGGTGCATGAAGCCCGGAAACATTCCGCCTCCAATCATGCCCACCCGGTTGAGCTCCATGAGCGGAAATTCCAGAGCCTGGATGGCATGTCCAGGTGGTGCAATATATTCGAAGGCAGGCAGTGAGGAGGCAGAGGACACCATGGATCCCTTGCCGTTGACCAGTCCAGGAAACCCGATTCCTGGCAATCGGAGATTCTGCGGAGCTGGAAAGGAGAACGACGGCTTCTTTTTGGAGTCGAAGTCCGCTTCCAGGTCAGAGTGCAGCGATAATGTCTCGGTGACATCCAGGATGGGCGATTGAGCCGGAGGTGAATGCATCCTGACATCCGTTCGCGCCAAAGGCCGCGCTGTCTCTAAATCCTGCGCTGAGTTATGGCCCGTGTCCCAAGTCTGGCGACCACCTGCCCTGGCTGGGTAATTATAGGTTCTTGTCACACAACCCCCCACAAATAAGCCACCTTCCCCCAGGTGGAGCCAGTTCTAAGCCAGCCACAACCCTCCTCCGCAAGCTGATTCAACCAATCACGCAATGTTGACGGTAATTATTCGTCAAATACATGACACTTGGCGGGGGCCGCATGGCATTTATTTGTGCTGCCCGGTTACAAGGACTTCATATAACTGGTTAGCCAGATTACAACCCCCTCTCCGCCACCAAGCACCTGGTCCGCTCCTTTCTACTGGAACGCTTTGATTTTGCGGGGGTGTATCCACTGGCCACAGGACACATTTTGGGCCATTGAGTTGGCCAACTATTATGAGACGGGGCGGAAAAATATCCTTTGCTGGCTCTGGCCAATGAGAATGCCCAGACAGGATACGCTGGAGGTGGAGGCATGGCCATCGACCGACATTTTGTAGTCGAAAGTTCCACGGTAAGAGGCCGTAATAGTCCCGAAGAGGCGTGGTGGACAGTCCATAGCTTATGGCACTAAGGGGAAGGATAATGGTAGTAGTCTTTTTAAATACATATATATTTTGTGTATTAATAGATAATTTTTAACTGTGTTTTCATTGATTATTGTTTAGCTTTTGTCCTTAGTAACCTTAAAAAAAAGTGCACTGTCAGTGGTTTCCGAATTGGCCAATCCAGTATATCAAGACATCAAAAAGTTGGCCTAACTTCTATTTGATCAAGCATGACTCTCCAGAAATCGAATAATTTGCATGTCGCTTGAAATTCCTCTGACAACTCCAGGCCCCCACATATCGTAATGGTATATCCAGCCGGGGGTCATCATCAACCCGTACCCTTTAGCATTTTGGGTTGAGAAAGTGTCACCTGTTCGCCGAGGCAAATTGCCAGTTTGCGCCACGAGGCTGTCCCTTTCTTCGGGTCCCCGCCAACCGGAAGTCGCATCCTTATAACATTTCATAATGTATGCGCTAATTTATTATCTGTTGGCAAAAGTTGGGCCATAGTTAACCCTTTGACGGGCCTGCTACCCATGAATACATGCCGTATAGGAAGCACTGGATTGCGTGTTGGAGTGACATGTCTGAAACCCGAAAAGAAGGCACTATGTCCATCAAAGGGTTGGTGGGAGAAAGTCCTAAAACAAAAGTAAAATTTCGGATTCGATTCGAATTAGTTACATTGATAGACAGTCGAAAATCTAGTAGATCCATTACATTTATCGGAACCACACCCCATGGAACTGGTTAATGCACTGGGAGGTACATTTTGGACAGAGGCTATTTATGTATTAGACAAATTACCAGGTAATATAGTCGGCCGAACATGTAATTGTTCCAATGTTTGGACAATAATTAAAGAGCAAACATCGGAGACCTCTGAAGGACAAACCGGTAATGACACCTCTAATTGGATGACATTAGCACCGGACTTCCTAAAATGACCCTCAACCCAGTAAGCCCTGTGGGGTAAAAAATAAGACCTAGGAACTGTCACAGAAATCTGAATACTGAAACTTCCACAATTCGTATGAATATTGGTTTGTTGTAAGCTTGTCATAAAAAAATATATAAAAAATGTGTGACGACAGCTCGATTCAAGACTGTGAGCCGACCACCATGCGACTGCCATTCAACAGCTACCATATCCATCTGCCTCTTTACATCATGGACATGGTGCGCGTTTTTCAGGACCATCCAAAATACTGTAATGGCATCCAAGAGGAGCATATTCTGGAAATGTTGGAGAAAGAGTAAGTAAGGTCAGTGAAGCAGGACATTCATGCCTTTTTGTATCTTATCTCGTAGGCCCTTTGCCTGCGGTGATCTGGAGGCCCAGGTGAAGACCGCCCTGCTGGATCTGACTGCCAAGGGATTCATACGTTTCATCGGCAATGGCTATCGCACCTTGGGCCCCATTGCCAAGCTGGCCAATGCCCGATCCGTGCGCCACTTCAACATGACCTGGCAACGCATCGCCGAGCTGCAGAAAGTCAACTGCCCCAGTCTGGAGGGCTCCATGTCCAGTGGTCCCTGCACCCAGCGCTGACCCAACTTCTCAAATTGGAGAAGTCTCTTGTAATTTGAGTTGAGTTAACTCGTTCTTTCGTTAAATGGTTTTTGTGTTCAAAACCAGTCCACGTCTACTCATACATATGAACACTAGGACACACTCCATCAAAATTGTAAATGTCCAGTAAAATTCCAGCAAATCGAAGCTCAGGGTGGATGTGTATTCCTGGTGGTCATTACAGCTATCATTATGTGTCGAGCACATGTCTCGGGGTCTGCCATCCTTTTGTCACTTAACCAGGCTAATTATTCTCGGGGGTGGGGCGCTCGCTGGAGGAATGTGCCAGGTGTTGTACCTTCCAAAAAACTGATTCTAATATTACACCGATCCCTGTGTATGATCCATTTGAGGCCGGGGTTCATCCCCCGCCAAGTGTGTGCCCTGAATGACCCCTGGCATGGCCCATTACCCTTTTGGCCGGACCGTTTAAATTGTCAACACCAGGACGAGAGCCGGAACTGTGGAGGACCTGTCGCCGTCGGTATTGGCCGCATGTGAGCTTACAAAGCAAACACGCATGGGATCCTCGCCAGGTGTTATTTATTGCCTCTCTAATCGTTGCGGCATAATCTATTAGCACCCCGCAGACGGATCCATGGGCCCGAACTCACAACGGTGTCCTTTGATTTTTTGCTTTTGCACATTAAAGGCAATTATTATTATTGTTTTAGTTCCGAGACAGTTTTTTGTTTGTCATTTGCCGTTTGCTGTTCCGCGTTGGTAATTGGACCAGCCCCAAGAACATCCATTTATCATTTAATGTGACATGTGGAATAACTTGCTGCCCGAATGCAGTTGATTTATTAGGTTTTCTAATTACGAATTGAACTTAAAAGTAAGGGCTTTCCTCCAAAAATACCTAACTTGAAAATCAATACAAATATTCCTCCTTGTAGCTTTTTAAACATAATCGTCAATTCTGGTAATTTCGTGATCAAACGAATCTTAGTTCTAATATTGTAACTAAGAATAAATTTTCTTTTTAAATCTAATAAATAACGCTACAAACACTTTGTTTTGGATTAGAAGTTGTCGTCAAGAAAGTTCTGCTCGAAAGAGGTACGAGTTGGTCCTTCTTCTGGATGAGCATATCCCCTCTTGATGAGCAGGTGCGGCACATCGGAATAATCATTTAACAAACGAACTAGGAACCCATCGGGCAGCCGAGCAATCAGCTTAACATCCACCTCCATGTTCAACAATTTGCTCTTCATGAACTCAACGCACTCGGAGCCCTTTCGATGGTTCGGCGAGCGAACAACGCCCTCAATGTGACAACTATTAGCACGATGAGGTTTAAGTCTCTCGGCATCTGGACAAGGAGCCAAGGTGTGCAATGGAACAAACTCTGTGTTTCCGTAATCCACATAGAATATTTTGTACTCGTCATCCATTTCGTCAACAATCTGGGCGCGATAGTAGCAGCCGTCAGAGTACAAAGCCAGCACAATGTCCAAGGGGTACGGCTTACTCTTGAGGGTACGTTTCTCTTGCGGAATGTCATTCTTGTCCCACACCAAAGGTGTGTTTCCGTCCATAAATTGTGCGTAGACCTCGGTGGGGCCATTGATGTAGGTTACCAGCATGCGCGCCGTGCTACCCATCTGCCGGGCAATGGGCGCATCAAACTCAGTTTCCGGCAGGGCACCAGCCTCCTGCACATCCTTGGTGGCACCGTGTGGAGCGAATGGTTCATGCACCAAACGACAGGTGTTGCCTAGAAGAATATTATTACTTTATAAATTAACCTTATTGAGTTTCCAGACTTACCTTTAAAGCAACCATTCAGCGCAGGATCGTAATGTCTGCAAATACGCTGCTCATCTGTGGGGTGGAATCCTAGAAGAGCCTTCAAGGGATCGCTGGTGCCTTCTTCAATTTCATTCAGTATAGCCATTTGCTCCTCGGTCACTTTAACAGATGTCCGTGGCGCTTGTGGTGTTGAAGTATACTCCATTCCTGACTCCTTATCAAAACTTTGCGAGGAGCCTTTGGTGAAGTCCTCCGTAAATGCTCCGCTAGAAGAACGTTCTGTAGAACCGTTTGTAGAAACATCCGAGGAATTTTTTGTGCAATTTTTCGAAAATTCTTTTGTAGAATCATCATCTTTATCACCGTCACTTGTGGCATCTTTTGATGTTAAATTATTATTTGAATCCTTTGCGGAATCGTGTACAGAATCTAATTCATTGGTAGACTTTTGTTGTCCCAATTGTTTGGGATCTTGGTACAATAATTCCACCACTAAATCTATACCGTTGTTATCAAGTATTTTCATTTCAATATCCTGGTATACGAACTTGGACATCGAGTCTACATCGCCGTTTGTCAAATGACACTTGACTGCTTCAGCCGGCAGTTTCTTTATGTTGTCCGGCAGCAGGAAGATGGTCTCATTACCCATAAGTCGGATGTGCTCGCCATAATCAACTAGGTAAGCCTCGTAGGTACCATCCTCGGCTGCTGCATTGATGGCGACACGCGGAATGCAACTACTAGTGCAGTCATAGACGGCAAAAATGTCCCCGTAATCAGGCAGTTGATCAACCTCCTCGAGCGGCACCTGACCCTCCAGCAGTTTCTGAATCGGCTTGGATTCGGGACCCCATTTAGCCACAAAGAAGCAATCGTCTGCAATATTCCGATTCATGACTGTGGCCGTTACAGTCGTCTTTTGTGGGAAATCAAGCATGTTCTTAATGATTTGCTCGTATATTTCGTTGCTTGTTCTTTGAGAACCGCCTTTGGGAGGCAGAAGGCTTCTTTCACGTTGCTTAATAGGAAGCTGGGGAATTTTTGCAGAAGATGCCGGTTTTGGGTCAACTTTGATCGGCGACTGCAAGGTCTCTGGTGGCCCTATCACCCAGCTGGAACGCATGGAGACAACCAGGTTGTCGGAGTTCTTTTGAGGGCTTGAGGTGAAATCTATTAAGTCCGAATTATTCTTTGACCGGTCCACAGCCAAGGTCGGCTCATGGGGTTTGCTAACGGATGTAGCGTCCTCAATGGCACTTCTGTTTCGTGTATGCTTCGACGCCTCTTCTTTTGATGACAGAATCTGCTGATTTTCTTCATCCTTTAGCATCCCAGGACGATTTAGCTTTATTTGCAGATTTAGTTTTACGGCGTGGGCATTCACGTCGCTGAGACTGGTCAAAAGGCGGTCGTGCAAAGCGACAAGTCGTCCGTCCACTCGCTCCACATTTTCCCAACGCTCCATTAAAAATTTCCGCACTTGTTCCACCTCGCGTTGGTAGGAGACTAGGTTGTCCAGCAGCTTATTGATATTCTTGTCGCACAGCGACTTTAAAGACAGAATGCCATCCAAATCCATGTTTTTTTTTAATTATACGGTTTTTGTCGTCGAAAAATGATAATTTAAAGAGCTTCCCGGGAAGTACAAAATATGGCAGCTTCGATTCTGCGGAAAAGGAAGGATGCCATTAGATGGCAGAGTTGCCAAGTTAGAAATTTTTTTTGTCACCAAATACTTGTACAAGCTTTGCTCTATTTATCAGCTATTACAAGGAAAAATCTTGTTTTTTCCAATTAGTACAAGGTATAGCATAACACTTCATATAATTAAAAGTAAATTTGAAGGGGATTCGATGGGCGCCAATACAAATTTCCACGGTTTACAACACTACTTATCGATTACCGATAGCAAAAAACCCCAACCAACAATTTAATATAAATCAAATTATCTAATTTCTAGATAGCTAAAATAATTTCGTAAGATAAACTTTTTTTTATGTATTAAAAAAGTTTGAACAAATTTTTTATTTATTATTTAAAAGAGCACTAATTAAATAACCCGCCTATGTTCCAGTTCCACTGTTTCAAAGGCAAACAGGTGACGGTAATTTGACGTACTTACCCACATTTAATATATTTTCGCGTACGTACGTATTTTTAATATTAACTTGTATGGTTAAGCAAAATTACTATTTATATTTTAAATTGGCATAAAATAAAGCATGCTTGGGAACCTTGTCAGTCGATTTACATAGAAAATTACTGGTGTACAAAATAATTTCTAACAAATGCCGGCTGATGTAATCCCAGCAAGTCGCGTGCTGCAATTGTGATAAACTGATAACTGATGCATTCCTAATGTTTACCTAGACGTTTTAGTTAATTCTCTTCGTGTGTTTATAATTTGTAGACACAAAAATGATATCGAAATCCAAATGGCTCAATTTGTCGGTACGTGGAAGAAGGATATTGTATCCTCGACTGGCGGTACCGAGTAGGTCGGCAAGCTCGTTTCGGGATGCAACCGGAGCAACTGCAAGTGAAGCTAAAAAATCGTCCAATGTCCAAGTTATCGACCAACGTGACTCCAAATATGCCGAGGGGAAAGTGTACCACGGATTCAAGTGCGAACGCATCGAGTACGTTTCCGATTTCGAACTAACATCCTACACCCTGCGACATGAGGGCACTGGCACCGAGTTGTGGCACATACACCGAAACGATGCCAATAACGTATTCTCCATCAATTTCCGCACAACACCCTTTGACTCGACTGGCCTGCCCCACATTTTGGAGCATTTAGCCCTATGCGGATCCAAAAACTATCCAGTTCGCGATCCGTTCTTTAAAATGCTGAATCGATCGGTAGCTACGTTCATGAATGCAATGACTGGTCCAGATTACACCCTATATCCGTTCTCCACCATGAATGAGGTGGACTACAGGAATTTGCAAAGAATTTATCTGGATGCCGTATTCAGGTGGGCAACAAATAATCTTGCGATTAAAATCTCTAATGTTTTGTTTATAGGCCTAATCTTAAGTATTTGGATTTCCTTCAAGAAGGATGGAGGCTAGAAAACAAGGACCTCAAAGATCGCAAGTCTGAGCTTGTGATTAAAGGAGTGGTTTACAACGAAATGAAAGGAGCTTTCTCGGAAAATTCGCAAGTATTTGGACAAAATCTCTTAAACAACGTCCTTCCCGACCATACGTATGGCCACATCTCCGGAGGAAACCCATTAGAGATACCCAAACTGACGCATACTGATTTAGTTGAATTCCATCAGAAGTACTACCATCCAAGCAACGCCCGAATCTTTTCCTACGGATCATTCGATCTGTCCAAAACGCTCGAACTCGTGGACAAAGAGTATCTGTCTGGTACACCGCGCATTGACAGCTCATATAGCCAAATCCCTGCCCAACCGCGCTGGAAGCAACCTCGCAATGTGCACATCTCGAGCCGGCTTGATAATATGGGAGCTGCCTATGACCGTCAAAACCAAATCGCCATAGCATTGTTGATGTCTGACATAACCAACATTCAGGAGAGCTTTGAACTTAACGTGTTGTCCGAGCTACTTATCCGAGGACCAAACTCTGCATTTTACAAAAGTCTAATCGAACCGAATTTCTCCGGTGGCTACAACCAGAGTACTGGATACTCTGCCGACACCAAGGATACGTCGTTTGTAGTGGGATTACAAGATCTCAGGGTCGAGGACTTCAAGAAGTTCGGCGAACTCTTCGATCAAACGATTCACAAGGCGATCGAAGAAGGGTTTCAGCACCAGCATGTTGAAAGCATTTTAAACAATCTTGAGCTGTCGCTGAAACACCAGAGCCCCCATTTCGGAAATTCCTTGTTGTTCAACACCACTGCCCTATGGAACCACGATGGAGACGTAGTGGGCAGTCTTCGTGTTTCAGAAATGATAGCTTGTCTGCGGAAAAATCTGCGAGATCAGAAGACATACTTCCAAGACAAAATTCAAAAGTATTTGGCAAATAATACACATAGACTCACATTGACAATGTCGCCTGACGAATCTTATGAAGAAAAGTTTAAGGTGGCCGAGTCCGAGATGCTCAAACAGAAAGTAAAAGCACTTGATAAAGAAAAGTTGGAAGAAATATACAATGATGGGAAAAAACTGGAGGAGTCTCAAAAATCTGTAGAGAACACTGAAGCATTGCCCTGTCTGACATTGAAAGACGTAAGCGATCCCCCCAAATGGCCAAAATTGAATACGGAAACCGTTCAGAATGTGTCAACGCAAATATGTACAGTTCCCACCAACGAGATTACATACGTTAAATGCTTATTCAATATAACAGGCCTTAGCCAAGCAGAAACTACACTTGTACCATTATTTTGTAGTGTTATTAACGAAATGGGCACCAGCAAGTATAATTTTAGAGAATTCGATAAAATGATACTCTCGAAAACCGGGGGTATCGACTTTAAGTTCAATGTGGTAGAAAATGTTCAAGACGCGCAGAGTTATCAGCTCTCTGTCATGATGACCACATTTGCCCTCGATAAGAATGTCCCTGATATGTTTGGATTGTGTCAAGAGCTCCTGCAGAACTTCACTTTCGCCGACTCGGACCGGTTACAAATGCTAATTGAAAACTACATTTCCAACATATCTGTCGGAGTGGCTAGTTCTGGCCACCTGTACGCCATGCTGGGTGCAACTTCACTTGTCAGTGACGCCGGAAAACTGAGATCGGTTCTGTCAGGTGTGGATCACATAGAATTCATGAAAACATTTTCGCAAGAGTTGAATGTGGCGAACCTACAGGAGACTCTTAAGAAGATTGGGCAAAAAATCTTCAACAAAAGCAATATGCGTGTGGCCATCAACTGTTCCGAACCGTACCTAACAAGTGCTTTAAATCATTGCAGCAAGTTCTTAGAGACAATTCCAGCCCAGGGACAAACAGATGATCAACGTAAAATTCAGTTTTTCGATCCGAGCTGCCAACAATACCTTATGAACATACCTGTTAACTACTGTGGTAAAGCCTTCCTGGCTGTCCCATATTTGCACCAGGATCATCCCACATTGCGTGTCCTGGCCAAGTTCATATCGGCCAAGTACCTATTGCCGGTGGTTCGCGAACAAAATGGGGCTTACGGAGCAGGAGCCAAGATCAATTCTGATGGCATTTTTTGCTTCTATAGCTACCGAGACCCCCATTCGACGAAAACTCTGGATGCTTTTGAGAAAACTTATGAGTGGTTGGGCTCTAATGCCGATAAGATCAACCAACAAGCCGTGTTTGAAGCCAAACTGGGAGTGTTGCAGCAGCTGGACTCGCCGATAGCACCCGGAAATATTGGCATTGATAATTTCTTGTATAAGGTTTCCCCCGAAATGTTTGTCAATTATCGTACTCGATTGTTATCCATAACCGTTGATGAGTTAAAGTCTGCGATTGAAAAATACTTTAAAAATCCACCAAAACACGTTGGAAAGTGTATTTTGGGCCCTGCAATTAACGATTTGGACTCGCAAACTGGTCACAAATGGAAGATTTCCTCTTAGATCCTAGTAAATTCTAATTTACTTATTAATGTAAAATCCCTAAACAGATTTAAAAATTGTTATTTTATTTATATTAAAACCAACAAACTATTAAATGGCTGTATATTTTTGACTTTGAGGGAATCTGGGGCTTATGGGAATTTGATACACAGGTACTTTGGAAAATATTCAAGGGATTTGAGCCTTGGGCTCTGTTCAACTATTGTCCTTTTTCCCGGCTCCTCTCAATCGGTTCAATCCAACTCATTACCAACTGTATCATCTAACTTGTTGCTGCCGACTAACTTCTGTACCTGTGTATATAGGTTGTATTTAAATGTGGTCTTCGTCGAACGTAGGCATGTGTCACGACATCGTTTGAATCTTCATGATACTTTGAGATAAGAAAGGGGAACGCAGCATTTTTATGTGACCCACTTTCTTACCTTTTAACCGCCTCCTCCAGGCGGTGACCACCCCAGTCGGACTTGCGCGCATACATCAGTAGGGTGACACAAAAAGTCTTGAAAGATTTTCGGTTCGTGAGTCACCAACAGACACTCATCATCGGGTAAACTAAACATTTCTAAGAAAATTGTACTTATTTTTTAAAAATAATATTTAAATACCCATGAGTATCATTGTTATTGCTGACATTTAAGTCGATTTTGAATACGTGACGAAAGCATATGACCCAAGCTCCTTTGACCAATGAGGTCTTTTTTAAATACCCCCTAAAAGTATCACGTAAAATGTACATTCCCATAATCGATTTATTATACCTCCTTTCCGGCGGATGTCCTTTCACATGCGGTCATAAAATCTCTTCCAAGAATTACATCATGACCCATAAAGTTGTCGTTTACTTATTTTGGGCCACAAAAAACGAATAAAAGTATTCAAATCATTTGTTTGACATTTGCCAAAATAAAATCGACAAAACTGTGGGCGGAAATTATAATTGTTCTTAGAATTTTAAGGTATTTCGAACTATATCTTATTGACTTATTATCCATTACAGAAATGTCTATTCCCAGTTCGTTTTCCGATGCTGAGACCTACTTTCAGGCAGTATTGGAGTTCCTAGACTCATATTCGTGGATTTATCGAGAAGCCAATACATGTTGTATTACGTCCTTAGAAGCAATGCCTTTGGAGTTCAAAAACTATTTTCTTCGAATATCGAATGATAATCTGAATTCATTTCCATTTGTTCATGAAGACATTGAAGATTGTCCTCCATTAGTCATGAACTTTCGTCAGAAACTAAGGCAACTAACACCGAAAACTTTGAACCATTTGAAACAACCTATTGCCAAGAAAACTAAAAACAACAAAGGGGTATCCCAGAAGAAAATGCACGAAGTCCACCTACTGGCAGCTCATATCTTCAACCATTGTAGAAACTCCCAACTATTAGTTGATTTGGGAGCCGGTTTGGGTTATCTCAGTGAAGCCCTGCTCGAGCTGAATCCAGACTATCTAATTGTGGGCCTAGAAGCTGCTGAGGATCGTGTAGAAAAAGCCAGGCAGCGGTGCATCCAACACTTGCCACCGGCGGCCTCAAGTTCCATTGCCTACCATCAGCATTTTATCGATGGAGACTCTAGTGGCTATATCGAATCACAAGCTTCCGAGCTGGCGAGGAAAAACAATGGCCAAGACCTGCAAAAAATGTCGATAATTGGATTACATGCATGTGCCGACCTGAGTGTCACTGCAATGAAATTATTTCTGGAAATGCCGAGGGTACACTGTCTACATATCATGCCCTGCTGTTACCACAAGCTAGAGCTACAATCATCCAGCCCTGAAGCTAGCGATTCTCATTTATTTGTCAACTTCCCCTTGAGCTGTGTCCTCCGGAGGTCCGTGGAAACAAGGTCCCAAAAACCTATTTTGAACCGGCCTTTTCTTCGATTGGCCTGCCAACAGACCAAAGCTCACTGGGGACAGGAGTACACAGAGAAGAAACACGCGGATCACGGATACCAGATGTACATCCGGGCATTGGCAGAGCTCCTTAGACAACCAGAGGAAACTGTAAAGCCTATTAGAAACGCTGCTTCCTCGTCGGAAAACCCAATTACCTTCTCTGAAGTAAAAAGGTTATATCAACTGGAGTCAAGCGAAGGTGGTTTCAATGTCGACTGGCGTCTCTCACACGAGGAGACATTCCTTCAATTAAGTGAAAAGTTTCCTGAATATCAAGGACCTCGCTTAGCGGAGGCTTTAACTTGCTTGCAGGCATCATTGCAGGTATGTCCTTAGTCCCATCTTTATGTTTTGACGAAATAATCATTTATTTTGTATGTCCTAGAACCTTTGTGAAAACCTAGTCCTGCTCGATCGCCTGTGTTTTCTGGAGGAGAAGTCAGTCAAGCAAGGTATCCCTCTTTCAGCGCGTTACGAGTCAATATTTGATGACAAAGTATCTTCACGGTGTCATGTTCTTATTGCTGAGAAACTTTCCTAAACCGGGCAAAAACTTTTTTAAAATTTAAAGAAATAAATTAATTATAAAAGCACTCAATATAAACGGCGTTTTATTTGAAAATAAGGCCCAGCTCAGATGAGGGTGGATCCCCTATATCTGTATTGTGACAACATTAATTAAAAACAAATTGAGCTGAGAGGAAAGCAGCGTATGCACCGTATAAGTACAGGAAGTTGGTAATGAAGGTTTTTGTTGTATATTAATTGTTTACGGAGGCACTTTAAGATGAAGTGCTTTGTTTTTTGCCTATTACCCGTAGCCATAATAGGGGCTGGGTATTATTCAATTTCTTGTAACCTTCTTGTGGTTGGACGTTGGCGCGAGACGAAGAACCTTTTAAAGGCATTTACAAGGTAAGTAAGGAAGGATAGCATTCGAAATAGCCGAAGGACATACACGCTAAGAGATTCTTTTAATACACAGAATATGGAATATATCCTTACCTATTGAAAGCTCTTCCGGCTGATCCAGAATTTAGTAAAATCCATCCATAATATTTTAGAAAATCATCTTGAGAATCTTTTTATTTGGTAGTTCATGTATTGCCACCAGGTCTACCATAGACTAGCCGGAAAGGGTATGATTAGCTTGACAAATAAGCTTTATTAAAAGTGACAGTCTGACTAATCCATCACCCCCTTAAAAAAGTCCACACATTTTCACCTAGGATTTGGGTAATTAGTAAGGACTTTCCTAGCCTTCTGCCCTAAATACCACACACGACTCATTGCCATGTTGAATCCCCTTTTTTTTAAACACAGTAAATTCAACAAGTGCTTAGAATTTCTTTAGAATTTATTCATAAATATTTTTATTTATTTTTTACAGTTTTGTTTATTTACATTTAAGTAGAGCATACATATGCATATGAGGAAATAGTCCCATTGTCGTCATAGGTAATTTCTTAACTTTGGAGTTTTTTTTTTTGCTTCTGTAACTTCCCCTGAATATATATACTGCTTTTTAATTATTTAATTTTTGTGTATATACCTTCTTTAATATTAAAACTTTTTCCAGCCCCAATTAAAAGTTTTAATATCATTCGGTTTTATTATTCAGTGCCAGAGAGCAGTATGCCACTACAAGCCGGGAACCTTACGTCAATAACTTTAGTGGATTCCGATCATATTCAGTGATTGAGGATTATCGTCCGTCTTCTGGTCATTACTATATTGAAATAAATTAAAAATAAAGTTAAGAACCTTAGGTTGTTTAGTGATTGATTTACCGATTGCAAAGGTAGTAGGATTTAATGCCAGTGTATATGCAAGACATAGGTAACGATTTAGTTTGGATAGTATTGTTGGAGGTCTCCTTGTCCGTCTTCAAGTTTTTGCTTAAGGCTTGCATCAGGCTACTCTGCTCGTAGGCAGATAAAAGTGGTCCATTTCTCTTTCCATATCTAGAGCCTAAAAAGAATCGGTCGTTCCGAGGGACGATTATGAGCCGTCTTGTTTTGGAGCTTCCCACATTGGCTGGGGTTCCAGACTCCGAGTTGCCACTAGAGCGGCCATACCGACTTCCAACAAAAAAGGCAGTTCTTTTTTGTAAATGTTTTACGCCTAAATGAAAAATGATTGTTTTAACATTATTTTAGTACAGAATACTAAATTAATAAACTAAAATTACTAAACTAAACTAAATTGTTTCAAAGTCTATGTTTAATTAACATATCACAGGTCATTACCGTGACATGGCGACCGTGACAGAATCCACAATTTTTTGGGTCCCTATGACCGTATTTTTTAGAGCTATGAGTTTTCATTTCAACTTACCTGTATAGTTTTCGATAGAATCGTAGGATTGATTTGTGGGCTTCGCAATAACATTATGTAAGACCACGGAGGAGAAGGTGATTAAAATGAGACCAGTGTAAAAGGGATGCGGCTTAGCCTGAAAATGCTTAGATTTCCACATTCTTATGACCTATTGCAACAAAAATCTGAAATAATGAATGTTTTAAAGGACTGCATCATTATAAGGCAAAGGATGCGTGACCTATGCCACGCATTTCACATACGAGCCATCCCCTTCGTGACAGACTATTCCCTTTCCGACTGCCCTAATTTAGTTCATACGCACCTGCGATGGGAAATTAAGTCCAGTTCTTCTGTTGGTGGGCTGTGTGTCTTCACCACTATGCTAATTTCAGAACGGGAAAGATTTGATCCTGAAAAGCAGGCAGAATATAAAGGTCTTGTTTAATATCTTGTGTAATGTATGAGACTTGTGTGGCCAAAATAATCCTAAAAATATGGTTGAAAAAGCAAAGTGTTTCTCTATAATATATGTGTATTAATGGGTGTGGTAATATTTATACTTGTGCAGAAGTCTCGACCCATTAGCAACCCCTTTGGGTCCACCGGTGGTTTGGTAGTATGTCATCATGTTTCTGAGATAGGTACCAGATGTCCCAAAGGCGTGGTGGACCCTTAGCGTCCTACGGTTGTGTGTCATACATTGTTTATTTAAATATGTTGGTCCTTGGAAATTTTATATTTTTGTTACACATATCATATGTACCTTTAACTTTATCATCAGTACATATTCTAAGTTGTAGGGTAATTTTGTTCGTCTATCTTTAAGGGTATTTGGCGTTTCACCTTGGACTACAGTTGGCTTCTCCTTTCTTGTTTATATTATTTTATGTAAAATTTTGTAGAACAAATTCTTATGACTACACACGACCCTGCAGCTTATTATTTTATACGAAATGGTGGTGAGTAATAAGAGGTTTCTAGCTAAGCAAATACAATTGAATAATTGTTTTATTTCCATTACTTTATCTGCTGACAAAGACAAGAAGAACTCCTTTTAATAAACGTCGTTTGGCAACCAAATCCGCATTGATTTCCCCTAAATTGCAATTAGCCAACATCGGTTAATTTCGGAAAGCCATTAGTAACTAGTGGAAGAATTTGGCCAATAAGAAGTAAATGGCAGCTATTGTTCACAGCGCAAATAATAAAAGCCTTAATTCCTTGGTTTTGTCTGGGAGGGTCATGATTGAAAAGTTACAGACCAGAAATGCCAAATAATAACAGCCTACAGATTTGTTATGACGAAATAAATTTTATAAATTACAATCAACGTAAATATATAGTATAGTATGGGTCGGACACAAATTATATAAATAGCTGTCTTCAAACAGAAATTCAGTTTCCCTTTAAATTACCAACCGTAATAAATTGGGGCGGCATTGGGATTGGCTTTCAATTAAAATTTATGGTTTGTAGTCGTGCGCCTTTGATTCGTTTATCGCACACCATCACAACCATATCGCATGAAGTCCAACAACAGGTATGTCTTAATTTAATATAAACGTAAACGTTTAAGAGGACAGGTGTGTGTTGTATTAACAAAATGCTTACACGTCCGAAATATGAATTTCCTTTTCCTTTTTATCAATTCTCAGAGGTATCCCTCACTAGTCATAAAAATATTTATTTTAAAAGGTATTTAGATTTTTTCCGAAACCTTTGTCCTTTTATATTAAAACAAAATAAAAACAATTTCTTAAGAACCACAACGTTTAAAGTCCTCTTCTTTTGTCTTCCATGGAAGTCCATTTTAAACCTCAACCTACTTTATTAAAGTTTGAAATCTAGTGTAGGCTTACTATCCCTGACAGACAAGCTATCCTGCTTATGATTAACTAATTATTATTTTAAAAATTCTATACAATTTTCGTGGCACCTTCCTCGCCACCCCCACCTTTCTTTAAAACCTGTCCACTGTTATTGACGTCAACCCATTTTCGTCTTCCTTTACCAGGAAATGTTCACCAACAGCGATGGACCTTCAAGAATATTCTCTTGACTACTTCTTTCTTGAAATGTAAGCTGTTCTTTTCATTTAGACCATTTACTCAAAGTATTGATCGACTTCAGGATGCTGGCGAATGGCTTTCTTAGTTTTTAATCTCTTGAGTCCTTAGCGACAAATGTCAGAGATCTTAAACAAAAGTTTTGCGCGTGAAATCCATCTAGGTTTATCCTCAAACCCACTTCCTATCCTTAATGGCTAAAATGCTTAATGAAGAAACTGCAGAGAAATATTTCTGTAAAAACCAACCTGTCACTTGCTTGAACTATAAACAGCCGACGCAATTCCATTTGAGCCCCGAAGCCCTGTCCATCATACAATCCTTTAGTCTGCCAATAATTGGACGCATTTATAATTTATGAAGTTATCGCAGAGGCCACAGTTCATTAATGGTTCCAAAGGATGCCGTCTCCTTTGTCCTACAGGCAGAAACACTATAGATTGTTCGAAAGCATGGAAATGTTGACTTTTCAATGCGTCAGCCAACAAAGTGATCAACATTTATTGGACTTTTCCAATCATCCCACACTTGCTTTTGACCTTTTTGTGTGCCAATTAGTACTTATCAACTTTCGATATTGTAATATTGATAATGATATTGATTTTTATTGAGCATTCAACTAAGATTTGTTAAGCAAAGAAGTCGTCAAAAGTTTAGTACCAGCCCACAATTGGTTTCCCATTGCCTGCCAGCCACTGCCCGAAGCCAATCTGTTCGAAATGGGCTCCAGATGGGTTATGGTTTGCGAGCTCTGGAGATAGGAGAGCTTGTCCGGCGCCTGGACTCGAATGACGGGTGAAGTGTCCAAGGCGCACTGCGTCACGTTCGTTTTTTTGAATCTCCGCCGCAGCGGCGTGGGCAGCAGCATGGGCCACCGCCGCTTTGGATGCCGCGAGTCTTTGCTGGATGGCCTCTGAACGCTGGATGGTGGCTGCAGCTTGGGACTTTTGCTTAAGGATCACGGCCTGGGTTTGCTTTTCCGTGGCTATACGTTGCTGATTCAGCACATTCTCCTTGGCCACATTCAAATGCTGTTGGGCAATAAGGACGTTGACTGCCGCCTGTTTGGCACTGGATATGGCATTAGCCACTTCCCCAGGACTGGGACCATATGCTACAGGCTTCGGCACACCGTTCCAGTCGTTGAAACCTGGATTCCAGCGCCCGCCATTGAAAAATTGTGGGCTCTTAGCTACGGCCCATGCTAAGGACTCATCGGGAATGAGACTTCTCTTGGGAAGAGTCTTAGAATCCGAATCACACCACACTCCTGCCGTCAGGACCATTAGCAGAATATTGGCTGAGAGGCTTACCGAGAAGAAATGCATTTTACCGACGAAAAGTAACTTCTGATAAGCTTTCTTAGTCACAGCATTAGTATTTATACTAGACGGTGGGCGAAGTAAAACTAGTTTGTGATGCAATTTTTTCTCAAAAAATACTTTCGATGGCTCAGTTTATTAAAAATAATCACCTTTAACAACAGGAAATGAAGGGCAGCTTTCGTTTTACCAAATTAAAGTTTGGACAAGCCAAAGCCTAAGTCTAGTCTAGACTCTGCTAATAATGGTGATCTTTTGACTTCTAACACTGGCAGCACGTTTAAGAGAAATCTTTTTTAAAACAGGAAATCGGTTTGAATGGATCTACGAACCGTTGCGATTATTTCTATATGATGTTGCCCTAGAGGGAGGCACCATAGACCCAAAATTTCAAAGGGGACCCTCCAGGTTTGTTGGTAGGTTTTGATGAAGATTGATGGAGAATCGCTCTACAAATCTTTTAAGGTGTGCCGCTCACGAATCGGATGATTATTGCCAAAGATATGGCCAAAGAAAGAGGTCATATAGACCCCACATGCATTTTTCGAAATTTCGTATGGGACCCTCCAGAAAAAATGACAAAAAATCTAAAAAATATTTTGTTGGTAGGTTTTGATGCAGATTGATGGAGAATCGTTCAAAAAATCTTTTACGGTATGCCGCTCACGAATCGGATGATTATTGCCAAAGATATGGCCAAAGAAAGAGATCATATAGACCCCACATGCATTTTTCGAAATTTCGTATGGGACCCTCCAGAAAAAATTACAAAAAATCTAAAAAATATTTTGTTGGTAGGTTTTGATGCAGATTGGTGGAGAATCGTTCTACGAATCTTTTAAGGTATGCCGCTCATGAATCGGATGATTATTTGCAAAGATATGGCCAAAGAAAGACGTCATATAGACCCCCACATGCATTTTTCAAAATTTCGCAGGGGACCCTCAGAAAAAATGACAAAAAATCTAAAAAATATTTTGTCGCAGGATTTTGATGCAGAATGATGGCGAATCGATATAGAAATCGTTTAAGGTAGTCCGCTTGAGAATCGGATGAGAATTGGAAAAGATATAGCCATCGCCGTGGGCCATATAGGGAAAGACCCCATTTCCAATGGATCCCATCAGGAAAAATGGACAAAAAATCTAAAAAATATTTTGTCGCAGGATTTTGATGCAGAATGGTGGCGAATCGATATAGACATCGTTTAAGGTAGTCCGCTTGAGAATCGGATGAGAATTGGGGAAGATATAGCCATCGCCGTGGGCCCTATAGGGGAAAACCTCATTTTGTAGGGATCCCAACACGAAAAATGGACAAAAAATCTGAAAAATATTTTGTCGCAGGATTTTGATGCAGAACGGTGGCGAATCGTTCCATAAATCAATTAAGGTACTCCGCTTGAGAATCGGATGAGAATTGTGGAAGATATAGCCATCGCCGTGGGCCCTATAGGGGAAAACCTCATTTTGTAGGGATCCCAACACGAAAAATGGAAAAAAATCTGAAAAATATTTTTTCGCAGGATTTTGATGCAGAACGGTGGCGAATCGTTCCATAAATCAATTAAGGTACTCCGCTTGAAAATCGGATGAGAATTGGGGAAGATATAGCCATCGCCGTGGGCTATATAGGAAAAAACACCATTTCCAAGGGATCCCATCAGGAAAAATGGACAAAAAATCAAAAAAAATTTTTGTCGCAGGATTTTGATGCAGAATGGTGGCGAATCGATATAGAAATCGTTTAAGGTAGTCCACTTGAGAATCGATGGGAATTGGGGATGATATAGGCATCACTGTGGAAATTCCATTTTCATGGGATCCACCCATGATTATTGGCCAAGATGTAGCATCGTCCCCCTACATGATTTCACATTTTGAAGTTGCACCTTATTACTTCAAATATTTAATCACTGAATTAGTTTTGTAAATTTACAAATTAGTTGTTATAAAATCCTCAAATCCACAAGTTTTTGAACTCAGATTACAGAGGACTGGTAACTTTTCGTGGCTCTATTAGCAAATTATTGAAACAAAAGTGTATCCTTAATGGCTTTGGAAAACAAGTGAAACTTGGCTTTGGCCTATAATATACAATCAGCCAGGAAAACTTTGTGTTGGCAGCGGAAGGCGGATGCCACTCAACTCATGAATATTGATTGAATGGACATGCGTTTCGACCCCAAGCCTTCGATAAATAAAGTTTTCGCGTTTTATTAGTCCTTTGCACAAGCATAATTTGCAGACTTATTGACTTATCAGTCAACAGGTTGCTCATACTTTTATGAAGTGGTCTATATATAGCTATTTTGAGCAAAAAGTTTAATATGCACTCTGTTTGAATTTGGAGTTAATTATTAAGACATGGATATTAAGATCCATTATTAAGATTTGAGACTTGGATAAACTTTCAACGTTTAATATTTAAACTATTTTTTCCATTCAATTGCAAGTTAGTTTGAGAATTAAAAGTTTTTAAAGACCTAAAACAACTGCTTAACTAATTTATTCGGGTTTGAAAATTAATGTTTACGTTTTCTAAAATCTGGATACATTTATAAACTTTTAAAGATTTTTTTCTCCAAATTTGTATTTAAAATTTGAAATATCTGTCAAATGGCTTTAAAAAATATTTATTTAAGTAAAAACTAGTTAAGATACTTGAGCCTTTTTTTTGAATTTCTAACTAACAGCTGGCTGAAACTTTAATTTTTTGAAGGCTCTTATATCAGAACTTAAATTTATTCATATTTTAAAATATTGTGACTCATTTTTTTTAAATATTCGATTCTATAGTTTTCCTAGAACTTAAAATACAGAAAAACCTTAAACCTCAACCGTTTTAAAGTAAACTTGAATGAAAAAATAATATTTTTATATATTATTTCAGTACATACATTTTAAGTATAATTCACTGTCACTCGATTATTTATTCCGCGTATAAAAAGGCCGCGAACGTTATCACAGAACTCAACCAAACTGAATAAGCAGACATCCTTTGGTTACCTTTGCTTTTATATCTAGAAGAGCTCGCGGTGGCAAAGCAACAGTATCCGTATCCCATACTGGTGAGTATGCGTGCTCCCGTCCCTTTTGTGTGGGTGTGGGTGTGAGGGTTAGGGTGTAGATTGTTGGCCAGCGGGCAAAAAGTGAGATAATAAACAGTACACGGACGAGGACAGACTGGGTTTCCCGAAACCCCACACTTCTGTGTCAGCAGGTGAGTTTTGCTTTATAATTTTCTGCTGCACTTATTGTGGCTATGGGTAAGGCCACAGGATTCAACATGTTGATCCAAAAAGTGCGCAAATGTCTTAACAGTATACAATTTTAATGCAATGGTGGCTACAGTATAGATTTACCTCTTGGCTTAGATACTCCCCTTTTTCATAATTAGTACTATAAGTGTATGTCCTTTTTTGTTTTACCATATAATATAAATATTATTAAAAATATAATTATACTATATTAGCATGAATTATCATGTATGTAAATAAGTAAATAAGCTTAATGGTAAATAATTGTCCATTAAGCTCAATGTCATATCTTATCTGACATTTTTCATGCTTCTACAGAAGTAACTTTAGATATACGTTAATAACCCATTTGATAATTTCAAGTACCGATGAAATAAAAAAGATAAAAACCAAATTTTAATGACTAAGCATTTCTATATTTATTAAATAAACTTTTGGCCTATACATACATATGTACAGAAAATAGGGAAAAAGTAAGTAAGCTTCAGAATATAATTAATACAAAAATTTACATACTTTTGGTTGACTTTTATTAAAGAAAAAATAAAGGAATCATTCCCTACTTCCTAAAATCTGTATGAAGTATTCATTCAAAAAACTGCCTTAGCTTATCCATATCTAACCATCCTATTTAAAAGGTACTGTTAACAATCTAAACCTTTTTCTTAAATATTTCTCATCAAGCCCTTTTTTTTAATCTGTAGCAGCTTTTTTAAGCGTCTTCTCTTCTTAGTATCACCTATTTTAAATATATGTTTATTAAATTATATTTTATATTACCTCTTGAGATATTATAGAAGACAGAAATCTGTAAGACAGTGTCTCCCAAGCTCCTTACCAGGATCTCTTCATCATCGTACTTACCTACATAGAATGTCCAGTTGGCCGATCTCTTAAAACGATTTTATTACTTTTCTTAGAGGTCCAAATGACATTATCAAATGAATATCACTGAAAATAACTACAAATTGTGTGTTGATACTGTTAAAAAACAAGCTTTTAAAAATTTAAAATTTTTCTTTACAAAAAATGTTTCACATTCCACTGTTCCGCTTCTACGCTAAATCACAAAATATTATTTAATGGACTTTAAAATTTACTACTCCCGTGAATCTTTCACAGTTTTAATTAATTATCCCTTCCTTTAACTAACGTTCCTTAAATTTCATTTAATTTTCATATTTGTTTAGCTTTGTGTTCAAATGATTCATTTCCTCTTTATTGAAAGTTGTGGCACATACTTTACAAAAGAATTTTTACCAGATTAGTTCAAAACCTTATATTTATAAATATTTTCGAATTAACTTTTATCGAATATTTTGTCTTAAACCAAAAGCTAAAAAAAAGCTAAATAATTCTTTTTTATAAAATGTTGATCTTTTTGCAACACTGAAAAGTATAACATTGTTTACGTGCGTTACCAACACTTGTTGCAGCCGGCTGCGAAACGCGCTTCTTTTTGTGTATTTTTATTATATTGTTTTATTTAGAAGCCATAATGACAGACAGCAACGTTCCCGCCTTCGTAAGTTCCTTTTTAATAAAATAATTATTTTCCTTAATCAATATTACTTTATTTTAGGAACTCGGCGACACCCTCGCCATGCGTTGTGGAAACACTCTGACCGGAGTTTTTGTGCCTGGTTTCAAAATCGCCCTTAGCGCTTACCGACATGTTAAATACAATTCAAGAGACGCTCCAACCGAAACTGCCAACCTGGATCCCGTCCTCATCTACATGGCCCACGAAACCACACTGTTTGATGAGCCTATTCTGAGGAGCCTTCTCGCCGAATCAAACGCCACCTTCTCGACAGTGCAGCAACTGGGTCAGAAGGCAGCGCGAGCGGAGTACGTAAATGTTTCGCGGGCATACCGTAGCATTGTACGCGCCTGCCTGGAGAAATTGGAGCACGAGAAAAAGTCAGCGGAGGTGCAGACCGATGATCTGCGCCGGGAACGCATTTCAGAGGCCATGGTCGTCTTTTATGCAGCAGAGTGTCTGTGGCATCTGTTTGAAATCCTCTACATCCAACAGAGCCAGCTAGTGGTGCCCCAGCTGTTGGAATGGGCGCGCTTCCATTTCCCGCAAACAGAAGAAAAGGCCACAGATCTGCTGCTGATGGGCGAGGAGGCCAGTGAGTCCGATGACTACTGGAATGTGCTCAAGTCTCTCATCATGCTTGGTGAAATAGACATTACTCGCGCTATTCTGTCCCAGAACCGCAAAGCCAGTCAACCTGCTTTCAAAACTGCAGAGCTGGCGTTAAAGTCGATGCCTCTCTACCAGGAAGGATACTCTTTACAAAAGTTTAACTCGCAATGGGAGTACTGGCATACGGACACAGAACGCAAGATTCAGTCCAACATATTCGCTACGGAGCCAGAACTGGAGCAGATAGTCCAGCTTGTTGTGGGCAACAACAATCAATGGGATGCTGGGATCAAGGACTCCCAAGACTGGTACCAATACCTGCCAGGATATCTGCTCTACACAAAGCCCACCTGCAAGCCATTCGAGCTCAGGATAGCGTCTAGCAACTGGCTTAACCGCTGGTCTATGCTCCGACCAGAAATGATATTAAGCAGCATGAGTCGCATGGTCCTGCAGTTGATGGAGCACGACGTTAGGTTATTTATCTATGAGGCCCAAAAAATAAGCGACACGCACTGGTTTTCTACCCATTTGATAGATCTGATCCACAATTCGGGAATACTCAAGAGTTACTTCGATCAAAACAACGTGTAAGCCATAATTTTCATATAAATTAAGTAACCAAATAATAATTGTTTTTATAGTGATCTTCCAGCACTACGGCATTCTATAATTTATGAGTACGGCACATATTTGATGTCCACGAGGAATCTATGGCATCTGGGAATTGACTATTTGGATTATTGCAAACAGGAAGGAAGGGCGGCTATCGAGTTGCTCCTGCCAAGGATTTCCATTCGGACCGAGCGACAGGCCAACAAGCTAATCAATCTGGCCAAGCAGAGGGGACTCCTGACCGTGGAACAGGATATATGCAAGGTCCTATCAAAACGGGCCTATGATGCAGAGCGTTATGGCAGCGCTCTCGAATGGGCCATTCGATCGAAGGATGTTCTGCTAGTCACGGCTGTCGCTGATTTTATATTAAAGGTAATTTACAAGAAAATTATGTATGTTAGGTTTATTAATTATTTTTTTGCAGACTTATTCAAGGACGGGAAATATGCTTTGTCCAGATACGATTGCCAATGTTGGGGGCCGTATGTTTGTGTCGCCACGTTTGGTTTTCCTCTCAAAGTACTTTGAATTCTATGAATACTACCGTAATCGTGACTTTCTCTCAGCCTCCGAATTATTAGTTAATCTTTTGGAGTCAAAAATAACGCCCGAATAGTAAGTATTTGATTTCAATGCCATTAATTCTTATATTTCAACCACTTCCAATTAGTTTCTGGCCCTCTTTGCTCATCGATGCCATGCCTCTTCTCGAGTCAAAGGACCCGAAGATCTTCTCCAAGGAAACCGTGGCAATTCTGCACCATATTGAAACCGAACTTGTTCCCATTATTGAACGTAACACAGACAAGTTTGGCGAGGTACGTTGGTTGCTTCAGTTTGAAAATAAATATTAAATACGTATTTGTATTTACAGCACCATACAGAGAACGTTTTCAAGGACTATCGGGTGGAGAATGTTGACGAAATCCTGAACCTCATGCGGTTAGCCTGTGCCCGTAACCTGGCCAGGGCAATGATTATTGAAAACACAATGCCGTTGGAGTGATTTTGAATGCATTTTTTAGTGTAATTTATTTTGTATTTTTCGCTTTTCCAATACATCGTAATTTGTTATAGATTTAATGCACTGCTAACTTGTTATTCATACGCATTTTGTTTATATCTTGTGCCTCTTTGCTATTTATTGTACCAACAACGCTACTTGACTGGCTGTTGCCCTTTGACTAAAAGGAAATCCATGCTGCTGGGGGAGCTGGAGGGACGTTCACAGTATGCATTTGTTAAGGGGGGGGCCTACTAACGCAACGGTTAAAATCAGCTCCATCCTGCTGATGGACCCAAACAAATGGTGACCCATCTATCTAAACTAGTGTAAACGGCGTGGGTTAATCTATAGGATATCTTTCTCCGGAATCTGCTAGGCGGCAAATCAAAAATGCTTAGGCCAAACTTAAAATAATATTAAAACCAATCACTAAAAGTACTTCAGCTGCACATAAAGGAAGTTTATACACGTATTCGACTTCGCACCTAAGAACTATTAAACAACGCACAGAGCACAAGGGTAAAACACATATTTATGTATATATATATATGCAAATATTGGGATATATATATATCTGCGGGTATGTCTATATATATACTATATATTCTGGTTTCTTTTTTTTTTATCATTATGAGAATCGCACGGCCTTGTACAAATGTTCGGTTACTACGTACGGAATTACAATTAAACTTGGATGTCTCTTGGCTTGGCCCTTGGACCGCCAACGGCAATTACAAAATGGGTTCCATTCGTCATTCGGTTTTGGGGAAAAACAAAAACTAGTTTCCTAAGATGTGGAGCCGTCGGGTGGGTCACACTGCATGTCCATCATTCTAAATCTTAACAAAACTTATATTTTCCTTTACTCATTCCATTTATAATTTTTCAGACAAACACACTAGGCAACAGAAATTAAAAAAAAAAATCAATAAATTATTTTTGATTATAAAGTTTCCAATCCCGAACTGACAACGCAAATGGAGAATTTCATAAAAATAATTTTAACAACACTTTTACCTTATAATATGGTACAAAAAAAATCAAATGGTCATCTATTTCTTAAAAATGTAAAAATAAAATCTATTGGTTGTCAAATGGATTCAAAGTCGCCTGTGGCATTATAACCTAAACAGCGGATTTATGATTCGAAAATATTCAAAATCACGGCAGCAGTTTGGGAGGAATGAAGTTCGATTTTAAATGGCAGTTCGAGATGGAAGATCCTGTTGCCTAGCGCTCATCAAGGGACTACGCTTTTGAGTATTTCGCTTAAACTATGCCAATATTGGTTAATTATGTGGTTGTGATTGTGAGAGGTGTCTAATTATGCTTCGCCGTGGCTACAGCCGCCGCGGCTATACCTGCCGCGCTCGTCGACGCCGTGGTGGTGGCGGCTGCCACTATGGCACTGCTGCCTGTGATAGAGCCAAGCCGTGAAAGCGAGGGCTCTCGTTTTGGCGGAACAATGGGCTTGGTCGGTATTGGAGGCGGAGCGCCGCGAGCTCCTGCCGGCGGTACCGTAACGGGGGGCACGGCAATGGGCACGGGATGAGGATGTGGTGGCACAGCCGTCTGGTCAAGTGCAGCTGCCGCAGCTAGAGCAGCATACTTGCCGCCAGGCGCGCGCTGTATAGTGGCTGTGGGCTGCATCTTCGCAGGTGATGGAGACGGTGGTGCCGGTGTGGGAACGGTGACACCAGATGAGTCCACAGTGGAGCTTCCAGCTGCACTGGTGGCGTTGGTAGTATTGTTTGTAGTTGGGTTTGTCGGTGTATTATTATGGTTGATTGCAGCCGCCGGTGGTGGTGCCATCACAGCGGTGGCCGTGCCTGTGGGCGCCGTTGCTATCCCGGCACTCCGGATGTTCTGACCTGGTGCTATAGACCGAGCAATGCCAGTTTGGGGGCCCGACACCGGCATACTGCTTACCGTGGCGGTTGGCTGCACGATCTTGGCGATATTTACCATAGGGGGCGTGGCACAGGCATCGTCTGCAAAACGTAGATAAATCGAATTAACATTCAGGGGAATATAAGAAAAGACAGCATTCCATCTTCGGATATCCGAGGTGCGAAAGCCCTTGCAGAAGCTAAGAAGGTAATTTAAATCATTGCACATTCGTCTTTATTTGTGGAATTCTGCATAATCTTTAACAAAAAAGTATAAACGTAAAAAGTATCATACAAAACTGAAGTAGTTTTAAACATATTGGTAGATTTGGCAAATATTCTTGGGAAATAAAGCTTCTGCTGGGACCAGTGTTTTGTGTAAATGCATCGACATGGTCGTGAAACGCTATAGACAGCACTGGTGGCAAGTGTCTACTTTTCTGGCATTGGTCAGAGTGCACCAATGGATTAGATGGACATAGGTGTGTGCGTGGGCGTGCGAATGCGTGATCGTTTGGGTGGTGCATCAGTGGTGTGCACGAATAACGTCACAAAAACAAAAAACAAATCACCTTGCAATTGCGTAACATTTTTTCTAACAAAAGATTTCGGCTTCAAGAGGAGTTCGAAAAAAAAGTAATATAAGTATAGAGTTAAAGTTTGTATATAGAAAATTATAAAGAGGGCAACCATAATTACAACAGCCAGTTTCCGGGTGGAACAAGCCTTTGTTGCTCACTCACCGCTAAACTGTCGCGCCTTGGCGGCGGCCACGGAGGAACTGCTGGCCCCCAGCTGGTGCTGCTTCTTGAGAGCCTCGTGCTCGCCGCGCAGGTTATTGAGCTCCTGCTCCAACTCTTTAACTCTACAAATATTATTCGGATTATAGCTTAAACGGGCTTGCATGTAGACTAACTTACCGTAGCTCTTCCTTGGCCAACTTTGCCAAGAGGGTCTTTCGCTCCAGCTCCATGGATTGTGTTTGCTTCTCCAGCTCCTCTTCCATGCGCAGCGACTTCTTACTCTCCTCTTCCAGGCCTTCAGCAATGGTATCCGAGCGTTGTTTTTCCTCGGCCAGTATCTGGGCCAGGTCTTCCGATCTTTTACCTATAAATGGACGGATTGTTTATGAACCTGAAGGATAGGTGAGCTAAGTAGAACATGAACTAACCCTCCTCAATGTATTTCATCAAGATCTTTTTCCGCTCTGCAATCAAAAGCAGTACAATCTGCTTCTGCCGATTGCGTTCGTACTCCAACGTCTCTTGTAGCTTCTTGAGGTCCTTTTCCATCTTGGCTACTTGGGCGCGCTCCTCCTCGAGGTCCTGCTTCAACTTGGAGCGCTCCATTTCGAGACCATATGTGATGTCATCTCCCTGCGCCGTATCGTGCTCGTGCTTTCGCTTTTCCTCCTCCAGTTCTTGTAGCATTCGCTGGTTGTTCTCCAGCGATTCAGTGAGTATATTTACCATGCGAACGTGCGTAGCCCTTTGCTTGCTGACCATCTGGTACTGCTGCTCCATTTGCTGCTCAATAATCTGGCGTACCTCCATCTCGGCCTGAGCGGCCTGTGTGGATGACTCTCTGGAGATAAGGTTTCCGTTCAGGGCAATTTTGTCCCGGAATATGGCCGCATAAGGATCGTTTGGCTGAAGGCGCTTGGTGCGCAACTGGGTGATAAGCTGTTTAACCCGTTCGTTGCGCAGTGCAGCGATGCAAACATCACGGGCCTGCAGCTCGCCTTCAAGATAGTACAGCATCTTCACCAACTCACTGTGCGGCAACTCGGATCGACTGCGTCCGTTGGTAGCCACCGCAGGCAGCTTGTGAATCACCCCCGGTCCCGGCTTCATGGTCTGGAACTCATGGTTTGCGCTTACGGTATCGCTGCCGGAGGCGGATCCCGAGCAGTTTTCGATACCGAAGTCAGCATCTGGAGCCGTGCCCACAAACCGGGCGGTTCCACTGCTGCAACCGGAGTCCTCCGCGAAGATTTCCGCAGGGGCGCTATTGGAGTTCTGCTCCATTCTCCCGATTCCCTGTTCCCGTCGCCCGACCCTGCCTCACAGCATACAAAAAATGGTGCGTCGCAACCGAAGTTTGTGGTTTTCACAGGTCGCTACTAGGCGAGTGGGGAGCGGTAAACGCTATTTCACTAGTATCCTGAGATCACTATTAATCAATGCCTCAGACCAGCGGCATTTTAGGTTGCTGCAATTGTTACTAATTTAATAAATTGTGAGCCACACAAATTCTTTGTCGTGAAAAAGTGGATACTTTGCGGGCAGCGTTGCCAGAGTCACCTAAACCACATTTCGCGATCCGGCAACATGATTTTTATTTGCTGCAGAGCAGTGTTAAAAAAGGAGTAATTTCATTTTGGCGCTATATAGAAATTTGAATATTAATAATATTAATTTTTTAAACAATAACAATGATTTTTTTATTTTTTAAATACAAAAGGCTTAGCGGTATTATAGGCTAAAGAGTTTCGAATATGTTTTCCCACTAGACGATCCGCTAAAGGTATTAGTGACGGATCTCGCTTGTAAATTCCAGCAGACTTTGGTGTCCACACCCGAAGGCGACATTCCGAGTGGCCGGGCAGTAACAGTCCCATCCATCCCGCCGAGCTAAGCGTTATATCACAATTTAGCTTTCCTTCACTTCTACCTTTACTTTCCACGACGATTTCATTCTCTTTCGCCTGCAATCCCGGCCAGCGTTGTAATCGCGATTCTAAATCCTCACCTGCCGTGGGGACACCTAGGTAGGGAGTGCCCAAGTAACGTTTGTAAATATTATCCGCTTCTTGGGTATCTGAAATCAGCACGGGAAGATGCTCCGATGCAAAAACAAACACCTTTATCCAGTCAAACTGCTTTTTAAAGCTCGTTAACTCCAAAAGATCCATTCGAGCCAGGCCACCAAGAAAAATGGTCATCTGTGGCCGCAAACGAAACGCCCTGGGGCGGATCATCTTTGTGGGCTGCAGTTGAACGAGCTCCTCAGCTGTCAGAAGTGGAGTCAGTTGGTCTGGATGCATTACACCGGGCGTGTCGTACACCCACCTTGCCTCCTTGTACTCCGCTGCTCGCTCGTTCAATGTGGTTATTGGTCGCGTGCCACTGGCCATGGAAAATGCATCGTGGACGTCGTTGCGACTATCAAAGGTACGTCCAACGTCTCCTGAGGGTTGGGCGGCACGATAATTTCCTGTTTCAATAGCTATTTCCCGCCGCTGTTTTTCCATGGCAGCCTTTTCACTCCGCTCTGCCACGAGTCTCTTAAATCGCTGGTAGATTCTATCGTTGGATGGCCTTAGTATAGGAAAGCGAAGAAGTTTGAGTGTTGTGCCTGGCCATGGGCAAGTGGTAGCCTGGCGCACTAGCTCACTTGCCTCTGGGCGACAATAGTCAGAGTTCAGCAAGATATTGAAGAGAGAGCTTTTTCCCACATTTGTACAGCCCAGAAGATAGACGTCGCCCTTGTAAGCCCATGTTTTTTGTAGCTGCGTGATTAACTCTTCGATTCCGTAGCCAGTTTTGGCCGAAATAAGGCTAACATTTTTAATGTTTAGCCCGTTTCCACCGCCGTAACGTACAAACTCTTCCCGCAGTCGTTCTTTTACGTGCTGCAGGTATATGTTGGAGTCCCGTGGGAGCAGATCCACCTTGTTTCCCACTAGAAATATTGGACGTTTGGTGCCTAAAACGTTTTGCATATCTGGCCAAATAGAACTGGGAAAGTCGAGGAGATCCACAATGACGATGGCAAGGGCATATTTATCCTGTATCTGGGATATTGTTTCCACATACGAGGCCGGAGTAACCTCCACGTCCAAGGCAATATTATAGTTGTGAAGAAAATGGCATCGCTGACAAGTAATGGTACGTAGCTCCGTCCTAGATCGTCCTCGAAAAATTTCACTGGGTATGTAGCCTGGGAGGGAAGCTTTTAAGCAATGCAAGTGCGCGCCACATCCGTTGCAAGGAACATTAGATGAAGGAATCGAGGGATCCGGCGTACCCTGTTTGTTGGATCCTTCCTTGGCACCTTCATAGAACTCATAGTCGTCCATCCAGTCTTCCGGAAAACGATCAGTTGGGGGTAAAATTGCCGGCGGAGGCTTCCATCTTATTTAAGTGAGGATCAAATGTTAATTTTTTACCCAATCGAGAAGGAATCTAGTATCCACCTGCTTTCCAAAACAGAGCTGTAATAAACGTGCTCATGTGACCGGTAGCGCTCTCTGGCGAGGAGCCACCCTCGTTGACGCGAGCTACCAGTTGCTTCAGCTGCAGCACCATACAGTCTGGAATATTCCGAACATACTTTTTTATTGATAAATTTACGTAAACAAACAGTCTTCCACATCTTATAGTTCAGCTGGGGACCAAAACAAACATTCGGCACTTTTTCAACACTAATGTTTAAGAACACTATTCATATAAAAGTGTCATCACTAAGAATCTAAAAAGAGATGGCACAAATTGTCAGTGTTGCATAACGTCAGACAGCAGTGCTGAAAAGGGGCTCTCACAAAGGCAAAAGAAACTCGTCGAAAAGAGAAAAAAGAAAGCAGCGTTAGCGAAAGCAGAGGTGAGTCGAGTGCGGGACAAAAAAGCGTGTATGTATTAAAATTGAAACAAAAAGATCTAGAAGAAACGTGTCCACGGCGCAGAAAGCCAACTCCTGTCACAGAGGCAGTGAGATTTACGCACTGGCAAAAGTACAGAGTACACGCCGAGTAAAAAGCAGCAGCACAAAATAAAATGATTAGGAAAGTGTGTGGAAAAAAAAAGGCACAAGTGTATGTGAATGGCGGCTGTATGTGTGAGTGACGTGACTGTATGCGTGCTGCTGCGTGTATAAAAAGTAAAAAGTAACGCGAAGCTCGACCTAATTTTAACAAAATATTACAATAATATTTGCATAAACAAATGCTGAAACTAAGACGATGACAATTGTGCTGAGCCAGACGCCAAGCACCCCCGACCGTTTCGTTGCACTATAAGTTATCGTTGTTGTTGTTGTTGTCGCCGCCACCGCCACCGCCGCCATTGTCTAGGCAAGGAGGCTCATTCGGCTCGCACATTTCCATTTCCCCCGTGTAGTTCTTACCGAGACACGGGTTGAGTAATACAATAACAAAAACAGCAGAAGAGGCTTCGGCCACAACGGCGACGGCGGCTCAAATTTTAACAGTGCACTATGGGCTAAATGTACATTTTCCGGCATAAACTCTTAAAGATTACTTAAAAATGTACATACGAGTATTTATTGATAAGCCGAAATAGAATGATTTCCAATGAACATAAATCTCATAAAGACAAATATGAACGTTTTTTGTCTTAAATATTTATTGCCAGAAAAATCGACCTTTCGCCCATAGTGGAGTGTTGCAACTTTCGTTCGAACTCGTTTCGGGTTGTTGTCGCTCACTCACTTACTCACCGCCTGCCTTACCAAAAACTGGTATTTATTAAGAAGCAAAAAAACAAAAAACAAAAAAAAACTGTTGGGATGCAGTTGTGTTGTGGGAGCAATTTCCTAATGGGGATGGGGGGGAAAAAAAATCAATAGTTCGGAAATTAGACAACTTTCAACATCTCTTATTGCCGCTTGCCGCGCCACAAAATGCACTAAACGGGCCAGAAGAAGATAACCCCGGGCACAAGTGCAAGCGAGATAGTTGCTACCAATACTTGTGCAGTTTGAAATTTCCAGCGATGTCTGCTCTGCGCCGTCTTTGTTGTAATGTAATTGCGAAATCATAACGGCAGTTGAAAGTTGAGAGCGCTTAGCCAAGTATTTGCGCGCGTGTATGTGTGTGAAAGAGTGTGCGAGGCTACACGCTTTAAGCTCTGCTGAACTCCGAATGCTCTACTACTCTCAGCACCCTTTTGGCTGCCGCCTCCGCCTACACAATCAGCCGGTTGGAGCGTCCCCAAGTGTAGCGCATATGTGTGTCGAGTCAACAAGCTGGCTGGGTCCCGCAAAGGAAAACACATGTTGTAGGCACAGTGGGACTGTTTGGTAGAAGGAGGGACAAAAATCTACTCGGTGTTGTTTTAATGGAAGTGCGAATGAGTTTCCTGAATGCATCCGCCATCTTAAAGTTATTCCGAATGAATGTAAATTACAGATGTGGATACAAAGATATAAATAGACGGCAGCTGCCCTAAGTGCAATAGACAAATCTCGGTTCTGATGAATGAGCTCACTCCACTGTACGCGACTCAAATTCAAATAAGCAACCAGCAAATTACTGAAAATGCAGAAATTGCCTTGAAAAGTGAAAGGCATTCAACTGAGCGAGCGCAAGCGAGTCTCGTCTTGTCGTCTTTGATATTTTTGCTTAACCTTTGCGGCAGCTGTTTGTTGCTTTTGTTGTTGGTTTCAGTGCTGGCACACCACATTTGACATTTCCAAACACACACTAACACACACACACAATACTCTGCACATTCCAAATTCCCATTTCCATTACTGCCATTACACTGATGCTGCACATGCGCCTAGTGCTTATACCCTGTACCCTTGCTGAGAAAGGGTACACTCTATGTTGGTTTCTAGTAGAATATTTTTGGTGTTGGCCCACTCTTTTGCAATTCTTCAGCCTTGTTGTTGTTTGCCTGCCAGTCATTGCATTAATTTTGTTTATTTCTCTTTCAGAGTGCGGGAAAGATAGCCTGAGCCGAACCCCAAAAACCCACGGACTAAGCAAGCCCAGCCCCAAACTATAATAGTGGACTGGATTAAACTCATCTAACGGTGAACCTTTCGGCCACTCGTCCAAATTAAAACTCCTTTCCTATTTTTTGGATTGTACGAGCGAGCGTCCCGCAACGCCCCACCAACAAAAGCTTCTTCATGATGTCGTCGGATCAACAGTTCTTTCTGAAATGGAACGATTTTCAAACGAATATGGTGACCTCGTTCCGTCACTTGCGTGATGAGAAGAGCTTCACAGATGTAAGTACTAACAACCAAGGGAAATCCTTTCCAAAAAAAATCATTCATGGAAGTCTGACTATAATTACCTATTCAGAGATGGTCTTAGGTGGTTCTCTTGGCCCGTCTGAGGGTCACTCACCAGCTCAATTCACTGATTCTGTCTACCTACCTACCTACCTGTCCCTCATACCTCATTCTCTTAATTCAGTCTGCTTTTCTTTTACCTGCTTCTTTGTCTGAGTTCTCTTTGTGTTCTCGGTGGCAGGCCTTGTTATTTGTTTGGGGGAAAATTGGTAACGGATTTGAGCGAGTTTTCAATAAATTTTTCATTGTTTTTTTATAGGTAACACTCGCCTGCGAAGGCCAAACCTGCAAAGCCCACAAAATGGTGCTCTCCGCTTGCAGTCCTTACTTCAAAGCGCTGTTAGAGGTGAGTGTGTAACTTAATACCTAAATTATCCAACTGATCCAATGATTTCTTTCTGATTGTACAGGAGAACCCATCAAAACATCCAATCATCATCCTGAAAGATGTCTCCTATATTCACCTACAAGCTATTCTAGAGTTTATGTACGCCGGCGAGGTGAACGTGTCCCAAGAACAATTGCCAGCATTTCTAAAGACCGCCGATCGCCTCAAAGTGAAAGGCCTGGCAGAGACACCCAGTTCAATAAAGCGGGAGGGTTGATGGTATTAATAATAATAACAAAACCCTAAAAGAAAAACAACAAAAAAATTATAAAAAAGATAAAAAAAAAACCAAGAACTATAAGAAACTTATATGTATGCAAAAAAAAAACGAAATTCCAAAATTACGAGAACGACATTTGATATAAAAATTTTATGTAAAAGTGCACGAGGAAGAACAACAAACAGACCACACCACACACACACACACAAAGCTGACAGTTAAAAATGATTAGCCTGTAAAGTAATAGCGATGGATGGTCGGTTTAAGGACCCATCTGCTCACTCCCACACCAACTCATACACATCTGACCTTCCAGAATTTGCAAACATTTTTTGAAAAAAAGCACCCAATTGATTTGAATTGTGTATTCGTTTAATTTCTGCATAAAATAGTTTGTAATATATATTTAACAATTACGAAAAACAAAATCCAATCCAATCTGTATAAATGAAAGAGTTATGGACAGCCCTAACAAACAAAATATAAAACTTAAAAAAAAACAAGCAAAAAGAAAGCACGAAAATTGTAAAGTAATTGAAGGAGATAATTCATTTTAAATATATAAAGATAATTATAAATATAGTGTGAAATGTGCAAGTAGAAGGATAAAATGCTGCAATGGGCGCGAATATTACAACACATTCGGTTAGTTTATAAGCCACTAACTCCAAACCCAAACACGCCAGAAACAAAAACAAAAAAAAAGTTAATAAGATCAGACAAACTCATATTTACACGCAGTTACTATCTATAATAACAAAGCGACACACATCCTTCATCTCTATACTTAAATAAAATAGAAATGAAAAGAAATTTTTACTTTTACAATTTTTTGTTCGGACATTGCGATGATATATTTTCAAACATTTCTTACATGAGATATATTTTAATATCAAAACGAAGAGAATTATAACGTGTTTTGAACGTTTATTCTGAAGCTATCAATTCTACTAGTTTAAAAACCAAGAGCATAAGAAAGATGATAGAAGAAAACAAAAATAAATATTGACTAAAAACTATACTTGAATATTATTACATAAATATTTATATGTATGTATAATGTATACATGTGAGCATAGATTTAAATAACTACGGTAAATAAACAGAAAATTCCAAAAAAAAAAAAAAAAACACAAAAACAGAAAAAGGTTATGAAAACTCTGTGGACAAGATTCCTAAATTTTCTCGCATTTATTTTCTGTGTAGATTCATTCATCTCCCTTAGCATCGTACTCTGTATACAGTTCACAGTTCATTTACAAATTAACAAAAATATGTGTTTTTTTGCTTAAATTAGATTTAGACTAATATTCGATATATTGCCGAATTAGATCTAGATGTCGATTTTACAAATTCACATTGCACTAGAATTCTTAATTATTGAAACAGTTCGCGTTGCGGGTGTTCAGTTCGAATGGATCGGTGCGCATCTTTTGCTGATTATCCTCCACGTAACGCGTCACATCGGCCACCAGATTGGGCCTCTCGGCCGGGCTGGGGGCGCACGGCGACCAGATCTTAATGTCGTGGTCAATACCACTGGTGGCCAGCATGCAGATACTGGGATGCGGTTGAACGCAATTGACAATGGCACTGTCCGCCCGATAAACGGCACGTATTTTTCCGGTGTCCCCCTCCCAAATGTAAAGATTGCCATCGTCGGAGCCGGCGGCGATGAATTCGCCCTGGCTGCCCAGATAGTTGGCCTCCTTGATGTCTGTGGTGATGTTGCAGTGGCCCACGTAGCGCTGCATATAGTCTCTGGCTGAGGTACGGAGATCATATTCTACATCTCTGAGCCTTAGGTAACGGAAGCCGTCCTCTACGGGCTCTGGCTCCGGCGGCTCCGTGTTCTGCGACTGCCGGCGGTTCTCCTTGATGTCCTTGTTCAACAGTAGTACACCATGGTTGTTGGCAAAGCTGGGAAAGCGCTGAATGAGAGCTTGCAAGCACTTTTCCGCATCCTGTGGACGATGAAGTTCCAACAGGGCGCGAGCCAGCCGAAAATGGGCCTTCACATAGCTTGGGTCAAGGCGCAGTGCCTCGTGACAGTCCCGTAGAGCTGCATATATGTCGCCAAACCAACCGCGTCGCATCAGTGCAGTGGCTCTGTTCAGATACAGAACCTCACCCTTTGGATACTTGGCTAACGCCGCCGAGTATGCATCGATGGCGGCTCCTAGTTTACCATTTTCCAGGAACTCGTTGCCCTCCTTCTTGTGGACCTCTATGCACGGGGGCAGCGAACGGCTTTTATGTGGAACTGCCTTCACCTGTTCATCGTCCTCCTGGACGACAGGAGATGTGTAGGCGGGAAGGTCGTAAAAAACCGGGGGCTCGGCGCTGTTCAGATCGTAGCGATAGACGTGCTCGCATCCCATATTCACCAGCAGCTCCGTACCATTACCATTGAATGTGAGATAAGTCACGGCTCGTGACTCATGCACAATATTCCGGGAGATGTTTTTAACAATCTGGCCAGGCGCATAATAGGCAACACATGCTCTCAATGCTGGAGAAGATTAAAGTCAATGGAAGACTAATATATATACATTGAATCAATACATACCGTCTCCATCGCTGGATGGTAGCTTGCGTCGATCGAAAATCCTCGCAAAGGGATCGTTAGCTCCCACCGCCAGGTATTCCGTTCGCCGGGGATTAATGGCCAGACATTTGGCCTCAGTGGCGGTCTCCACAGGATTTGTAAGGCTAAGTATTCTTACGCTGCTACCCTCTTCCGGGCGACAGCGATGCGGCTCCCGCATGTCCAGCTGCAAGATGCAGCCGTCCTCCCCTGCGGACCAAAAGACGTGCGGGGAGTCCTGGGCTGTGGCTAGGCGTTTCGCCCGCATTAGATGGCAGTTACAGGCAAACAGGGTCTCGTTCGAATGGTTGATATCATAAACGTAGATGAACTTGTCCGCCGCACAAGTAGCTATAATATTGTTGTTATGCTTGGGCAGGAACTTGACCGAAAACATGTTGCCCAAGTGCTTGGTGGTGATTACATGAACGCATCGTTGGCGAAAAGGATCCCAGATCATAACACGGTAATCGTCCGATCCAGAAGCCAGCCACGAGCCGTCGGAGGTCCACTCCAGGCAGTTGACGCAACCATCATGTCCGGCGAGAATGGCCTCCTGTTCCAGCCTGTCCACGTAGGCGGGCGATGCCAGGAGCCGCCGGCGTAGAAGCTCATCAAGTTCGTGTCCGTATTGCTGGCGCTGCCAGTGAAGAGATGTGGCGTTCAAGGGCGTCTGCTGGCGCTGATACCGCGAACTGGAGTACTTGGTGCGGTAAAGATCATCGCTTGCCATCGTCTCCGAATGTAAGGATCGTATTATGACACTTGTTTTGGTTTGTTTTCTACTCTTAATTCATTTTGCATTCGCACCCCCTCTCAGCTCTCCTGACCTACCTGTTTACCCTATCAGTTGTTGACACCTGGGTCTAGCGTTGCCAGACTGCCTCGAGGTAATAACCGCGGTTGAAGGAGATGGAACTTTTATCGCAAATTTGAACAAAATTTGAAAAATATTAAAATTTAGTGTGAATAAAGCAAAGGTATAGTCGATTTTTCTAATTTTCCTTTAAGAGCCTTCTATAGTTATCGTTTTTTTTCTTTATAATTTGAGATATTCCAATAAAAATGGGAACTACTTAGCTGAATATTACTAATACTATTATTTTTAAAAATTTATTTTTAAATATTAAATATTTAAATATTTTAAATTTTTATGGAAGGGCATTGCCAGCCCAAATTATTAGAGCTGATACACTGTTTACATTACAATCGATAGTACCTAAATTGCAATTTTTACCCATCGCCAACGAAGGCAGATAAACTAAAAAAAAAGATTGATTAATTCCACAGACAAATCGACAGGGCGAAAATTAAGCCATGTCCAACGAGAAAGAGGATGAGCGTGACAAGCACAAACAACAGGCGGAGGCAGACGCCAAGTCCACATCTAGCGATGATTCCGACGAGTACCAGTCCGCCGGTGAAGGCGACGATTGCGAAGGTGATTCCCCCGTCGAGAACCCACCTGCAGCCACACCTGCAGCGACCAAGACCACTAGTCCGAGTTTAAAACCGACATCGGCTTCAGTACCGCCACAACCTTTGAGCGAAACAGTTGACTACCGGTATCCAATGCATCAAAGCGTATTCGAGGACGACATCAAGTCGCTGCAACGCCGCTTGCTCCTGAGCACTGCCCAGGAAGAAATCGGTCTCAAGGACAAGCATGGTAATACTCCGCTTCACCTGGCGGTGATGCTGGGCAGGAAACATGCCGTGCGTCTTCTCCTGGCTCACAATGCTCCTGTGAAGATCAAGAACAATGAAGGCTGGTCCCCGTTGTCCGAGGCCATTAGCTACGGCGATCGCCAGACAATCACCCAGGTCCTGCGCATGCTTAAGCTGCAGTCGCGGGATCACATGGAGAGCCGTCGTGAAAAGTTGGTTAACGCCCTGCGCCAGATGCAGGACTTCTACATGGAATTCAAGTGGGACTTTCAGTCCTGGCTGCCGCTAGTGTCCCGAATCCTGCCCTCGGATATCTGCCGGCTGTACAAGTCGGGAGCTTCAATAAGATTGGACACAACTTTAGTGGACTTCAACGACATGCGATGGGAAAGGGGCGACATATCCTTTCTATTCCGTGGCGAGGCTCCACCCAGAGAGTCTCTAGTGCTTTTAGACAATGAGCAGGAATGCTATCAGCGCCTGCGCTATGAGGAGTCTGACATGGAAGACGAAGTCGATGTCCTCATGTCCACCGACATTCTGGCCACCCAGATGTCGACCAAGACGATACAGTTCGCACGTGCCCAAAAGGGGTGGATTTTTCGAGCCAACCGCAAGGAGCTTATCGGCGGACAGTACCAATGCGAGATCTACACTATCCAGGGCCTGATCCTGAAGCAGCGGAAGCGCCGCGAACATCTCTCCCACGAGGATCTTCAGAAGAACCGAGCTATTGTCGAGACAATCACCAAGGGCGCTTGTCAGCAGCCGGATGCTCGACGCTCCAGCCTAAGCAGTCAACACACGGCTACGCCCCCCGAAACCAATACACCGACGGCACCGAATGGCATCACCCTACCAGAGCTGCCACGACGCAGCTCGCTGCAGGCACCACCAGCTACCACGGTCACTTGGCGTCAGTACCTAGATGCAGAGGTGGGCAAGTGCCCGCAGCTCGGAAGACCTCCCGTCCATAAACAATCAAGTAAGACACTGCGCGCTACGGTGGCCATGAGTAAGGATTTCCCATTGAGTCTGGAAATGTTATTGGACGTTCTGGAAGTGGTGGCGCCGTTGAAACACATCAATAAGCTGCGTGAATTTGTGACGCTTAAGTTGCCCACAGGATTTCCCGTCAAGATCGAGATCCCTGTATTGCACACGGTTACCGCGAAAGTGACGTTCCAAAAGTTTGAGTTTCGCGACAACATCCCTGCCAAGATGTTCGAAATACCCTCCAACTACTGGGAGGATGTGCGCCGCTTTCAAGATTTATGACCAGGCGACGGAGAACCAGCAAAAGGCTCATCCTCGGGATCGGGATCGGGCTCCGCCCAGTCCAGAGTCCATGTTGACTTGAATCGCAATGCGCCGTCCTCCATTGCGGAGTTTGATTGAGGAGGCGTACTCGGCCATGTCTCTTGCCTGCCCTCTCCCTAAATTGTGACCATCAATGGTTTGGTTCTCCAGCGAAGGCCGCAATCGCAAGGAACCGTGTTAATGTATGTATGTCTAGGAGGAAACAACAAAGATTCAAAAAATTGCAATTTTCACCCAAGACAACAAGAATTTGTCGACAAAATTATTTGGTCTTCTTTCGAGTATGACTTGCCCTTTGGATGAACTGTTTAAATTAAAATGTAACGCTCTGAAAATTGCAATTTTAAGCTTCGATTTGTTATTTATTGTATTTATTTATATCTAGCCCTCTTCGATGGGGATATTATGTATTAATTTTTAGTACTTATCATTAGATGCATCAACATTCTGTCTGGGAATCAGTTTGAAGTACATATTGCCGCCTGGCGGGGTGGAGTCTGAGGGCACCTGTCCAATCAGCGAGAAAAACAGAACATTTCTTACCCCAAAATTATTTTTCCTATCTCCAGCTAATCGCTAATGTGGTAAAAAACTTAAAAATAACCACAATCGATTGGCCAACAAAATAGTAAAGCAGGCGATATTCACAGACATACAGTCCTATCCGTACCACTCAATCAAAAGGTAGTCAGTCGAATGGTCGTCAGGTGTTGCTTAAGATCATATCGTTTTACACAGTTTATTTATATATCAATGTACATCCACAACCTTTCCGATTTAGTGAAATTTCATATTTATAATTAAGGTAAACTAAGGGAAGGCGGAAGTTTATTTTCGGCCCACACCCCCCTTTTTTCGAAATGAGTCTGCATGCCCCGCTTGGAACCAAGGCGTTCTTTTTATATACACACTTAGGCTATGAGTACTTGATGAGAATCGTCTGCAAAACAAATTCCTACACCATTTTCATAATAGTCGAAAGTATTTTGAAGTGCGCAAAACGTAAAACAGCTTCACAAATCAATTAAAACTAAATGTTTATCTATACGTACCAATGTATTTATGTAGTTCGATTCTAGAAAATTATTTAAACCATAAAAATAGCATCTGTATTTATACTTGTTAATCAACAAAGAGGAAAGCTCCGATTTGCTCTCATTTTGTTTCATGTATTCTTGTAAAACTGCCATTTTTTCTTGATTTTTATTGATTTTTATTTTTGGTACTGCATTTGTTCCTTTGACTTTGTCCCGGTCTTAACAATAATAAATTCAAAACGATAATCAAACAAAAACTTTTTTAAACATCAGAAAAATTAAGTCGTTTAGTATGAAATTGTAATCCGAACTATACACACAAGAAATCTGTTAAGCAATGGATATAGACAAGATCGGTGGATTTTACTACTTAAGGATTGAATCGATGATTGAAATATATATTTATACAAGATCCTCTAAACGTAATTGAACCGAGCATTTGTATACGCTCTAAAAAAATATATATACACTCACATCCCACATGCTGTAAAATGTGCAACCCAATCCAAATGTGTTTTATTCGCGTTAACGGGAATTGGGTTTCAAATTGCGCGCCCTTCCGCATAATCCCCAGCCCTGGGGGCACATTTCTTTCCAGCAATTTCGGTGTTTACAAACACTGTTCTGCGAATCAGCTGCTTGAGTCACAATATCGAATTCTACGCACAATTTTCCATCAAATTTTCATTGCGCTGCACAAATAAAGTGGAAATACTTTGGAAAGATGATCGTTTCACGCCTGGCCTTCCCCCTGAACCTTGGACTCCGCCAGTTTTCGCGCCGAGTGGCGGAGAACCCCAGCAACTTAAAGATCCTGCAACGCCACATGTCGGGCGTCTATTTCCGCAGCGGTGCCATTAAACCAAAACCCGAGGAAATGCCCTTCGGGCTGTTTGCCATCTTCTGTGCTGTCATCCCGGGCCTCTTTGTTGGCGCCACTATCAGCAAGAACGTTGCCAATTTCCTGGAGGAGAACGACCTATTCGTTCCTGCCGACGATGACGACGACGAGGACTAAATCGATGTCCGGAAGCTACCTCATTGATGTGCACACTCACACCCCTAGTCGAAATATCTTGGAGTACATGGCCAAATGTTATCTTAAACTATTTATTAGACCTCTTTTCTCCTATGTATGAAAATCTCTAATCTTAAGATCCCAAAGTTTTGGCATTTTTATCTGTTTTTTGTGTCGTCCCGTTCTTCTAACGATTTTTCAATAATGTTGACTACATCGACTACATAGCTCGATAAGATGATGAATGTTATTAGTATTTAAATAAAGCTTACATGACTATATTCTATATTTTGTTTATTATATAACAAGATATGCGTTCTCATCTGAGAAATGGCGCGCTCCATGTCAGGAAAGAGAATCTGACCACCCACCCACCTAGAAATCAAACAATTATTCTTTGCCGAAGTGGAATTTTATTGTAATTAAATTTGTTGGGTGTACAAAGGTATGTTTTTACTGAATTTCTCTGATTTTCATTACAATTTCATTCAAATGGTTGTAATTGCTGTGTGTTTGGCTCCTCAAAGATTCGCAATCAACGATTCTATTTTCTCATTTAATCATACAAATTATGTTTTATATCGCTTTAATATATATAGAAGTGTACATATATATCTGCTATATACCTATATAGAGGTGTGTGTTGACTTGCGTATGTTCTTCTGTGAAAAATAAAATATTTTCTTTTCTCAATTTTGAATGGGCTTCGGGGTTTATCGCAATTTTTCCATGAATATATTCCAATTCGGGTTTAGTTTTTTAGTTTTTCTTTAATAGTTTTATGGTTGTTGGTTTTACAATTTTTTCAAAGATTTTTTTGTATTTATTTTTAGATTTTTTTGTTTTGTTTTGTTTAATAAAAAAATATGAATTTCACTTCCCGACCGACGCTTGGAGGCTTTTTCAACGTCGGACTCTCTAATGCTCTTCTGTTTTTTGTTTTTTTCTTTTTTTTTTTAATATATCGTATGTATGGTGTAAAAACATTTTATTGTATTATTCTTGATTCTCATTTTTTTAACAGAAGCTTGACGTTTTCTTTTTCAAAATACATTTCTCGCAAATTGTTTTGTTTTTGGATAATAATAATAAACATAAAAAAAATCCTGCTTGATTTTCCCTCCAGTCCTCGACGTCGACGTCTTCTAAACTTCGCTTCAATATGTTTCATAAGTTGTTTTACGCTTTAGCGTTTTTTTTAATGTTTTTCTTGTATTTTTTCCATATATGTTGTTGTTGTTTGTTGTAATATGTTGTGTTTTTGTTTGTTTTTGTATATATATGTATTTATTTTTTTCAAGTTTTTACATTGTTTTTCAATTTTTTTGTAGGTTTTTTCTTTCATTTGTTTTTGTTTACATTTTTCAACATTTTCTTCTCTGCAGTTGTTGTTGTATTTTCTTTCTTTTATCAAAGTAGCAAAAACTTGACTCATATTCTTGCGGTTATCTCTCTTCTTCTTCGTTTTTTCCCTTCTCTCATTTGCTTCCGGTTTATTTCTCATTTTTTCGTTATTTTGACATTTTTGCAATTTTTTTGTTTTTTCTTTGCTTTTTTAAAAGTGTGTGGTTGTCGCGTTTCTCTTTTTTTAAACAAAGCTTTCATAAAGTTTGAATGTGAAAAAAGAATTTGAAAAAATTACATATCGATTTCGATCTGTATCGGTCTCGATCTCTTTTTGCTTTAAATTGGGATGGAAAGTGTTTTTATAAGAAACTTGACATCTTATCAACGTTATAGAGACAATTTCAATTATTAGCATAAAGCGTTCTACATTCTGTTTATTTTGCGATGGTTTTGCATTCTTCTTTTACGCATACAATATACAAATATTTCAATTCAAGCAATGACAAAAAGTATGTTTCAAATTCGCATTTTGAAGTTTTCATTTTTTTTTCTGTAAATGTATAAAAGAATTCTCGTTCTCGAATATTGTTTTGCTGAATCTGAATAGACTTTCCTCTTGATTTTTCGTGTAATTGCGTAAATGCGTTCGAAATTAAATGATTGAAATTGCTTTTTTCTTTCTTTTCTCTGGGGGATTAGATAAAAGCCTTCGATTGGCTGGTTTTTCTGTGTTGATATATGTGTCCTAGGCGGTTCTTCTATGCTCTAGCTTCAGTGAATGCGAATTAGTTAATGAATTGAAAGTGAAGAGGAAAACTGTAACGAAAAAAAGATATTAATATTCAAACAAAATACATGAAAAAAAAGGTATCTTACTTTTTGGGTGTCGAGTGTTCATACAAAATCCTTCATCCGCTTTATTATTGTTCGAGCTTAGTTTGCAGGCTCGGTGACGCGGTGCACTTGCAGCACGGCCACAGCCTCTTCGACCTTAGCCTTAAGGGCCTCCTGATCCTCAATCATGTGCAAGAGCTCAGAGTTCTCGATCTCCAGCAACATGCCGGTGATCTTGCCCGCCAATGAGGGGTGCATGCGCTCAATCATCGGGTACAGACGCTCGCCGAGGATCTGCTTCTGCTCCTGGGGCTTGGCATTAGCCAAAAGCGAAGCAATAAGCTTCTCGGAATCTATCAACAACGAAAAATATTAATAAATCAACTAATAATGCATTTTTTCTGAACTTACTTTTGCCTTGCAGTTGCGGAGGCATAGGCTGAGCCTGAGGCATCTGCTGAACTGGAGGGTTGCGCATGTTGGAGGTGTACTTGTAGTTGGAAGCACGTTGCTGAGCTCCGCCAGCAATTTGGGCTCCGGCAATTTGCATGTTGGGAGCAGCGACGGTCTGCTGACCGGTAATGGCACGAGCGCCTGTGTTACGCATGTTATTAGCCGCGGCGGCAGCGGCGGCGTGCGTGCCCTGCACCTGCTGGGACTGACCACCACGGGCACCGGCCGCAGCCGAGCGGAACTGTGTAGGCACCGCACCGGCTGCGCCCTGGAAGCCACCAGCAGCGGCGGCGGCAGCGCCGGCCTGCACACTTTGCACCGTGGCTGCTGGGCGTACAGGAGTCGCCCATCGCGGAGTGTTGCGCATGGGAGTGGTCATCTGTGGGCCAAAGAATCGCTGGTTGGGCGGGATGGTCGGCACAAAGAAGCCGCCGGTAGCGCTGGGCGGGAAGATCTGGCCCAGCTGCTGCATGCGCATACCAGTCATGTGGCGCATGTACTGTGAGGCCAAGTGGGCCTTGCGCTCCTCCTTGCGCTGAGCCAATGCCACGTACAAAGGCTTGCTGCCAACGACGCGACCGTTCAACTCAGTCACAGCGCAGGTGGCCTCATTGGCCGAAATAAAGCACACGAAACCGAATCCCTTGGAGCGACCCTCTTCGTCGGTCATCACCTTGGCAGAGGTAATGGTACCGTAGGGTGAGAACTCCTTGCACAGGCGCTCGTCATCGATGGAATCATCCAAGTTCTTAACGTACAAGTTGACGCCGAAGGCAGACTCGTGGCGCTTCTTCTTGAGCTCCTCGAATTTGCGCTTCAATTCCTGCTGGCGCTCGGCCTTCTTCTGGGCGCGGGCGACATATAGGGACTTGCCTTCGCCCATATCCTTGCCATTGAGGGCCTGAACGGCAGCCTCAGCAGCCTCTGTAGTCTCAAAGGCCACGAAGCCAAAGCCCTTGCTCTTGCCATCTTCCTTGGACATGACCTGGACATGACACATTATAGAATTGATCTTTAGTGGAAATACAAATGGTACGTACCTTGTAACTGGTGATCTTGCCATAGGGCTCAAAGAACTCCTTGAGCTTCTCATCATCAAAGTCCTCAGTGAAGTTCTTCACATAGACATTGGTGAAGAGCTTGGCCTTCTCGCCGAGCTCCTTCTCGCGCTCCTTGCGGGGAATGAACTTGCCCACGTAGACCTTCTTGCCGTTGAGCAACATTCCGTTGACTTTGTCGATGGACGTGTTGGCTGCCTCCTCGGTCTCGAAATGAACGAAGCCGTAGCCTTTGGAATTGGCCTTCTCATCGGTGGCGACTTTGCAGCTCAGGATGTTACCGAAGGCGGAGAACGTGTCGTAGATGGCCTTGTTGTCGATCGTCTTGTCCAAGTTCTTGATGAAGACGTTGCCGACGCCGGAGCGGCGCAGCGAAGGATCACGCTGAGACCACATTATGCGAATGGGCTTGTTGCGGATCAGGTCGAAATTCATGGTGTCCAGAGCACGCTCAGCTGATGGAATAGAAAGGGGAAATAATTGGTTAGAAGGTGCATCAATAAAATACAATTATCGTTACGTTTAAAGGTGGCATTGTGACTCTTCTACTTCTGCACTGACCTTAGGGGCAGTCTAGTACATGGTAAGTCAAGTCTGGCCTTTTATTTTGCAACTATGAATCTTAGTCTTGTCAAAAAAGGGTTAATTTGACCAACCAATGGGTGAAAGTTGCTGGGAAATAGTCTAATTAGGCAATGTCAAGCTTCTACTTCTGCAGATGATATGCGGAGACCATCGACATGGTAAGTCGCTTAGTTATTCTAGCAACTATGAATCTTAGTCGTATCAAAAAAGGTTTAATTTGACCAACCAATGGGTGTAAGTTGCTAAAAGTTTCTAGATCTAAGTGTAATGCTTCAACTTCTGAGAATGGTACTGGGGAACCATTTCCATGGTAAGTTGCATAAGTTATTCTGGCAACCTTGAATCTTAGTCGTGTCAAAAATGTGAAAGAAATTGACCAACCAATGGGTAGAGGCTGCCACTATGACCTAACCTCAAAAAGGGAGGGGGGGTTCAGTAAACTGTTTGGAATGCGGAATATTATTGAATACCAGGCTTGTTGCTTTCACACGCATCGCCACAGCCTTGTGGCCATTGTACGCTTAATTCAATAAACCGAACTGGGGGGAACGAAGAAGCAGCCACTGGTGTATGGGCAGTGAAAGTTTTGTTTTCAAAACACGATTTTGATAGGCAGTTTCGGAGGGAAACTACATACGTACATAGGTTCACTGACATGTCAAGAATTTGGAAGCACGCTAATGAATGGAGCGTCGCATAAAAAGTGAAAGCAAAACAAAGCTATAGGCAAACAAAAAAAAAACAGCGTGCAAAAATTTAGTTAATGAAATATAACCTAAAATGGAGGCTAAGGTATTTGGCCCAAACAATGAACACATGTTTACGCACACCAGCACACCACCAGATTGGCAAATGCTCATGTGTGTTGACTGGCCGCTTGGAAACAAAAAAAAATAATCCCAAACAGGCAACGAAACAATATTGAAGACGCAACTATGGGCGTGGCTGCGATAAGCTGGTTTCGTCCAGTGCGGAACCATTTCATGCCATAATAATTGCAATTTCGAGCGACTGCGAGACAGAAATTTCTAGATAATCTGCTGACGAGTGCCAAGCAGAACCCAGCTGTTTTTCTCCCCCACCACCGCCTCCGTTTATCCACTTTCCGCATGTGTACAATGTACAGTTCACTGGAATTGATATACACTCGCACAAAGTTGCCGTTCGTTCGGGTTATGAAATACTTAAAAGCTGTTTAGGTGGCATTTCAGATGGCTTTTAATCTATAATTCCAGTTTGGGATCCAAGTTTAATGGGATTTTTTACCACTGTGCCCGCTCACACACACAAACACACATACTATCAAGCAGGCGAGCGCAAGTGTGCGTGTCGATGAGTGTGTGCGAAAATTGCACACGTGTTTTCTTTGTTACGGCCGGGAAGGGGGGAGAGGACTACTTTCGAGGGCCCAGTGCAATTATTATTGCCTTTGTGGCATATTACGGATGGATTACATGGATTACTCACCATCGGCTGGCTGCTGGAAGTTGACGTAGGCATAACCCAACGAGCGACGGCTCATCACATCGCGGCAGACACGAATGGACAGTACGGGACCAGCGCTCGAGAACTTGTCGAAAAGATTCGATTCGTTGATATCCTGGTGGAGATCACCGACGTATAGAGAAGCCATATTTGGTGATCGGGTCTACCTGCAATTTAAATTAATTAATTCATGCGAAAATGAGAAATTTTCCTTAATTCTACGGACCGGATGGATTCGGCCCAGGCAGGCGGTGAAATGGAAAGAAAAAGCGGCGTGGCTTTTGGCTCTTCTTCTATCACTCGAACAAAGTGGCAACAGTGGCGCATGTGACAGTCGACATGGCAACCCTTCTCATGCTTTGTTGTTGCTACCCCGCACCCTCTCGCGCACCATCCATGTTGGAAAATTTCCACACACACAGACAAAAGATAGACACGCGTTTTGCCTTTCCAAAAATGCTAGGATTTCACGAATTCTGCAATATTGTGGGTTAGCTGCAGCTTTTCGCAGAATCCTACATCATTTCGCCGCCATTTTGTTTAAACGTCAACCAAATTCGCAGAAAAAATTGCACATTTGCTTTGTCTACGCTTTGGCTTTCCCCAACTGCCGCCGCTGCCCAAGCCCCTCGAACAATACGGGCGTTCGTTTGATGTACTTACTTTCAAACACTTGCTCGAATTTTTTGCTACTTTTTACAATTTTTTTGTTGCGTTTTTGTATTTTTTATTATTTTTTTTGTTTTTTTTTTTTAATATTTTTTCTTCACAAAAAATATGTGATAAGTCGTGTGCTGTAAGCGAATCCACGACCGCTCACGTTAACGGACTCTACTCGACTCACCACTGCGTACTCACCGCAGGTCCCACAAAACAGTCCAACAATCTGGCCACTCTGTTTTTTGACGTTTCTCGTGTCAAGAAAAAAAAAATTAATTTGAATTTTATCTGTTGCAAGATTTTACCTAATTATTTGCTAAAGATTTGCATGTAGTCACCATTACAAGCGCTACTTCGACAAAAGATTAGGTGTGCCTCTTTGATTTGTTTAACTTTTAAGCACTTGAATATGAGATTTTTGGCTGTCCGCCATTGAATGCATTGTACTAAAATTTATTTTCTGCATATAAACCGCTTTAAAACGAAAGAAAATCCTTGCAAAATGGAATTTCCTTTCGTTCTTTATGAAATCACATGTATTAGCAATGATTTTCTGCAAATGGGCGGAAGATCCATGCAGAATGGAAATTCCATCCATCCGGCTACCTTCACGGCCCGCAGCAGCTTATTCTTTGGGTTTCCCCCGATTTGATTACTCACCTAAAGAACCGGCGGAAAACTGGCGGATTGGGTAATTGAAGACTCGTAGAACACTCGTTTTTGCTGATAAACCGGAACAGCGTTTCACTTATTTTTTACTTTTTCGAATTTTCTACGAAATAAACAACACTCCAAAAAAGAAAACCGCCAACGACCGAGTGTATCAAACGAATTTGTTATTTTTTTTTTTATTTTATGGCAATAAACCAATTTTTTTTTTGTTTTGTGGCCGCATACAACCTACTTGGCAGTCGAGTACCTAATGAAATGACAGAGCACAGCCCCGACGAGCTTTCAACGAAAATGTCACTTTCGACGCCTACTTGGGTTAGGACTAAAAAATATGAGGACCGTTTTTCATTCTTGGAAACATTTATTTGGGCATTTACGTACATAATTCTTACTGTTTTTATCCTACACTACAAAGTCAGCTTGAGATTTATTTTGCGTTCAACTCAATTTTGATTTAATTTAGCGTTTTTTTTTTACTTACACAATACGAATGAGCTTATTATTTTAAGTTTATCTAGTCTATGCTCGGAAATTATTAAACTAATTATAAATTCCAATTAACTTGTGTGGTATACCTCAATTATTTTTTGTATGCATTACATAATTTGTGGGTGTGTGTGAGTTTCCTTTCTAGTATTTCTAGTACATTTGTATATTTTTCAAAAATATACAGTGGAAATAGAGCTAATTTAGTGAACTTAATGAAAACGTGTTTCTTCATACATATTGTTTAATACGAAATTTCAGCAGCAAATATTACATTTTTCCTTTTGCTTCATAATCTTGTAATACTTTTTACCAATTTTGTAGAAATTTTGGAGAATTTCTCACCGCAACAATTAACTGCCATTGCACAATAATAACCTGTATTTAGTTTCATTTGCATTTTAACATTATATCGATAGAGTGCTGAACCAATAGTGTTTGAACATATGTTTTACTATTTTGGCAGTGGATTGGTAATCAACTTTTTAAACATTAACAAATAAAAAGGCCCAGACTTGGCAGCAAACATTTTTCAAAGAATAACGCAGGTAAATAATAATGATAATGAAAATGAAAAAATATTAATTCTAATACACATGATTGGTATGCCAGAGTTTAGTTTCCCATCGCCGAGACCGTTGCCGTGGCTGTGGCCGCTGCATCGCCTCCCCATTCCACCAGGTACTGAACCTGCCCGTTTCCCATCCGCCGCTTGGCCCGTATAGCAAACGATTCTCCTGCATCGATGCGATTCATGGCGCCGCCAAAGTACTTGTTCACCGACTGTTTAAGGTCCAGCATGGAATGTCCTGTTACTCCACCGCCGTTACTGCTGGTGGTTGCTGTGGAGCTGGTCGAATTCCGGCGACTTTGGCTCGGCGACGTCTTCTGCGGTCGCTGTCGCAACAGTCGTCCATGCGTCGGTTTACCAATCGGTGGCGCTGGAGGCTGCAAATCTTTGGCATATATGGGAAGGTAGTGGCTAGGAATGGGATTTATGGTTGTGGTGCTGATGACCTAGAGATAGTAAGAGATCCAAATTAGTTAGAAATAGGCATAGGGTACAGAGACCTTACCTCAACGGCAGTCGTTAGGCGGCGAGTGCGACGTCGGCGCACCTCCTGATTGGGTCCAATGGTGATGTCTTTGGCACTCAGTCTTCGCTTTATTGTGCGCACCATGCGCGGCTGCTCCTTGGCAGATCCCTTGAGTTTAAAAATGCTATTTATGATATCATTCACACCGACGCCCGCTCCAATCCCAACACCACGACTGGGGGCAGACTTCTTGGGCGTTGCCATCAAGAAGGGGTTATTGCGGCCCAAAAAGTTGGCTGGCGGTGGTATGATGAGGTCCAGCGAACTGGTGCCACGGCTGCTGCTCGAGTTTTCGTCGGACGAAAGATCACAATGATTGCGGCTGTTATCGTAGCGCTTGGAGAGGCGGAAGGCCTTGCGCTTGCGACTGCTGTTTGTATTCAGAAGTGGTTGAATGGGTGCTGGCAGCTTGCCCGGATCTCCATCATTGGCATTGTCATCGGCCAGATCGAGTTCAACCGTATCCATTTTCTCAGGCTTATCCGGCAATGCCAACTCCATTTCATCGACACTTTTGATGGCCTGTTTTTTCGCCTTTTCGATAATTTGCTTGATCGGGATGTCATCCTCGCTAGTCTCCACCTGTTCATCCTCGTCCGTATGAAACTCGTATACATCTTTGGGCGCTCTCTTCGAAGGGTCTTCCCCCCGATTTTTCTCCACCTCATCGAAAGGCATCAGTACGAGATTGAACTTGGTTGTCAGAAGTTCATCAGTCGGCTGTTCGTGGGCCTGGAGGAACACTTTTGGGGTCAGTGGCGGTATGCCGTGGCGCAGTGCGTAAAAAGCTGGGGCCCTCTTGAATTCCCTGCCGCAGACAAACCGGTCCGTATGGTCCTTTAATGTCTGCTTGATGCGCTCCATGAGTGCAGTTTCCGGCATCGTGCGCCACTGTTCGCAGATGGGCAGCTGATGGCGCTGTTCGAGAATGAAGGGCCAAATATCCTTCAGCAAGTGGTAGTATTTCTGGTGCTGGTGCTTGCGTAGATTGTAAAGGGCAATGTGGAGCACATCCACCCAATCTATCTGCAGTCTCCGCACAAACTCAACGCCCTCGTTGCAGACAGTGCAGCAGAACACGAAGAACCTGAAACAATCACATATTACAGATTAGTTTAAACGAATAATTGATTAATTTTAAATATTTTATTACATATCTCCGCGAAGCAGTTTCTGTTTAAAGTTCTGCAAGCATTGGGTGTGAAACCAATTGCGGCACTTGCAGCATTGCAACATGCTGTGATCGAATTTTCCTGGCTTGCCGCAGTAGCAGTAGATCTGTTCCATGTTCACCCGATGTTTCTCATCCCAGCTGAGCTTATCCAACTGTGGGTAGACAATAGATTAGCGAGGTTACTTTCATTTGTTGGATTTGGGTACTCACATGGTAGGGAAATTGGCGACAGATTCCCGCCGGCTTGAGGTTGTCCAGGTTGACCGACTGCTGCATTTTCATTGGCTTGGCACAGCGCTTGCAGCACCAGATACCGCTGCCAGTGATTATTTCCATCGTGCATCCCCGATGGTAACCTCTTCCGCACCGTTCACAGATCTCCACAACATCGTCAATGTCGGATCGCTTGCAGGCCACGCACATTGGTCCGGTGGCGGAACTGCTGGAGGACTCAGAGCCGGATCCGCCACCTCCGGTGCCGCCACAGGAACTGCTTCCGCCCAGCTTTCGCAGCTTGTCGGGCTCGCACCACTGCTCGGATTTATCGTCAAACCTAATGAGGTATTGCTCCGTCGTCTGCTCAATTATGGTTCCCAGGTAGAATCGGCCGTCGTTGCATTTTATGAATACGTCTTCCTGGAGAGCGTATGTGACTGTTGGTGGCGCCGAAGCCAGGGGCGGTGGTGGGGACGGTGGAGTTAGAGGTGTGGGCGGTGCTGCTTCGATTGGCTTGAAGCTTTGCTTCATTTGGCTGGTCGTCTTGAGCAGCGAGGGAGGCGGAGGCGAGGGCGAAGACTTTCCGGGCGAGATCATCGTCTCCGGAGTGGTTGGTGGAGTTTGCGGTGTTGTGGTCGTCGAATCCGGTTCATCCACAATCACCACAGCCGCCGAAGTGGTCGTCCCACCGCCATAACTGCTGCTGGAGACGGAGCTGCTGCTGCAGCTGCTGCTATCAGCTGTGCTGCTGTCAATGAGCGGCAGGATGGCCTTGTGCTGGATGGCCGGGATAATAGGTGACGGCTGCTGCGACGAACTCAATGACGACGAACTAAGGGCGGCGGGGGACTCGGCGTAGTGGTTATTAATGCATATGTTGATGCGGTCCAGAACCACGGTAGATGGCGGCGAGGAGGATGTGCTCACAGGCACCAGTGGAGGCGGCTGGAGCTGTTTAGCCATTAACGTGTTCAGTTGGGCACCCGATTGAGTCGCAGAATTTGGCAAATAGTAGGATTGAACCGGCGCATAAATGGGATGTTGTTCCTGGGCTGTCTTGCTCAGCCCGTAGACATTGGGAGCCGTCGAGATAATCCGTATATTGTTGGTCTTGAAGGAACTTGGCCCGGATGAGGAAGAGCTGGCCACAGGAGCCTGTTGCTTCGTGGGGTTGCTATGTTGTGCGAAGCTGTTTGTAATCTGAATGGTGTTCGGATGAGGTGACTGGGCTGAGGTGGTATAATATCGCTTGGGCACCGATGTGGAACCACCGGTGGCCCCGCCGGCGATCGCCTGCGCCTGGGGCAGTATTTGATAAGTCGTGGTCATCCACTGCGGCTGCTGTCCAGCCGGCTGGGGCAGGTAGCCGTACGTAGTGCCTGGGGCAGTGCCGTTTCCAGCTACCGGAAGCTGAGACGCCTGCTGCAAGAACTGGTGTGCCACATTGGGCGGCGGGTGCTCGTGCGGCAAGTGGTAGTGATTGTTCATCATTGTGAGTAGTAGCTTGGTTCCCGTGGAGGGCAGCTTCTTACGTTTAGTTGGGTTACCGGCTTTTTTTGTTCTTTTACCAATTTTTAAGTTCGTTTGTTAATTAACACGAGCTCAGCAATCTGGCGCCTTTTTCAATCAATTGTTGTTGCTCGCCGTCAACACATTCACACCGATGCTCACGTACAGAGCGGGCCCTTTTGTCTGTACTTTTCCACACGCGCATTTCCACACATTTTCGCCGCCGATCTAGCTAACTTTTGGCTGTGTTTCAACGCGCGGCCTAAATTAGCATTGTTATAAATCAGATTTGGTCCACTGTTCTTGCAGTTTTTCTGTTTTGCTCATAGTTATAGCCAACCAAAATGCACGAAAAAAATGGCTGATATTAATTGCCGTTTTTCAACATATGCGCTCTGTGTTGGCAAATGCTCAAAGTGCAGTGTTGGAAACCAACCCAAGGCGGGTAGTCTCTGGAGTATTAAAATCCAAGGAATCCCTGTGCTTTGACGATAATCATCATTTGATCATCAATTAAAGAACTATTAAAAACGCTCCAATAATAAGTCTTGATCAACTTTCAACTTTCAATAACTTGCGGTCAACTTTCAAATAAAATAAATAAAACCACTTGACGATGTGAAATACTGGTGAAGATTCCGCGTGCCACTCGCCAAGTTTCTGATATCAATTTTGTGACGAAAAATTAATTATAGGTTTAAAAATTATACGTAAACTATAAAGATAATTAAAATATATATATACGATATTTGATGTATGGCATGCGGGCTCGTCACCGGTCAGAATTTACTAGAAAGAGCTAGTTCCAGTTCCGGGCCAGAAAATACTGGAGCCTCCGAAGAGACAAAAAATACGTCTGGATGTCTTCGACGCACACTGGTTCAGACAACCATTTTTTTTGGACAATAACCTATATTGTAATTTTGGGTTTTTAAGTTTGTTATTTTACTAATATCTTAAATAGATAGATTTTAGGCTCACCAAATGTTTTTATTTTAATCATTAGAAAATCATACTTTTTTAATAATTTTAACCGAAGAAAAGAATTTTTAAGAGTATTTCCTCGTAAATATATTGTTTTTGCTTTTTTTTAACATAATACAAGAAGCAAATTTAGAATATGTTGTCCCGTTTTCGAGTTATTAATTTTGGCCAAAACCAATTATATTTTTTGGTATTCTGAACCAGTGTGCAGGCGATGGTATAAATAGCAGCTCTGTGTTTTTCGATAGGTTTTTGTCGAATCACTACGTTTACCAACACACTGAGGATAGAAAAGAAGAGGAGAAAGAGAAAAAAATATAATTTCGTGGATTTTAACTTAACGCTGTTCATAAAAACGTTTATAAATCACTAAAAACTGTTCAATTCGCAAAGTGAACGTCGGGAAAACAAAAAGAGAAGTGAAAAAAACTGAAAAACAACCAAGTTAGAACAACTTTAACTGTTTAGCTTGAAAGGGAGCTACGGATTGTTAAGGTAGGTAGATTGGAGCCTCGATTGGGGCAATGACGCACTAGTTTCGGCCGCTACGGAGGCGGAAAAGTTCCAAGCTGCAACTTTCACATCAAATCCCCACATCGTACGCCGCACGCACACAGTTAGAGGCGAGTGGACATGTGCACACATACACTCACTCGCACACTTGCACTCGAACGAAATGTGAACTGTGGACGGGGAAAATAGAGCGGCGGCGGCGGCGGCGGCAACGACGTGTGTTGCAAATTCATTGATTACAACTCTGGCCTGGGCCTGGGCCGTCTCTCTCATTCCAGCTGGTGGCTATATGTCCAGGCAGCGTTCAGCGACCAAAGCCGTGCAATTCAAGCACGAGTCTGCCGAGGAGGAGGACGACGAGCAGGAGGAACACGACCAGGAGCGCATAAGTCCACGTCGCGGCATGCATTCGTATGGGGATCATGGAACCATTGGCAGCGGAGTGCCGGCCTTCCTGGCCAAGCTCTGGCGGCTGGTGGACGATGGTGATACGAATCACCTAATTTGCTGGACCAAGGTAAGGCCGCCGCCATGTTGTTTATTTACCTTGCCTCTCGCCCTTTTATCAGCATGGCAACAACAACACCATCAGTGTGGGTCTGTGTGCAGGTGTCTTCAGGTCGCCCCACCGCCCTTTTTGTCTCTCTGGCTTTCTCTGCGCTGCTGGGTATTGTTGTTGCTGTGCCGCAGCGCACGTATGCATCTTGTCCGTCTGTTTTTGTTATTTTGCATGCGTACGTGCGTGCCCTCTGAAAAATTTTCCGTCTGCGGCAGTTGTTAATCGAACGATTTCCCTGGTCATTCCCTCGCTTTTCCAATTAGATAAGAACCCAACTGCTCTCTTACCAAATTTAATGACTGATAAGCCCGGCGTTTACAGTATATACACACATTTGGCAGCTATAGTATAGAGATGGATTTATAATTAGATAATTGCTACTGCCAATATATACAATTCATTGCGTAGACCGCTTATCGCATTGTTGCTGCGGCTTGCCGCAGCTATGTGCGGAAAATTGTGGCAGTGGCATATCAGCATTCCTCAGAACTTCTATATCGTTTCTTATTCTCTATTTTAGGATGGAAACAGCTTTGTCATCCAAAATCAGGCGCAGTTTGCAAGGGAACTGTTGCCGCTCAACTACAAGCACAATAACATGGCCAGTTTCATTCGCCAGTTGAATATGTGTAAGTACTCTAGAGCCTTGAGGAAAAGATTCCCCTACTAACGATAGCTTTGTGATTTGCAGATGGTTTCCACAAGATCACGTCCATTGACAACGGCGGTCTGCGTTTCGATCGCGACGAAATCGAGTTTTCACATCCGTTCTTTAAGCGCAACTCCCCCTTCCTCTTGGACCAAATCAAACGCAAGATCTCCAACAACAAGAACGTGGAGGAGAAGTCGGCTTTGAAACAGGAAGCCGTGTCAAAGATCCTTAACGATGTGAAGGTGATGCGAGGTCGCCAGGACAATCTGGACTCGCGCTTCTCCGCCATGAAGCAGGAGAACGAGGTGTTGTGGCGGGAGATTGCCAGCCTGCGCCAAAAGCACGCCAAACAACAGCAGATTGTCAACAAGCTGATCCAGTTCCTGATCTCCATTGTCCAGCCGTCGCGCAACATGTCTGGTGTTAAGCGTCACATGCAGCTCATGATTAACGACACGCCGGAGAACGATCGCGCCCGCACCACCAGTGAAACTGAGAGCGAGGGCGGCGGCGGCCCCGTCATCCATGAACTGAGCGAGGAGCTGCTGGAGGAGGTGATGAATCCCTCACCGGCTCCATACGCCAATGCGTCGCAGTACGACCAGGAAAGTGTGTCGCCGATGGCCGTTGAGCGTCCTCGTTCCAACGTTAGCATGAGCTCGCACCATGTCGATTATTCCAATCAAAGTGTAGAGGACTTGCTCCTCCCGGGCAATGGAATCTCAGACGGAAACTTGCTGCTGGGCGAAGCTGCCTCCCCGATGGCCTCTAGTGTGAGCCGTTCGCCGGCACCGCAAGTGGTTTACACCGTCACTGAAGCTCCCGACTCGCATGTCCAGGAACTACCCAATAGTCCAACCTTTAATGAGGAGCACATCCTCACCACACCAATGGTGCGGGAGCAGGAGCGAAAGCGCCAGCAACTGAAGGAGAAGAACAAGAAACGCCGCATTGAGATGGATGGAACCATCGTTGATGATGGTTCGCCCAAGACTCAGCGTACCCAAACCAAGGAGGATGTCCAAGTGGTCCAACCTGTGCTAGTTAAGGCCGAGCCAGAGCAGAACTCGGGATTGCTGGAGCTTATCAATCCTTCGAACAACGACCTGTACAATGTGGACTTTATCAGTCAGGATATGCCAACTGATATTTTTGAAGTAAGTATCCAAAAATGTTATCCCATCTATGAGATTACCTTATTCCATGACCATTTCCAGGACGCTGACCTATTGCCATCTAATGAGAAGGCTGCCAAGCTCGATCAACAGCAAAAGTTTGGCCAGTCAACCGTCAGCAGTGGAAAGTTCTCCAACAGCTTTGATGTGTCCTCTGGTAGCGCATTGCTGGACGCCAATCAGGCCTCCACATCGAAGGCAGCCGCAGCTGCCAAGGCGGGAGCCAACGATGATGGAGCCATGGCTGTTGCCAAGTACACTGGTGGCGAGAACGGCGGTGCTCGAGAACTCCTTAGGATGAACTCAGTGTTAGTAGACAAGAAGCCCCTGGCGCCTACCGATTTCAACAATAATGAAGACGCTATTTCTTACGGTTACAGTGACGAAGTGAACGGCCATTTGGACAATGTGCAGGATGAGTTGGACACTCTCAAGGATCTGCTGCGTGGTGATGGCGTTTCCATCGATCAAAACATGCTGCTGGGTGTAAGTATCTCTCTAGAGTTAATTTCCATCCTAGGGTGTCCGTGTGTCCGACCAGAACCTTATGCCATAATCCTTCTATTTTCACATTTAGACGCTTGGCAGGACGCCCATTGTGCAGCTGACCGAGGACGAGCTGTTATTAAAGGTCAGCACAATGCGTCCATACCCATCAAGCCAGGCCATTACGACCGAAAGTCCATTTAAAAACATGTACTAACCATTACGTTTTTGTTGCAGCTCTTCAACGACTCGGATTTACTGGACAACTATGGCCTCTCGTTTCCCAATGACAGCATGAGCAACGACAGGAAAGGTGAGTCCTGAAACTCGTTTGAATCCTTAGGATGATATCTAAAATGTATTTTAACTCTGTTAGCTACCAGTGGCTCGGAGCTGATGGCTTACCAGCCCAGTATGTACGACCTTTCCGACATTCTGGACACTGACGATAGTAACAAGAATTCGGATGCGGATAGGCGTCAGCTGCAGACCCAGACTTCGGTTCTAAATACGCCACGCCGCGAGGTGTAAATAGATGGATGTTATGGCGACACTACTTGTTTTTAGTTTTTAATCGAAGCAGTCTTGATAGAAGATATTCTATGCGTACGCTGTTCTAACCTTTAGTTGATTCACATCATATAATCACACAATAATCATATAACGGATGCTGTATATGCCTTAAGCACTATATATATGATATATAGACTAACCAGTTCTTGTTGTAAAAAGACTCGAAACATCAGTTAATATTTAGATGTATTTTTTAATCGGGGATTCGAGAGCCGAGGCTCAGGTAGATGATTTTTAGTTGGCACTAACCGATCGAGAGCGATATCTAGGTCCTCCGATCGTATGCAATAGAAAATATACTTTACACACTACTTTTATTAATTAACAATAAAATGTTTAAGCCGCCTTGAGCTGCTAATGAAATAAAGTCGTTTTACTCGTTTGTTACAGGACATTAGACATAATTATATGCCCTTTTTGTGCATAATTTATTTCGGTTCATTGTTGATACAACTGATTAGATATGGACACATACCGTTTCATCTTAATACAAGTTCTAAACAAAGTTAATCATAGATCTTAGCCTAGAAACGCAATCGTAGCATAGTAAATTCTATGTCTAGTAGGGTGAAAAGTACATAATGGGTGTATACAGGAGTGACCTTGTATGAGTGTTTTGTAAGAGTGATTTTATAAACCTAATCGTGGACTAATCGAAAATTGTACGTATTGCATGAGAAGAGATGCCCGATAGCTCGCTTAGGTCTCGTCCTTGTACTTGGCGTCCTTCAGTATGTTGGCGAACTCAAACTTGACTCGTTCCCGTTCCGATCGGGGCATACTGCGCAAGGTGTCCACCAGCGACAGGCAGTACAGCTCGATGGGGTCGTTATATGGTGTCAGCGAAGGAGGTGTCGGAATGACTTTACGTTTGGCTCGACTGGACAGAAAATCGCTGGGAAGTGGGCGTCTGGTTGCCGCTGGCTTGTAGATTGGTTCGATGGTGACCTCCCCGTTGGAGAGGGAGTTGTTTTTTGGAATTTCCTGGTTCATGTCGCTGACGTGGGTGGGCTGCACCTGCTCCTGGTCAAAGCCATTGCCCATAACCACCATGGGAGTGAGGAGGGGCGAGGAGGCCGGCGAGCTAACGTGGGTATGGTCATTCTCATTGTCGTGGCTACGGCTGTTGCTGCTACTGCGGGCACCGTTGAGCGCACCCTGAAGCGAGATCACAGGCTTGGAATGCATGTCCAGCTGCAGCTCCGGCACAATCTCGTTGTCATCGCTGTGAGAGCCATCTTCACTATTATCCAGTTCGATGATGTCATAGCCCTCGGAGGCATCGATCTTCAGGTGCTCGGGGTCCGGGTAAAGGAAACTGTTACTGTCGTTGTCACTGCTGCCGTTCTGGGGCACGGCATTGTAGCTCTGCAGCTTCTTCACGTTGTACGTTTGAGCGGTGTTTTGCAGGAAGGACAAATCCTCGGTGAACCGACGTTTTCTCACATTCGGATTGGCCTGGCCCGTTTCAATGGCTTTGATCTCCTGCAAATAGTTGTAGCGTATGTTTTTCCACTTGGTCTGCAGGAAACGAGCTGTGGCAATAAGAAGGGTGGGTTTTAATAGACAATCTACGCCGTAAACACAACACCATAACTTACAGGAGGCGCCCAGCTCGGTGGCGATTCGATCCCATATGTCCACTCTTACAGGATTCCGGCGGTAGTGTGGGTGGCTGACATCGTAGATGGCCGGATTGGCGCGAACCAGTTTTATGAGGCGATCGTCTGTGGGCCGGAGAAGTGGGAAAAATCGTTAAAATCTGTCTCTGTTTCTGCGTTTCTTCGCCAAAAGCAGCCATCAACAACCCCTAAGCGCAGAAGACACGCCAGGACAATCGTCCTGCATTGGTTTTTTTTTTTTGGGGGTTGATTCAGAGATTTGCTGCGCTGGGTTTTCCCTTGTATGCCAAAGAAAACCAAACTTACCGAACTCGGGTCCTGTGGTTTCCCGTTCGGCGTAGTACCTCTGCATCTTGTTATCCGACTTAGTGCTCATCATATCCTTGCTATTCCGATTCTTCGGAATTGTTTCCGCCACTTTGATTTGTTTTCTTTTCCTGGAATCCGTTTCGTTTGCCTCCGTAGAGGGTTTCTCTCTGTTTTTAGACTGCTCACTGGCAATTCTAAAAGCTACTTGGATGGGCCTGATTTACCGTTCGACTCTACGCTTCCTCTTCCGCCCCCTCTATATTACTCTCTAACTCTCTCCTTTTTTCCGTTTGGTTTTACGCGCTCTGCGCAGCCAAGAGATGGTAGTTTCTCTCAAATATATCGATATTTTCGTCAGATGTGTCGATATTTTCTGGATTTTCCCTTGCCGTACACATATATTCGATTGTTCTCGATTTATATATCGATGGTAACGATGTTTTGAAAACATCCAAAAAAGCGACAACTACCAACAACAAAACACGGTTTGGGCATTTTACACCGCTCGCCCACAATAACACCGAATAGCACGTGTCCGTGGACACTGGGCAGCCAATAATGAGCAACGGCCAGTATGGAAGGTTCGGAGCACTCATTGGCGTTGCGTACGTGAGCAGCACCCACTGCCGATTCCTGGTAAGCAAGCGCTAAAGTCCAAATGCCGAAACAAACGGACACACGTACAAATATACAAATACGCATAACACACAGCTGACACAATCGCTATTTCCATAGGTTTACTCAACCAAGAATGCCGAAGTCCTGGCCTACCATGAGCTGAAGCTGCGTCAGATTGTCCACCAGGCAGGCTGGCTGGAATATGATCCTGTGGAGATATGGAAGCTTATGCAGGAGTGTATCGAGGTGCGTATGGGCTTCGGGGAGTTATATCATCACCGCGAAAGGCTAATCATTTTCACACACCCAACATTGCAGACTGCGTACAAAAATCTGGTGATATTGGAAATAAATCCGCAGGACATCATAGCCGTTGGAATAGCGAACCAAAGAGGAACCTCTGTGCTATGGAACAAGCAAACGGGGCTTCCGCTGTATAACGCCATCGGCTGGTCCGACTGCCGTAGCACTTCCATTCTGAAAACCTTGCTCCATAATGTCCGGCATAATGTGGATTACGTGAGGTATCGCAGCGGGTTGCCGTTGAGCAGCTGCTTCAGCGCCCTGAAAATAAGATGGCTTACGGATCATGTTTCGACTGTTAAGAGTGCAATAGCGGAGGAGAATTGCCTGTTTGGCACACTGGACTCATGGCTTCTTTGGAATCTAACCGGGGGAGTGGAGAGCGGCGTTCATTCGACCGATGTTACAAATGCCCACTACACCTCGCTTATGAATTTGTCCACGGAGCAGTGGGACCCCAAGCTCTGCCAGTTCTTCAAACTGCCCATGAATATACTGCCACGGATTCGTTCCAACTCGGAGATCTTCGGTTACGTCCTGGAGGGTCCCTTGCTGGGCATTCCAATTGCTGGAGTTATGGGTGAGCAGCCCGCTTGCCTGTTGGGTCAGCTGTGCGTTAAGGCTGGCCAGAATGTATGCACATTGGACGACAGTTGCTTTGTGCTGCTGAACACCGCCAAGGAGAAGCTCGACTCTGCCAACGGACTGATCACGGGAATCGCACATAGGCTGGGCGCAAAAGAGGCTACCAACTATACCCTGGAGGGTGCTATTTCCAACTCTGGATCCACCATCACTTGGTTGCGGGAGACGTTGCGAATTAATACCGAAATAAACTCAAACGACAACGTGGTAGAGTCTTTGAACACTTTCATTGGCGAGAACTCGATGATTTCGTCCTCCTGCTCGTCTTCTATGCTAAATGCCGAGTGCGGATTAGCGGCCAAGCGTTCAGAAATCACATTCGTACCGGCATTTCATGGGTTGTATGCTCCCTATTGGCGTCACGATGCCAGAGGCATTCTTCTTGGGCTGACCAGTCAGACAACGTCAGAGAACATTACTCAAGCAGCATATGAGGCTACTGGGTTTCAAATATACGAAGTGCTGCAGGCATTTAGAAAGGACACGCCTAACTGGCGTCGTTCCTGTATGCAGCCAGTGCTCACGTTTGGTGGTGATTGTGCCGAGAACACGCATCTTGTTCAGTTTATAGCTGACATCGTTGGCCATATGTTGGAGCGCCCACAGACGACATCCCCAGCAGGACTAGGTGCGATGATAGCCGCCGGTATCACCATGGATGTGGTATCTCTGCAATACGCTGCGAAAATGTATGCTCCGCCTACGGACGTCTTTTCCCCGACAACTACACAGAACCGTAAGTAATAAAGCCTCAAAAAAAAGTAGTTTTAGGAAAATTTAAAAAACCTTTTGAGAAAAATGTGTAATTGGAAATATTTTTTGAAGGTCGAGAGCTACTCTACAAGCGCTGGTCTTATGCAGTAAAGAAATGCCTGCATTGGAATAATTACGAGACTTATGAGGCCGATGTGGAACTCTTCGCCCAACGAGAGCTAGACCCAAATTATTCTGTTCGTCGTTCAATACCCGGTAGTTTGTTCCTGACCACATCGTTCGCCCTGCTTCTGTTGGCCAATTACCTAAAGAACAACCCGTTAAACTAATGGTCGCCAACTGGGAAAGCGGAAGCTGCAGTTAAATCTAGTCAACCGAACACGTTCAGTGCGCATTCAAAATTTATTGTTTAGTTTAGCATATAATCTTCTATAGTTAACTTGAATGTATGTATATATAATTCTATTAGTTTTTTCTGCCTCGTTTTTTAGAACAAATCTTTGTGATTCACCTATATACAACATTTTAGACTTATACTTTTTCGTAAGATCATAATGTTCTGCTATGTTAGGCAATCAATTATATTCCTTGTGAAATCTAAAGACAATTGTTAAAGCTGCTGGAAGATTAGCACAAAAAGTCTGCTTCCTAAAACCCATATGCATGTGCTATAGAAATTCGAATTGAGTAAACCGAGGAAATGTGAAAGCAAACTGTTAAGAATGTGTTTTACAAGTGCTCCCGCTTCCAAATGGATGCCGGGGGTGCACAAGTGGCCAGTGTTTGCTGCCTCTGCTGTTCTCAACATCTGAAATCCATTTGCCAGTTAATTAGCTGGCTGGGCTCCTCCACGGAGGGACGCATTCATCACCTGCCCCTGGCTGCTGCTGCTGCTGCTGCTCACCACATTGAATGCAGCTTAAGTTATTGCGCTTATTGTTGACACGCGAATTGTTGCGAGCAGGGCAGGCCGGCCGGGCCGCAGGAACTGAAGCTGAAGGAGCAGCTGTGACCGTGCATAGCTACAGCTGCGCCAGCCTGCAGCCAATGTGCACTTGAACGCGCCAACGTAGGAGTAGGTGGCCATGGTGGGAGAATGTGGAGTCGGACCCCGGGCTGTTGTCTTTGCTGCACTTCGTTGTCGTCCATCCGACGGCAGTGGGGCAGGCGAGGCACTCATTCAGATGAGTTTTTATGCGCGGGCGGTTGCCAAGCGCCCTACCGGAAAAGACATTCAGCTTATGAGTTATTACTACCAGTTGGGGAAAACCTTTAGAACAAAAATACAATTACCAAATTATACTATGATATTAAAAAAGTCTATATATTTCGATTACTCCTATAATTAAGCCATAATAGTATTATTTATTGAGGGTTTCTCCAATCTCTAATAATTGCAAGACAATCACCCCTGTGTTGAATTACAATTTCTAAAGATTGTAGAAGTTCTAGGATTAATAAACTAACTGAATTTATGAATTATATTAAGCTTAATTCAAATTGTTATGAATATTCAAATAAAAAGTTTCTAAACTCAAAGATTTCTAATATTTTCTTATGAATTTTATGGTCTAGCTTAAAAGGAGCTCATTTATTTTATCGGTTATGGCCTGGCCATGAATCTCAGCCACATATTCCTGTCCGCAGTCTGCGAAATTGGTTTGCATTTGAAGACAAAAACGTCGACGGAACGCAGTAAAATGTGAAATTTGTGCAAACAATAAGACAGTGCCCTCCACTTGGGCTCCAGGCTAGGCGAGGCGGGGTTGGGGGCGTGGCAGGACCCAAGACGCATGCAAACTTTGCACGTAGTCAATTTAAATAAATTAACACGCTGTTGTGTGTGTGTGTTTGTGCCAGGGTGAGGAGCATAGATAAGGAGACCCGGGAGGTGGGCTTATCGGATGGGTTATTTCATTGCCTCCCACTGAGCTGCAATATGCCAAAATACGAAAAAAAAAAATAAAATAAAAAAAAAATTTGACATGCCCACGTAGCCAGGACGATAATTCTAACGCAGCCTGGTCAGGGGGTACTGTATAGTATCGATGTCCTGGCCGGGTGGGTTTTCCAGCTCTGTTATTTGTGTGCGGTTTGCCGGGTAGGGTAGGGCAGCACAGGACAGGCGGCGGGGCGTACTGCCCCCGATGCGGCGGGTGCAGTGCTCCGGCCCCAGAGGGGTGGGTGTTTTCGGGTGCTTTGTGCGACTGCCACAACGCATAAATCTTCAAGTTTATGGCATCAATAAATGTCGGAGCGAAGTAATGATTTCGTCAAGTTCCCCGCCATTGTGCAGTGCCACAAGCCCGTGGAAATCCTCCCCTCGGAGTGTTTGTTGCATTCAAAACAGGGGTTGCTCGAGGGTCTGGAACGGTAGAACGGTTCGGTTATGTTTTGGCTGAGATCTATGTAACTGGGTAGATCCTTGACGCCACCAATCAAGCTTCGTGGCTTAAGTCAGTTGCACAGGGAGAAATTTTTAAAATTATTTTTCCTACTCTCCTACTTCTTGATTCAATGTTACACTCCTCCTTCCAAAGGATGTCATCTACCTATATTTTTCAAGGACATCCTTTTTTCTGTGCAGTTCGTTCACCTCCCCAACCGTCCAATAAATTGTGGGCGTGTTGACGCCCCACAAGGACCTGAATGAAAGGCTTCGCACATTCGGCGCACAATTTATTTATTGGACGAAATTTCCTCAGAACTTTATGACTGGAACTCATCTGCATATGGGTCCTACGACGAACGGAGTGTTCTTCCAGGCCTGCCTGACAGCAGGCAGCTTTATCAGTTGGAGAAGGAGCTCCTCTGATACTGACAGAAAGTTTTTACGCACTTTTTTTATGGGCCAACCAGCTAACCGCCCACCACCCGAACGCTTCTCGTCCTTTCGCATGGCAGGCCGTCATAAAAAAGTCGTAAATTCGGCGAAGCGAAAGTTTTTCTACCCGAGGAGGCCAGAGAACTGGGAACTGAGAACTAAGCCCCGGCTGTTCGGTGCCATCGTAAAAACCTTAATTAATTTTCTAATCAACATTTTGCCTGCATGTAAATCGTCTGATTTGCCGAGTCCATTTGGAGCCCGCTTATGTGTAGCATAAGTTGAGGCGCTCAGCCCACATCTCGCCTTCGCCTGGGCGGAGTACTCGTTGTTTTGCTGCCGGAAAAAGTTAGCTGGTAAGCTGCTTCAGCTCCATTAGCTGGTCGAGCTGCTGCTTGGTTAAGTCAGTTGCGATATGTCAAAGTAAACGGCTATAAAGTCTCAAATGTGGTGGGCTGAGGAGGGAAGTGGGCGGTAGGCGGGTTCCCCCAAACTGGCGCCAGTGGTAAAAAGTTGCGTGCTTGGCGTTCGGATGATTTTTGCCATTGTTTTTGGTGGTGTTTACATAGTTAGTGACTTTCCTGTTGTTTTGATAGTTGGTGTACAGTGAAAAAAAAATTGTATTTTTAAAGAGATATAAATAATTTAATTAAATAATATCTTTAGAGTTTCTAGATTATAATTCCCTTAACTATGTGCTACTTATTAATTAGAAACGACTGGCAGCCATTTTGCCATTTCCGTCCCCCAACGACCATCTTGAATATCACTCATCCGCCCCGTCAGCACCAGCACTCACTGCCCCGTGCCAATTAAGAAGGAATTTTCGGTGTGGCTTTTTTCGTTGGATGCAGAATTGCATAGCACAGCACAAATTAATTTAAATATTTAAAGACTTTAATTATTTTTTAACTGCCCAACAAGGACAGGCGCAGACAGGCGGCGGATGAGTTAGGGGCGTGGTGGAAACAAAAAACTGAGGAAATGGTTGTGTGTGGATGTCGATGTGGAAGCCAGAAGCCAGAAGCCACGAGCCAAGTGCCATGATCCGGGAGCATAACTGCATGTCGACCAAGCTGGATGGGTGGAGCACAGGACGACGACAACGGGCAAACAGCCAAGCGTAAACTTAACTGACAAGTGGAGACTTAACTTCCCATAACAAATTGCATTCCAATTGCACGTCGGGTACCACCTACCTTCGCAATTTTCCCGGACCGCCCCCCTCTGGAGGCCGTGGGGCATAAACAAACACATCCACATGGAGTCACATTCATATGCTGCTCCTGCTGCTGCTCCTGCAGGACCTCGTCAACGTCATTGCTGTTAATTTAAATTGCTTTAAAAAAGCAGGTGCAGAGCTCGCTGAATAAGGAAAATGAGAACAGAAACGAGTCCCATTCAGGCCAAATGGCAACAGGAGCAGGTCTTTTCTATGATGCACCTTAAATAAAAAAATTGCTTAAATATTTTTAAAATATTTATGAGAAAAGTTATAACCTCTTATTGATATTTTAAGAGGCATTGTTGGGAGATTGTCGTTTTAAAGCCAAAACTTAGATACAGGCAAGACTCCACTTTTTTGAACTTCGTTAAAGCAATCAATTAGTTTCTTTTCTTTAATTAATTTTGATAAAATTTATAACCAATTAAATACAAAATTAAGGACTAATTTTTTCATGTGTGGCAGCAAGAGCTGCGGGAGCCCAAGCTCTCGAGTCCTGCAGTGCACAGATGCCATGCACGAAATAATCCTAAAGGGTGTGAAAAAGTATGAATGCAGCCAAGACTCTGCACACCGTTGGGAGGATGGGTGGCTAGATTTCTGGATGACTGTGTGGCTTGGAGGCTGGATGGATGCTGGGGGGACTAAGGAGAATGCGAGAAATGAGCGCCCGCGCTGTGAAAGGAAAACAAAATTATGCAACTTGAAAATGGAAGACAGACAGACACACACACACTCAATCCCTGCCCACACAATCCGTGCTCCTTGGTTGCTTCTTAGTTGCCATCTCAGTTGCAGGGTTCTGTTTTTGTGGCATGAGTGAAGGCTGCTCCGGATCCCGGTGGCACCTACAGTTCTCCCTTTTCAGTGCGGTTGGAGATCGTCGCGACAGATGTACTTGCAAAAATAAAACTCAGTTAGTTGGGTTTCTTTAAGTTCTTTTTTATGTAATGCAACTGCCAATGACTATTTTCTTTCAGTGCAGAGCTTCTCCCCTGGAAGTAAAATGTTTTGGGTTGCAGTTTCTACTTTGCATTCAATTAAATCCCGACCCGAAGTAATTGCCAAGTAAATACGCAAAGTAAACCAGAACGGGCGCCGACTATAAAAACGGTTGACAAGACAATGTCAACTGGAAAATTTTTCGGCTCCAGGAAAGCGGGAAAAACAAGGGAATGGGTCTTGGCATTTTTATTATTGATAAAATTTGCTAAGCGACAACTTTTTCGGAGCAAAGTTCGTGTGGGTTGTCAACCCTTTGGGTACCAGCTCCTCTCAAAGCAAACCCCGGACCCTCTTTTATCAGCAGACCCAGAGTTTATTAAAATTCAGGACAGCCAGCAGCCGCAGAAAGAAAATTCTCAGAAATTGTATTACCAAAAATATGGCAGAGATAAATAAGTATGGATGCTGGGTAGAGAGCGGAGATAGCGAGCATATCCTGCCACATGTGTCGCCTTTAGGGGCCAATCGATGGCGGATTGAATGGAAGCCCCAGCTGAGCCCGCGGGTGTCACCTTCTCGTCCTTGCCAGCTCCCCTTGCTCACAAATCCTGTCGCATTGCGGTTCAATTCAATGATTTGTGGTCCTGGTTGCGTCTTAATTTATCCAGCAGCTTTTTCAGCTCACACGAGACAATCGACCTCTAAATGGAGAGTTGGGT